TTTCAGAAAAAGAAAAAAAAAAAAAAAAAAAAAAAAAAAAAAGGGCAAAGACCCAGTACTAGCCACATGGTAGGCCATCGGAGCTCTACACGAGCAGACAGAAGTTCCTTGGCAGCTTACCTGAATCACCGTAGCGGCTCTTTCACGCTGCGTCTTGTCTTCGGTCTCTCCAGTCGTCGTCGTCGGACCCTGGGATGATTGTTGTATTTGGGCGACGGAAGCAGTGACATCATCGGAAGCTCTCTCTGCAACTGGAACAATCACCCCTGTCTCTCCTGGGTTGAGGGGCATTTCTGTCTGTTTCTGTTTATTGCCTTGTAGTCGCCAGCTCTCCGGACTCCAATTCAACAGAGAAGATGTGATCCCTCGTGGTAGTCAATCGAGAAAAAAGGTCTGTCTGTTGTGTCTGGAGATCGTGGGGAGGAATGTGACTGTTGGGCATAGCTTTGCTTAGGTAATCGCTGCATCGTGTTCTTGTCAGGTATATATTCTATAACTAGTAAATTATAAGATACTATTGTATATTAGTAGTATATTAATGTTTTATTCTTAGAATATTATCAAGAAAAATATTAATTCCGATCATAGGAAGAATACAGACAAGGGAATTTGAGCCTTCTATATCTTTCTATATATAGGCAGCAATATAGGCAGCAATATATATGGAGCAACCGGAATGAAGAGCTCTTTACACAATGCTTACTCTGCACACAATCTGGTAGTTACGTACAATAGACCAGCAATGTAGATTGTGTAACGACTTGCTTTTCTTCTGCTCATGCCAGTATCCTGCAACAAATCTTGCGCCTACATCGATTGATCGGCGATTGACTCTAGCACTTGCCGAAGCACGGAGAATACTACATACTACATAGATAGTACTCCGTACATAGTGCAACGGAGTATTGTTGCTCTCGGCCTTCCCTGTGCGTATTCCCGGGGAAACCATTGAGGGATTTATGTAGTAATCATGTACTCCGTGCCCCGTGCTCCGTACTCCGTACGCCGCCGTATCAGGTTGCCTCCAAGGGCCGTACGAGCAGGATGTACTCCGTACGAGGGTACGGAGTACCTGAGGCTTAGCCAGAGTCTCTGAGTATATAAAGGCCTTGATGGGTCTTCTGAATATCTCACTCTTCCTTCTTCAAGTTGATGATCAGCTTAAAGGCTTTTTTTTATCCATTGTCCACCAGGTGGAAGATACCTAAGTATCACCCAGTCACGCCAACACAAATGACACCAAAAAGACCAGAAGCGTCTGTTGAAACTTCCGGCATCACCGGATCAATGGTCTTTCGATCTTCGCTGGAGCTTCTCCTTGCGGTATGTGTATGTCAAACCCCCTCCCCAGTCCAGAATCTTTCTAGCGTGATCAACGGAGAGATCAAAGGAAACGACAGGGATCCTATACAGTATCAGTACTAGTAGGTACGGAGTACCTGGGTATCTAGCATCTAAGTATAGTTAGTAGGTGTGTATTGTATGAGACCTGGTCAGGCCACTGAGTCGCACTTTTTTGTCTTCTTCTTCTTCTTCCTTTCCCTTTCACTTACTCCAGAGTAGATCAGTAAGACAATTAGATCTCGGGGGGGAGATAAGAATAGACGGATGAGACGGAAGAAATAGAATACTCCACACATCCACTTAAACCTGGCCAGGATTTCTCGGCGTCCAGCTCTATTTTCCATGGAACGATTAGCATCCTTAGTGATCGGGTACGGGTGCAGGGCGTAGGCTTACAGAGCAGGACCCCAGGGCTGATTGAACAGGGCCCAGGCTCACCTAGCAGGAAGCTAGTACTAGGGGACACTAAGAATAGCCCAGCAGCATTCTTTGTTGCCTGAACATGTTTCGATTTGGGGGCCAGTCCGGGGGCTCGTATGGACATGTCACTTTCCCTGGTCGCAGATCGAAATGTCGTTGCCTTGCAGGGAGCGCCGAATCGGAGCCTTAGGCATCTGCCAACTGCACGGTGGATCCGTGAAACCATCCATACTGGAGCCAATTAATGGGGGATGAATGTGACTGCCTGTCTGCCAGCGTCTAGTCCCTGTGCAAAGCCTCTGATTTCACGAGGAAGAGGCCATGGCAAGGGTGTACAGCGCGAAACCTAGACGTATTTCAAAATGCTTATATAGACCCTTCTCCAGGGCCTGCTGGTCTGTGGAACAACACAACAACAACACAACAACACAACAATAATAATAGTGTGGAGTTTAAAGCATATATCCCTAGAGTCTACTCTCTCTCTGATACCCTCTAATACCCTCTGATACCCTCTGATACCCTCTGATCGGCAATGTCTGTTCCTCTGTTCGTGGAGCCGGGCAATGTCCCCAAGAAGACGAAACAGAACAAAGCGAAGAACAACAACAACAACAAGAACAATACCCCCAAGACGGCAAAGAAGGATTTCCTGGTCGATACGGTCGGCAATTCCTTGGTCGAGCAGCTCAACTCCTCCCAAAAGCCAGACGGCTGCCCCTGCTGTGCCTCGCTGGTTGACAGTCTGCGCGGGGGGTCGGAGGATCTGCCGTTCACCGCGGATCGAGTCAAGGACCAGCCGAGAAGCAGCAGCAGCAGCTGCTGCAGCAGTGGAAGCGACAGCAGCCGGACGGTGTTTGGGGGGTCGACCCCGAACCTCTCGTCCAGCACCCCCTCCCTCCACCACTCCCATACCGATGCGTCGCACGAGGAACGGCCGGCGCTGGCCCCGCTGCTGAAGGAGAAGTACCGCAAGAAGTCGGTCATCTTCACGCTGGAAGACTTCCGCACGATGAAGACGGTGGAGCGGCTGACGGCTCACTACGGCCGGGTCTCGCACATGGGCATCCTCGACCGCAGCTACAGCTTCTTCGTCAACAAGGCGCACACCGCCGCCCTCTCGTTCAAAGTCAAGCACAAGGTCGCCATCGTAGGCGGTGACCCCCTGTGTGCCCCGGAGATGTTTGGTGACCTGCTGGCCGAGTTCGCCGCCTACCGCAAGGATTTCAGCTGGGGGCTGGCCTTTCTGGGCGTGAGCGACACCTTTGCTCAGTACGCCAGGGACCGCAACTGGACGACCATGCAGTTCGCCACGGAGCGCGTGCTCAACCCGATGACCAACGAGGTGCTGCTCGAAAAGGCCGGCAAGCGCATCATTGTGCAGAACAAGCAGCTGTTGAACCCGAACAAGGGCGGCACCACCCTCAGCGTCTACGTCCCCGCCGACGAGCCCAACGAGGAGCTACAGCGTGAACTGACCGCCATGTACGACGCCTGGCGCGTCGAGCGCAACGACGCCAGCAACTCTACCTCCGCCGCTTCCCAGGCCTTTGTCACCGTCTTCGACCCGTTCTCCCTTCCCGACCTCATGACCTACATTTATACCCGCGGTCCCGACGGCACCCTCACCGGGTTTGCCGCTCTGCGCCGCATCGGCGCCAACCAGGGCTACCATCTCGATCCCTGCATCGCTGCCCCCGGCGAGACCACCCCGCGCGGCATCACCGACCTGCTCACCTACGCCGCCATGGCCCTGCTGCATCGCGCGGGTGTCAGCTACCTCAGTCTCGGCTACGAGCCGCTCGACGCCCTTGGGGAGATCACCGGCATGCCTTCTCCGATCGAGAAGGTCGCTCGCTCCATCCACCGTCGCGCCTTTCGCAATCTACCCATCGGCGGCAAGAAGGCCCACCACGACAAGTTCCGCCCAGACGCCGACCAGGAGTCCGGTCTCTTCCTTGTCTTCCCCGCGGGCGTCCCGGGCCTGCGCCAGCTCATGGCAATGGCTCACATGGCAAACATTAGTATTCGTCGCGTCGCCTGGGGTGAGGTCCGCTCCTCCCCTTCCGATAAGCAAGACTCCAAGGAGAAGCCGGCGGATGCCTTATAGGGCACTTTAATTCTTTTCCTTTTTCTTCTTCATCTCTCTCTCTCTCTCTCTCTCTCTCTCTCTCTCTCCCTCTCTCTTTTGTCTTTCTCAAAACAGATCTTTTGTACTTGCAGCGTTGGAGTTCAGGATAGATTAGCATATTAGCATTTATGTAATAGGAATTATGTGCATCAACTGTCATCGATCAGTCTGAAAATATCGAGTATACAATATAAAACCCTCCAGTAGATCGCCGGGGTTGTTCCTCCGGATCAACACATCCGGCCGAACAGGAAATCCTTCACTATTGGAGAACCAGAAAATTCAGGGTTTAAAAGGACACAGCTGGACAAGAAAAAAGCAAACGGATTAGATGCGGGGGACTCCCAGGAAAGTAAGAGCGGTGGAAACTGAACTTACTGGAGAAAATACTCGAGTCCGGCTCGTCTGGATTCGAGGAATGAGGGGCGGAACTTGACTGTATCGGATGAGCGGGGTGCAATAAAAGCTGAAGAGGAGCTCAACATCAACATACAGAGAACGCTCTTTGGGGGAAGAGCGGGAAGGGCGTTTGTCGCAAATGGAAATGACCGTTGGAGGCATTGTCGCAGATCGTCAAATTCAGAGTATCTACAGAGCTGTCAATAACCAGGTAACCAGGTGGACAGATTTTGTTGTCCGGGGGTTTATACACACCTCATCCTAACAAAGATAGGGCCTCCCTAGAAAAGAAGAAGAAAAAGAAACCATCAGATCATTCATCCCGTCAAACAAAAGGGTACTCCGGGTACTCCGTACATCAAGGGTTTGGATTTTGCAGTTCCAGACCACATACGACCCGACCCCCGTCTTACCCTCGACGACACAGTAGTCATCGATGGTGACACTCTTGGCCCACAGCCCGCGGCTGACATGGCAGTTCGGGTCTTCCGTATGGTCTTCCAGTGTGATTGTGTGCGGTCCCTCGAGCGAGATCTGCGAGGTGCGCGAGGTATCCCGATAATGCCGCCAATACGGCGGGACTACACTCCCCGCCACGGGGTCTTCTTTGGACCGTTCCTTGCTCTCGTCAACCAACGATGGGAGCACATCCCCATGGTTGCCAGTCGCAGCCACGAGGGTATCGGCGTTGATCACCGGCACGGGGGGCGGCGGGGAGAGGACAGGGGGGAGAGGTGCCGACCCGGCCTCCTCATTCGCTGGCTCCATCCATCAGACACTTGCCGCAATCGATCTGCTCATAATTCCAGACATCAGTACGGAAGTAAGTGGGAATGCGAGGCGGCCCTATCTCGCCTAGCATAAAAAAGCAAGGGTTGTGGCACTCCCGACCAACTAGTGAAGGCCGATCAGGGGGCAAGAAAACTTCCATAGTCCATAATCGGTCCGGTCACCCAGTCACTGTCGCTGGTATTTGTTCTCCAGACCGAGTCAATTTCTTGCCCCAGACCTTTTGCTTTGTTGTACAGGAGTCCGCACAGAATAGGGGGAGATACGCAGTACGACGGGAGCGTAGGGCTGTAGACGCAAGATGCCTTGGGGATTACTCACTGATAAAGAGGTTCTTCCCAGCCAACGTACGGCTGAGCTGCTTGACTCTGTCCCAAGTCGGTCTCAACGACTCTCCACGACGTTGTTTCTGCCAGAACCAGGAGATTTGGCGGGTGACGTTGCGGTCACGGGATGCCAAGCCATTTATGCCTGAGGCATGATAATCACTACTCACAACACAGCAAATCGTCAGGTAATTAACCACACCTATCTATGATCTATCTATCCTGAGTGTCCATGCTTGCTACCAATCGCTCTGCAGAGACGTAATCGTGGCAGACCATGCTGGGTTCTCCGTGCTTGGTGGAGTCCAGAACCCAGCCAGGGTCTGAAAGCATTCCCCTTCTCCAGGACCCTTCCTGCAGGGTCGACGCCCGAACCAATAGTCTATAGCCAAGAGGAACGCTAGCAGTCGGACATGAGACATCAGGCCTTGGAGATGGAGCCATTCTCGCCATATTTAGGACATTTTGAGCGACATCCATGGATTTGGATCTGTCTCAATTGAAGAATCGATGTGGAACAACTGGAACCATAGGGAATCATTGGCAATACCAACGATGAAGGATCACAGTAGGTAGTATCTGCTCGTGTATGAACAAAAACACGAGCTCAGGCGACTGCCAAGCAGTTCCTCGAGACTCAGAATGCAATAGATCCCCGGATCGACGAGATGCTGCCTCCTTTCAATCAAATAATTGGATTCTGTTTGCTCTGGCGTTTGCACCACCCGCTCAGGCGTGCTGGATTAGGCAGCGCCAGGTGAGCGGACGACTGCTCGAGGGACGTTTCCCTCCTCCACCGCTCCAGGCTTGCCTGTTATGTTATCTCTTCTGATCCATCACCTGTTTTAGCCTCTGTCTGCAGCTTCCGGACTGTCGTTTTATTTTCTTTTTGCGGTGAGCGCCCTGCCGACAACTGTTGAGGCTGGTGTGTCGTGGCCCCCTTTCTTTCGCCTGGGATAGCTCCTCGAGTAAGAAGCATTCCTCGGCCTTGCAGTCGTGAATCTAGAATTTGGGCTCGACTCGAGGTGGGTACAAATACGAACGAGCCATTTACTAGCTAGCAGCTCTTGCTTTTGTCTCTGATTCTCGGGTGCCAATAACCCTTCATTCCTCACCCTCTTCTCCCCGTCTTATCATCTCCCACGATTTCATCTTTCCTTCACTGACGTTGCTCCTCCCTCTCCAGCAGAACCCGCGGAACCCTCTCGGTACGGTGGTCTTCAACGGTGATTCCAAACGGTCGAGCAATATCTTCAGGATGATGTCTTGGTGGCTGCTTCTGCTGGCGGCGGTCTTTGGACTTGTGAGCGGCCAGACGATTGATCCTGACAGCGTCCCAATCGGTACCCGAGGTAAGTCATGTAGACTGCAATTCTTCGTCTCATTCTAACAAATGTCCAGACCAGTGGTGCAATTCGCAGACTTCTGCCTGTCCCCTGCTTTGCCTCCAGATCCCCGGTACCAAGAGCACCACTCAACAAAACTCGTGCGATCCTGTAAGACTTTTCTCTCTCTCTTCATTAAAACGGCTTAAAAAAGAAAGAAAGAAAGAAAGAAAGAAAGCAAGCAAGCTAACGGTCTAGAAAACCCTCGTGTACAGCTGCGTGTGCAGCAACGGAGTCAGCCCCAACGCATCGCAGTACTCGGAGACAATCCCCTACTTCGAATGCACCGAGTCCAACAACCAGTGCGTCGACAACTGCCAGGGTGACTCGAGCTGCCAGTCCGCCTGCCGACAGGATAACCCGTGCGGCGCGCAGAATCCCACCCGCGTCAACGTCACGACCACCAAGGGCGGCAAGACGGCCACCGCGACGGACGGATCGAGCGGCACGGGCTCCGCCGCCACGGACGTGGTCTATACGGGCATCGGCACCGGCGCGGTCACCGTCACCAGCGACGCAAAGGCCGGTCTTGCCGTCCGGGGCGTCTCTTTCGAGGCGGGCCATCTGTACGGTCTTGTTGCCGTGGTGAGCGGCTTCCTTGCCGGCATGGCTGTTTTGCTTTGAAAGCCCCGGAGGGAAAATAATAGCATACCTAGTACCTGACGCAAGCAAACGAGTGATGATTGAAAAGTATCTTACTATGTAGACTACCTAATTAAGTACGTAACTAGAACACCAGTTCCCCTACAGATCTCGTGTCCGGAATGCCAACCATCCGCTGCACACTCAGTAGCATCTGTTCTGCCCCACGTTTAATCTCCTCGTCCGGGGATGCAGGCCGACCCAGCTGGTCTACCTGGTTTGGCTCCGATGATAGCACAGGAGAGTAGAAATGGAAACAAGCCGCACGGAGCGGCCACAGGAGGAAAACGGCCATCAGACCTGCGAACGGGCTATAGATGGGTGGTTGGGCGTCAGGCCGAGGGTTGTTGGCCTGGTTAAGATTACTATTATTGGCGGCGGCGCGGGCGAGTTGGAAACGGGAGACCTGGATGATCTGTCGGGCCATCGTGGTTGCGATCTGCAGCGGGGCTTCGAGGGCTTGGTAGTCCATTGTCCAGAGGTATCCCTTGGCGAGACTTCGATTCAATAGCAGACGAGTGGTGAAGGAGAGAGTCTTGGCGAAGGAGTAAGAGGTCGGGTGGTGGTGCTGGATGAGCGTGTTGGAGCCTATGGTGTTCGGGGCCGGGGGCTCTTCGGGGGAGAAGAGAAAGGGGGATCGATGCATCAAGCGGGAGGGGGGAGGAGAAGACAAAGAGGGAGACGAAGAGGAGGAGGAGGAGGAGGAGGAGGATGACGAATACGGGGAAGGAGAACGAGAGGATTGCTTGGGCGGCAAGACAGAAGCCAAAGAGACCTGCTCGTCCCAGCGGAGCAGGTCGGCGTCGAGTTGCCGCATGGAGGCGAGAAGCGGTAGGATTGCCTCGTGTGAGACGGCGTCGGAGACGGCCTCCTCGAGGTCTGCACGGAGACAGGCAGCCTGGTACATGAGGGTCATGAGACGGGGCCCGAACAAGGCCTGGGGTCGGTTGTAGAGCCACAGGTCGAGGGGCAGGGCAGGTCTGGAGCGCCAGCTGAGAGACTTGAGCAGCATCTGGACCCAGATCTTCTCGAAGAGGCGGTTCCCCAGCAGGGTGTCGAACTGACGGGGACCCCTCAGGCGCACCATGACGATCGCCCCCTCCAGATGCTTGATCCACATGTAACTCATCTGCGTGGTGGGCGAGGCGATGCCCTCGAACAGACTCAGCAGACACACGGCCATCAGCGTGTCGTCCTGCGCCGCCAGCTCGCCGTCCGCCAGCGCCGTGTTGGTCAGCCGCAGTGCCGCGCAGTAGTCCTCTCTCGCGAGCGTGCGCGCCTCCTCGCTCCGGCCCAGCCGACTCGCCATGGCAGACAGTGCCACCGCCGAGATGGCCAGCGAGACGCCCGACCGACTCGCGCTGCCCGCGTACAGCTCCGGCAGCAGATCAAAGAAGCCCGTCCAGGGATTCGCCGTGCTGCGACCCGTGCCAAACGTCGCGAAGAAGACGCCCGCCGCCGCCGTGCGTAGATCCTGCGCCGGGTCCGACAGCGGGCTGACAGTCACCGCTGCAATCGCACTGCCCCGACTAGAATTACCATCGGGGCTTCTCCTTCTCACGACAGCCCGCTGGCGCCACTTCTCCGTCGCCAGAGTCGCCGCCTTGGCGTTTTCATTGCGGAAATCCACCTCCAACCCGTCGGGATACTGACACTCGGCACGCGTGCGCAGGCAGCGAGCACACTGGCTCGGCGCTTGTCCATCGCACTGTAGCACATTAGATCTGTATTTGTAGAGTTGTCAACGGTCAGACGTACCTTGACCTTCTTCTTTCTGCATGCAAAGCAGCCTTTACTGCGACGACTCTGCATGATAGTGTTGAAATTCGATCGCTATTCGACCTGTATATCATCGTTCTGATCAGTATCCTGCCAGTATTTATACAACAACCAGGCATATTAACGCACCGGCTGCTCAGCTGGCTCAGCTGGCTCAGCTCGCGATAAGCAATAGAACTCCCTAGCAGGCAATCATCTTTACCAATTGCGCCAACGAATCCACTGCCTGAATCTCTCTCCCTGTTTCAATCTTCAGCGCCACACTGGGCTAGATACCTCCCTAGTTGAAACATGCTAGAAGGTGCTTAGAGGGATTAAGGTCGCGGTGATTGAGGCAGGGGCTGATCTGACATCGCGTCGCCTTCTCCAAACGGACTAGCGTCACAGGGCTGACCGGAGGGAGTCCGCGATATGACTATAATGACTATGACTATAGGTATAGCTTAATGATTTAATTTATTTAATTTATTTAAATAAGTTTAATCTCCGTATTCAATCATTATTCATGCTAGTGTCGTCTAGTATCGTCTAGTATCATCTGGTACCATCCAGTATCAGCTAGAAGGTAGAAGCTAGACTATACCTCGGCGTGGCCCCCGATCCCCCCCCCGCTCGTCGAGCCCCTTTTTCCGCTCGCCCGGGGGCGCGCGCACTTCAAGGCCCGCCTGGAGGATACTGGTGCGTAGGAGGCGGAGGTGGGCTTCTTGGCGGAAGCGGCGGAGGCTGTCGAGGGTGGACTGCTGGATCTCGGTGCGCCGGTCTGTCTGGGTGGCGACCAGGACGGCCTTTTCGAGGTCGATGCGGGCGTTGAGCGTGCCGTCCTGGATGAGGCGGACCAGCTCCTGGACAAAGGGCGAGTGCAGGTCGAGCGGGTGGGCGGAACCCGCGACGACCGTGGGGGCAAAGATCTTGGCCATGGCGTCCAGGGTGACCCGGCTGAAGGGGACGAGGTACTGCTGGATGGACTTGGTGCGGATGCGGGACAGGAGGGTGGGGAAGTGGCGCTGCAGATGCAGGTCCAGCAGGTAGTCGGCGCGGTAGGCTTCGAGGATGTCGAGACAGGGGCGGAACTTTGAGTTGCAGAAGAAGGAGATGGCGCGGCGGATGTGCGGCTCGAGCTCGAGGAAGTTGCGGAACGCACTGTTGTCGAGCACGCGGCGCTGCAGCTCGCCGCGGTCCATGGACGCCAGGGCACACAGCCCGCCGTACACGGCCACGTCGTTGGAGGTCAGCACCTCGGCGTACGTCTCGGCCAGGCTCGGGTCCGTGGCCAGGAAGTTGTTGGCCGCCTCCAGGTAGTTCTCCGAGTGCATCTGCGCCAGCCCCAGCGCGGCCGACATCTTCGGCTGCAGCTTGGCCTGCTCCTCGGGCTTGGACTGCAGACTGCGCAGCCGCTGCACGTTCGACTGCACGCTCAGCCAGTCGCCGCGCTCCACCGCCACGTTGATCACCTTGAACAGCATCGACGCAATGTGGCTCGGCGTCGTGCAGTAGTCTCGCATCCGCGAATACGACTTTGACGCAGCCACCAAGTCTCCAATCTGGTGGTAGTGTAATCCGAGGTCTTCGTTGCCCATCTAACTCATTAGAAAGAACGCTTCCAACAAGAATGGCTCACAGTTGAATACCTACCCTGATGCTCTCCTTGATCAAGTTATTCTTGTACCCCCTCAACTCATGTTCCAACCGGTCTGTCTCCGCCTTGGTCGTCTTGAGCATACGATCCACCCACTCGCGATCAAGAACCGCCTCTTTCTCCGCCGGTGCCGCCTCGCCCAGCGCCCGCACCGCCCGCTCGTACCGAGCAACGTCCTTGCCGGCTTTGGCCTCGCCGATGGCAGCTTTCAGAGCCTCCCCGGATAGATACGTCGAGCATGTTCCGATGAGGAAAAGTCGATCGAATTTGGTTCTCCCTGCACATGAAATTGTTTTAGAAAAGCACCTTCTTCTCACCAGTCAACACTTCTTGCAATAAAACATACCGGTGTAATTTGCAATGTACGACTCCAGATCAAACTTGGGTGCATCTCCCTTGTCAGAACGGATATCTTTCTTGCTTTGCTTCGAATAACCACCTACCATCCACAATAACTTTTGGTAAAGCTGCTGTTCCCCTCCCGTTCGCCTCGTTCAGCTCGGCGAACCCGCCTTGTGACGCTTCCAAGACGTCGGGTGCTGCATCCATGATAGCGTGTCGTCGGCTTCCAGGGTCTCGCCGGAATGAAAGAAGCGTCTAGGAGTACAGTAAAGAAGAAGAAAAGGCCAGGGAATACAGGTGCTTCGCAGAGTGATGAAGTGATCGTGAAGTGGCAGGTCATTTCTACGCGTGTTTGTTCACCGCCATATCCACCGCCTATGAGGTCACTTGACTGCAGCCTGAATTCTCAGGCATTCGAAGCTCCTCTCCACAGGGTATAATTTACTACCAAGAGTAGAGGGAGGATAAATCATTATATTGATTATCGAGCATGCTCATTCAGATACCCTCCAGTACAAGAAATGATAGTAAGTACAAGATTAACAGTGGTAATAATATTCGATGGCAAGACAAGATCAGTGGTATATGGAAAACGAAATCAACACACGCCCGTCTCAGGATATCACGGTTCCCAGGTATAGCACATTCCGTCGCTCATGCAGTCAGATAAAAAGAAAGGTATATATGATTATAGAGAGGGGAGAGAAAGATGGGGGAGGGGGGGGGGGAGGTTCCTTTTTTATGCCATCAACTCGTCCAGGTTCACCTCGTCCTCCTGCTGGCCGAGATGCGGCAGCACCATGGCCGGCTGGCCCATGAGACCGACTGAGTGGCCGTCCCAGGGCCCGCGCTCGTCGGCACTGGCGCTGTGGACGCCCTCGGCGCGCTTGAGGGTCTCGACGTCGAGGTCGGTGACGTAGGCCTCGCGGCCGGTGCCGTCGCCGGCGCCTCCGGGCAGCTTGATCCGCACTTCGTACTCGTTGTCGAGCATCATCTCGTCCTTCCACAGACGGCGCTGCCCGTTGAAGACGCACAGTACGCGCTTCTTGGTCTTCATGCTGCTGGTCGGACACCCCCACGACTGTGGGTAGTTGTCGCGGTTGTTGCGGCGCTTCGAGGCTCCTCCTGCACCGCGTTGCTTGTTCACGCCGTTGCTGGCGCCAGCGCCATTGGTGTTCTTGGTCGACTTGAGCGATCCGCGGCCGGACCGCCATTTTTGGGAAGAAGGAAGTTCGTTAGCGTCGTCGTCATCGTCCATGTCATTCGTATCGTCGTCAAAAAGTTGTTGTTGTTGTTGTTGTTGTTGTTGTTCCACGGGGCCAGCCGTGTCACAGGAGAGCTGATGCTTCTCCATCGTCTTCTTCACATCCTCATCCGCAGCCACCTCGGCCAAGCGTTGTTGGTTGATCGCCTCGCTAGGTTCCTCCTGCTGCACGACCCGTAGCACGCAGTCGTCCAGGTGCTCGTAGAAGTCCTGGGCGTTGGTGAAGGTGGCGGAGCAGGTCGAGCACTTGCCCGTGACATCATTGCAGTAGTCCGCAGGGCTTTCCTTATTGCCGTTGCCGTTATTGTTGTTAATACTGCTGCCGCCGCCGTTGCTGCTGCTGCTGCTGCCGGATGTCGAGACGACGGTCGAGCTGCGCTTGCGGCCATTGGGCGGCGTCTGTTCCACACTGTGGACCGAGAAGAGGTGTCGCTTGAAGACGTCGGCGCGGTTGAAGCTCTTCTCGGCGGGGGAGCCCGATCCGGGGCAGAAGCCGCAGACCATGGTACCCTTGTAGTGGGTGAGGGTGTGGCGGTTCTTGTCGTACTTGCGGGCAAAGCCCTTGATGTGGTATTCACAGGTGACGATCGGGCACTTCTCGGGCCGCTCAGACATGTGCGTCAGCATATGTGCCTTGAGGTCCTTGAAGACGCGGCCGCATTCCGGGTAAGGGCAGCGGCCCTTCTCGCGGCTGTCCTCGTCGAGGTCGAGGCTGCTGGTGCCGGGGCTCGGGTGCGAGTGATGCGAAGAGTGGGTGGACGAGATAGAAGAGCGACGCTCGTAGATCGACGCCGGGCGCGAGTTGACCTCGGACACCAGCAGCGGCGATGGCGAGACCGGCGGCGGAACAAACCCGGCAGGCTGGTGCGACAGCGGGTTCTCCCACACGGGCGGGGGGTACTCGGCCATGGGCAACGGCGAGCCCACGGGCGACAAGTGGAAGAACTCGGACTGCATCATCAAATATCCCGACTGGTCCGGGTATGAGATGGTTGGCGGGGAGAGATTTGCGTGGCGAGGAACGGGCTGGATCAACGAGGGATCTACTTTTGAGGAATATTAGCACCATATGATTCCGTAGAAAAGAAACAATTCAATACTCACCCCCATAACTGTCTTGGTATTTCTCCGGGTAGAAGCCAGACTCGACATCAAGCATGTTGGCATGAGGGTTGGCGCTGCCGTTCCCCATGTACTCGCCAGCAAACAGATCGCCCATCATGGCGTCCTGTAGGCCCAGACCGTGGTTGGTATCCACCCAGTGCTCCGGAAAGGCATGGAAACTGCTGGAGTGAGGCGAACCCATGGCCGACGAGCTGGCACTGGCAATCGAGGGTGCCGAAGCACTCGACAGCGAGGAAATGAACTGTTCGGCCGCGTGAAAGGCAGTAGCGGCTGCTGCCGCCGCCGCCGCCTGTTGGGAGGAAGAGGAGGAGGAAGAAGAAGAGGCGGCCATGAGTGGCGGCGTAGGGGGGAAGTCAACATGCGGCTCGTGCAGATCGACGCCTGCGTCGGCGTAGAAGGCGTATGCGTCGAGGGCATCCATGGCGAGCGGGTCGACCAGTGTCGCGTCCATGGCGGACGGCTGGAAGTAAGGGAGCTGTCGGTGTCGGGAAGACTCGATGGCCAACATGATGGATGGATAGTTGTCTGACGTCCTGTGTGCTTGAATCCCTCTTTAGCCATCAATCTCTCTCTCATATAATTAATTGATGCCTCAACAACCAGGCATACCTTTGTGTCTAATAGAGTTCCCCTCGATAACGGTCCGTGGGACAAATTATCCGATCGATTCCTGGGTAGGAAGAACGTAAACAGGGTCAAAAACACCCTGTCCGGTCGCAAGCGCTATTTCTCTCTCTTTCTCTCTCTTGTTCTCTCGTTCTCTCGTTGTCTCGTTGTCTCGTTGTCTCTTGGAGTAAAACGAGAGCGAGAGAATTGGGCGGGGGAGGGAGAAGGGAAAGAAGGGGAGGGATGATTCTGGAGGTTTTGCGAGCAGCAGATGGAGGGGGGGGGGGGGGCGAGACGGGCATTGTTAAATGGGTTGTGATTGCTGGCCCTACAAGGAGCAAAGCAAATCTGGGTCCAGAGCCATATCACTGGAGGCGTTCAGGAAGTGCGCAGCAGGGAGTGGGTGGGTATTGGGTATTGTAATTACCTTACGGCTGTAATTGGGGTGTAATTTACCTCAGGGTGTTCCTGACCCGGGTACCTAAGGTACCGTCCTCCGTAAGTTTCCTTCTGACAGTCATTTGACAGGGAACGGGCCTATGGGAAGGGCTGTCCGGCTGTCAAAGTGTCACTGTCAACCATGCAGGAACCATCCCTCGCGGTGGGTAATTTACCAAGTTAAGTTACGTAGCAGCGGCTTGCATGACTCCCACCGCCCAAAGTGGTCGCCGACTGCGCCTTGTACATAATTAAGGGTATTTCTCTCTCCGTTAGGTACTTTACCTCAAGTCTTCTAGCTAAGTTTAGCTCTGCACAGTTCCCAGTGCACAGACAGATGTCTACCCCTTTTTGCTGTCAATTACTACCCGAGACTGGAGTACGGAGTATACAGAGTACTATTTACCTAGTAGTAATGTTATAGACTTTGGAGTAACTCATCTCTAATATCTCGTAAACTTGAAGTGAGAGTAATTCATCTACTCTATACCTAGTAGTTATACTACGCTATACGGAGTAGTTACTACATAGTTAACTATTAACTACATAACTAATATTAGCTTAGTAGCTATATACTACATCGCAGGTCAAGGCAGAATCGGACAAAAGGACAGACCCCTCCAGACTATTAGTCCATAGCTCCGACCGCTGTGACATCCACCGCCATCCACCGCCATCCAGACTGCCGATCAGTACGGCAGTAGGTACCTACTAACCTACCTAGTACTAAGGTAGGTAGGTATAAATGACCGTACCGGTAATACCACCGCCCGGGCCCTGGCAATTGCGCTCGCTCCGCAACGTGGCCGTCAGGTGTCCAGTGGTTGCCTGTCGATTGATACAGAGCCTCATTAACTAGTAGATGGTTCTCATAGGTAAGATACTCCGGAGTCACCAAGTCACAGGCACCTAACTAAGCCTTGTTCTACGTGGCCTGATTAATGTAGACGTGGGAAATATTCTATGAATGGATTTGATCCGTAGTACGACATATTACACATGGTAAATACATGACGCCATTTGGTTAAGTGTTCTACCATGGTTCTTGCTACGGAGAGAATCGTGGAGTTGGTGGAGGCTCAGCGGCAGTCCATGGATGCAGTACGGAGTAGTCCGACCTCGGGTACTGTACTAGTTAGGTATTTCCTCCCTAGGTACCTCTGACCTACAGATCGACCGAAATCAGGTCTCTGGAACTACTAACAAGATTAGCGCACGAACCACTGGCATCATCCCTGCGCGAACCGAGTCCGGCCGCTCCGGCCCTTGGCGGGGCGTACCCGTACGGTAATATAAGACAGAATACCGTCGGTTAAGTTGTCGGAATCGGTGAGGAAAAGGCAGCTAATTGTCTGTTTGTGGAATGGCGTCAGATCGCGCGGGATGAGCCACAGACAGCCAGCCCAATGACCGTGCTGGAATACTCCTCCCCGAGTCCCAGTGCGTCATGACTGGCCGGGCGCTGCATGGCGCATGCCTTTGTTGAGGCGCAGCTGGCTCAACTCACCGCTATAAGGTAGTATTAGTTAGTAGGTAGTTCTATTTATTCATTCCACTATGCAGGTAGTCTACTCTGTATAGGTACCTTAGTTATTTGCTATTAAGTGTAGTTCTCTGATGTCATTGTCCTCCTCATCCACAAGGCAGATTTCTCTTCAATATGGAGTACGGAGTACTCCAAGTGGACTTATTCTGTACACTTCTTCATTGAGCGACGATCTCAACACGCGATCCCCAATTGGGAAAATTGTGGCGAGAGCGAGTCATCACTATATTACCCAGGTAGTAGGTACCTACTAGGTACCTTAGTTATCTACATAGTCAATACCTAAGGACGGAACACTCGGATCATATGGCTTAACTCCGACAGCGACAGAATCGGGAAATGGTCGCTGACAGATAAGACTCATAGTATTACTATTGAATTTAGTTAGTATATTTAGTATAGTTAGTTACTTAGTAACTACTATAGTAGTCGCTATTAACTAACTATTCTAGTGCGCCAAGTTGGAGTAACGCCCCTACAGTAATTCTAGCGACCCATACGCCTACCAGTAACCCGGGCTCCAGGGACATTCCTGTTCGCTACATGAAACGGCTAGCAGATGTCTGCGGGTGTCATTGCAAGCCGATTCACTCTGCCGGAAGCCAATCACCGAGAGATGAGCACGGAGAGTCTCTGGATGATCGGCGCCGACTGAGTCCTGGAACAGCCTAATAGGGATACTACATACTAGTTAATAGGAGTCATTACTACTCTTTAACTAACTATCAACTATAGTAGAATACATAATTAGTGCTAGGTCCTCTAACTGTCTCAGATTTAGCCCCCACTGCACGCTCTAGACGGCGAGTTGCTTGGAGCTACTCGTCTTGAGATAGGATTCACAGTAGTCAGGGTATAACTATGGAGTACGCAGTAGGTTATAACTAGTACTCAAAGGATTGATCTACACTTGTTTACCTAATGCCTGGAGCCATTGGAATCATTTTCCGGGAATGACGTCACATACGATAGCAACAATCCAGACTCCGTCCATGTAGTAGTAACTACTAAGTATATATATCTAGTAGTATATAGTAAAGGTGGAAGTAGGATACCGAATGGAGTAGTATCAATCGGTGACACCGAGCCAAGACAAGGCTGAAGCAATATAATAAATAAATGAATCCTGAATAATTTGGAATACTAATCAACTAGTTTGTCCACTAATTACTTGGTCGCTGCGGAGGCTGGCTGAACCATTCTTATTTATTACTCCTAGTAAGTATCGATTACTAGTACATACTATAAGCACTAGGAAGAATCCTCAGCCCTATCCAACTCGACCAGAGTACGGAGTATAAGATACAAAGAATAAGCATCAGAATTCTCCGATGGGCTTGAGATGAGCTGTCTTCCACTGGTACTACTACGTACTGCCTACCCTAATCTCCATCTCATATCTGGCGCCTGATCGCTACCTGACCGGCGCGTACAACTAGTAATATCCCTCTCGTCAGGAACGGCCACTCAGGATGCGAGACAGGGATATAGAGATGGTGTGCAGGGCAGCTTACAGATACGATATACGTATGTAGAATACGATATACACATGTACTCCGTAGTATATGAAAGATACTAATTCGACAGTGTAGACAACACCATCAAGATTGTAGTGGAGATGAAGTATCATCAAGTAATATGACTAGGACAAAAGACAGAGATAAAAGGAATCAAAGGAAAGGTACATGGTGGCCGAGCTGTAGTCGACGAGCCCGAGGAGAAAAAGGATTCACTCCAGGTGATCCATTCGGAGGCCGTGATCGACGAAACCGTCCACGGTCGCGGTACGAGTCACCCAGTCCGTTATGTCTTCCGTCACTGTCGTCGACTGGAGGCAAGAGCACGCTTCATAAATTTCATCCTCGGAGTACGATTGCAGCGCCGCCGGAATATCTCCCTCCTCCTCCTCTCACTGCTGGCAGATATACTGCATGTCTGGGATGCCCAGCATGAGGTTGATCAGGGGCTGCAGCAGCTCGCAGATCTCCCAGTCAGCGAGGCACGTTCCCTCATCGTCGTACTCATCGGTCGTGGCTCAGTCCACAGCCAATGAGTACGACGCAGAGGGAGAAGAGAAAGAGTGGACAGGGAAATGGACACTGGAAACGGATGGACGGGTTTTGGGAGAGGGAAAGAACCAAACCGAAGTGGCGGCCTCTATAACGATAACTCCAGATCGAGGATTGCTCCCTATACTCCGTATTTCAGAACAAGGGTCTTCGAGGTCGTATCAGGCACCGTTGTTTAGTGGCGGGTGTCTGTTGGGGATTTATGCCGAGGGCCAACCCTGGCCAGTCGATATTCTTCGGCTTCTATCACCATCATGGAGTAGATGGCTTATTTCCCCCAGACCCAGTCGAGATCATAAGAAGATCCCCCTATCAGTGGAAAAGGCTTGAATCGTAGCAAAGAGTGCTAAAGAATGCTTGACCAAGTTAATTGCTATTGATTAGTTACCCAGAATGCTCCGGAATATCATCTAGATATTATCACCTACCGTAGATGATTGGTAATAATTATATTGCTAACAGAGTACAAATTATACTCTACTAAGGTGCTGCTAAAGAAATGGCAACACCAGACAGGAATCGTATCTCCCCCCGGCATGAATCTCATGCTCGCCGACGTTCTCATCCTCGGCTGTCGTGGGTCGAATGAGCTCTACCTCCGGCAGACACATGTCGTGACCCGAGACACGCAGCATGATTCCTTCGCCGGGAGCAAACACCATCCCCATCGGCCACAGCGTGATCTCCAACGGGACAATCGTACCCAGGCCCACGGGCTCGCGCCGGTCGTGGCGGTAGAAGATCTCCTGCTCCGTCGACTGGCTGGCGTCGCGGCTGATCGAGTGCGACGCCCGCAGGAACCCCTGCGGGCCCAGGGTCTTGGCCGTGTTGACGTCCGGAACGTCGTCGATGGAGAGTGCGTCAGGGCACGGGTAGTTGAGGTGCGCCAGCGGGATCCCCTGCGCGGAGATCTTGCGGATCTGCACCGCCACATCCATGTCGTCGTGCTGCTGGCAGCACATCCACAGTCGCACCTTGGCGTACCCCGCGATCTCCGTGTACCCGTCGAAGAATAGGGTAAAGTCCGAGCTGGCCTGCAGGTCGTGGCCCGCGTGCGAGACCGAGGCCGCAGCCGCCACGGGGTCCGCCTGCAGGGATTTTGTCATCGCGTTCAGGTAGAATGTTTTGAGCGTCTGTCGTGCTAATGGGTACTCTTGCTCCGCCCGCTCTCGGATGGTCGTTGCCGGGCTGCCGCTGGCCTCGAACCCGAGCAGCGAGAGCCGCACGGGCGGGGTGTCGTGCTCCCATCCGTTATCGATCCCCTTGAGGAACCGGTCAAAGTATCGCTGCAAATCGTCGACGATCTCCGGCCGGTACAGATCGTACCACTCCTGGTGCGGGTGCACGCGTAGCCACTTGTGCGCGCTGCGCGCCGTGCGGAAGGTTTGCAGCGAGCCGCGCGTGTGCAGCATGGTCGAGTACGAGGCCAAGATGTACAGCGGCACGGTGATGTTCTCCGTGTGGATGTACTTGCTCTCCCAGTACTCATCGTACAAGGGTCGCTTGGCAATCATCCCCGGGAGGTTCTCGGCCGTCGTCTGCGGGCCCGCGAAACCCGTTAGCAGCAGATTGTGGAAGCCCTCGTTGTGCTTGCGGCCGCCGCGCGCCACCAGGTCCCGGTACGGATCGGTGAAGCACTCCCACGGTGCGAGGGCCTTCAGCGCCGGGTGTTCCAGCCGCGAGGCATAGTTCACCTGCGCGATGGACAGCCACGAGTTGCCCGCCATGCCTACCGAACCGTTGCACCATGGCTGCTTCGCCAGCCAGTCGATCGTGTCGTAGATATCCTCGGCTTCCTGCTGGCCCCAGAAGACCACCTCGCCGCCGGAGCGGTTAATGCCGCGCGCGTCTACATTGACGATCGCGTACCCTCGCTGCACCCACTCCGCCGGATCGGGCGCCTCGAATTTCTCATACCCGGAGGTCTTGTCCAACGGGAGGCCCGCGCGGAAGGGCGCCATGTTGTCATAGTGCTGAGTCCCCGTGCCTGTCTTGCCGTACGGGCTCCACGGGATGATGGCAGGCACCTTCTCGCTCTGATCCGACTCGACCGAGCGGAAGATGTCCGCGTACAGGACCACGCCGTCACGCATGGGAATGGCCACATCACGGTCCAGGATCACGTCGATCGGAAAGGCCCGACGACCGGGAAATCGTACATGACCTTTCGGCAGGACCGTCTTGCCCGGTTCGAAGCCGTGGTAAATGTAAGCCGGATGGTCTTCCGGCGTCGGAATCTTGTACCATTCCAGGTCCGGAAACTGTGCCTTGAGAGCTTCTGTAGTCATGCTGAACGGCAATGGATCTAATCAGTGAAATTCAAGAAGAAGAGCCTGTTCCGGTTCCTGGCCAACAGATCAAAGAGTCAGGCCACTTTTTGTATCTCACGATTCCTTCCCCACTTCTCCCCACTTCCCCACCGGTGGTGTCAATATCCATTCTTATAGACTTGGATAGCGATAGTCCTCAATCGTGTATGGGGCCTGGGCTGCGTCTTCTCTCATTAGGGGGCTCTTTACCGGTAGCCGGTAGGCAGTGAGCAAGCGTCTATCTGAGTGATATGACTATTTTTGAGACTTTCGCAAGATCGTCTGGTCTGCGATGCGTAGAGCAGCCGTACCTCCCTGCTCGTGTTTCATCGCCAGGTACGATCTAAGCTCCATTGATTCCTGCATAGTTAGTGTTAGTAAGTGCTACCTCAGCAGGATTGACTGCCAAGTAAGTGTCAATGCCTTGTCTCTAGTGTGACACAGCCATAGTGGTGGCTCTTTAGCATTCGAGTCCAGTCAGGCATACAACCGTAGAGGTCTTTGAAACATCATCTCTGATTGTTTGTTTATCCACCTGAACTGAATATTTATCACATTTCACCGGTTGGTAAGAGTTCAGTCCAATGACTACCGCTAGGCCACTCGTGTTGGTCATCATCCTTGCGGGAGGGTTGACACGACCTGAGAATACCTGGCACACAAAGGTGCACGTCATTTATCGTGAATGTAGTATATAGATCATACCAGCTGGCTGTATCATGGTATGTACTTGGTGGAGACGTGCCCACTGTCCGGTATCTTCTTCTCTCCTTCATCTACCCAGGATACCGGTCAGGCTCTGTACGACTCTCTCCTCTCCCGGTACAGGCAACAAGCAGTGTCTACACAATGGCGTCTGCAACATCGTATTTCCTCTTTTGCGGGGTATGATCTCGCCGTCGCAGTGGCGCGTGTCGTTGCAGCAGCTGAGTGAGACATCGTCGACACGATAAGATAGGACGTGCCTGCAGTTAAAGAGGGGGTAGACAATCGACTAGATAATGTAACGTGGGACTTGCCTTGATAGCCATCTTGATAAGCCATTCTGCTGATCGACACGAGATGGAAGAGGGGAGAGAGCAGAGAGAGAGAGAGAGTGCGTGAGTGTATGAGAGAGGAAAAAAGAGAGAGGAAGTTTTTGTGTGATCGTCGAGTCACCTGAGACATTTTGTTTTGTTTGTCCCTCTTGAAATTCCCACGCAAAAACGAGTTTCTTCCGGTGCAATCGAGTCGACTTCACGATGGCTATCAAGACAGGGTTAGAAGCTGTCGAGAGAGGATACTGTTACATTGAACGTGACAGACAGGCAGACAGACAGACGGACAGACAAAGCAGACAGGGATAGATGAGAGATGAATGCGAGATTCCGATCCAAGGGTGACAACGGAAGGGATCTACAGTCGCAGCAGGGCTATTAATCCACGGAACCACCCTCATTCCTGGGGGTCTTCTTCTCCTCCTTCTTCGTCCATTATCCGGCTCATAGCAGCTCAATTCTACAATGCATCTTCTCCAGCCTCTGGCCGTGCTGGCTGCGGTGACGGCGGTTGCTGGCGTGGCAGTCAACCCGTTGCCCGCTCCTCGCAACATTACCTGGGGATCTTCGGGTCCTAAACACCTGGCTGGTCCGCTGACGCTGCGGTCGGCGGCGGCAAGCAACTCGACGATCGTGACAGAAGGGTGGAATCGGGCGTGGGAGACGATTGTCTCGCTGCAGTGGGTGCCGGCGGCCACGGAGGCCCCCATTGCCCATTACGCGCCCTTCCCGACCGGCGTGCCGCCGGTGAAACGGGAGGCTCCCTCGCCCTCGCTGCGGTATGTGGACGTGCAGGTGGCGGACGTGACGGCGGATCTGCAGCACGGGGTGGATGAGAGCTACACGCTCGAGATCACGGCGGAGTCGAGCAGCGTGGAGATCAGATCGCAGACGGTCTGGGGCGCGCTGCACGCGTTCACGACCCTGCAACAGATAGTGATCTCCGATGGACACGGGGGCCTGCTGGTCGAGCAGCCTGTGCGGATCGAAGACGCGCCGCTGTACCCGTACAGAGGCATCATGGTCGACAGCGGGCGCAACTACATCTCTGTGGGCAAGATCCTGGAGCAGCTGGATGCAATGGCCCTGGCCAAGATGAATGTGCTGCATTGGCACCTGGACGACTCGCAGTCGTGGCCGGTGCACATGAAGGTGTACCCGGAGATGACGCTGGACGCCTACTCGCCGCGCGACACCTTCTCGCAGGAGGCGATCCGGCGGGTGATCGGGTACGCGCGGGCGCGTGGCATCCGGGTGATCCCCGAGGTCGACATGCCCGGCCACTCGGCGGCCGGGTGGAAGCAGGTCGACCCGACGATCGTGGCATGCGCAGACTCGTGGTGGTCGAACGACGACTGGACGTACCACACGGCGGTGGAGCCGACGCCCGGCCAGCTGGACATCATCTATAACGGCACCTACCCGGTCGTGCAGCAGGTGTACGGGGAGCTGTCCGGCCTGTTCACGGACGACTTCTTCCATGTGGGCGCGGACGAGCTGCAGACGGGCTGCTACAACTTTAGCCACTACGTGATGGAGTGGTTCGCCGAGGATGCCTCGCGCACCTACGACGACCTGGCGCAGTACTGGGTCGACCACGCGGTGCCCATCTTCCAGAACGTGCCGGAGCGCCCGAACCGCCGGCTCATCATGTGGGAGGACATTGTGCTCTCGACGCCGCACGCGCACGACGTGCCCAAGGACATCATCATGCAGTCGTGGAACAACGGACTGACCAACATCGCTAACCTGACCGCACTCGGCTACGACGTGATCGTCTCCTCGGCCGACTTCTTCTACCTCGACTGCGGCTACGGCGGGTTCGTCACCAACGACCCGCGCTACGACGTCATGGCCAACCCGGACGCCAGCGTGCCCAACTTCAACTACCTGGGCGACGGCGGGTCGTGGTGTGCCCCTTACAAGACCTGGCAGCGCATCTACGACTACGACTTCACGACCAATCTGACGGACGAACAGGCCGCGCACATCATCGGCGCCGCGTCCCCCCTCTGGTCCGAACAGGTCGACGACGTCGTCATCTCCAGCAAGATGTGGCCGCGCGCCGCCGCCCTGGCAGAGCTGGTCTGGTCCGGCAACCGCGACAAGAACGGCAACAAGCGCACCACCCTCATGACCCAGCGCATCCTCAACTTCCGCGAGTATCTCGTCGCCAACGGGGTGCAGGCCGCTCCCTTGGTTCCCAAGTACTGCCTGCAGCACCCTCATTCGTGCGATCTCTACTACAACCAGAGTGTCATCCAGTAGTTTTTTTTTTTTTTTATCACTTATCCTTGCTTTGACCAGTATTGATTTGACCACCTAGTATTAATAAAAGAAAAATTTTAACTACCAAGGTAGATGATGAATCAGCACGGTTTATTCAGTAGTCTTGTTCAGTCTAGTCGTTAATTACTGACACTAAGATAATGATTTCTCTAGCTCGATGCCCTCGGTAAACGCCTGCTTGAGAGCGGCAGCCTCCGCGCCCTTGGCCTCGACACACGGCCGCCGCGGCAGTCCGCCATACCCGTAGAAGCTCTGCAGGGCGGCCTTGACGGCGACGAAGCCGCCCTTGATGGCGATCCAGTCCGCACGCGCGACGACAGCCTGCAGCTTCTGCGCCTGCGCGACGTCGCCCTGAAGGTAGGTGTTCATGACGGCGACACACGCGCGCGGGATCACGTTTGCCGTGCCGGCGATGACGCCCTGGCCGCCTGCGACCAAGGTCTGGAGGGTGAAGTCGCAGGATCCGCCAAAGGTCAGGAAATCGGAGCCGGTGCCCGCGGCGATGCGTGCCAGTTTGCCCGTGTTGCCGCAGGTGAGCTTCACGCCGATGATGTTCGGGTGCGCGGAGAGCGCCAGGATATCGTCTGAGGAGAGATCGAGGCCCGACGAGGCACCGGGGAAGTTGTAGATCAGCACGGGGATCGGCGAGGCGTCTGCCACGGCGCGGAAGTGGTCCAGCAGCGCCGCGCGGCTCACCAGAGGCTGATAGTAGCTTGGGGGCAGGACGAGGACGGCGTCGCCGCCGGCCTCGGCGGCGTCGACGCTCAGCTGGATCGTCTCGCGGGTCGAGGGGGCGCCCGTGCCGACAATAACAGGCATCGAGGCGTGTCCTGCAGCGTCCAGAGCGCGGCGGGTCGCGGCCGTGATCGTCTTGCGTTCCTCGCGGTCGAGGTGGACCGCCTCGCCGTTGCTGCCTTGGACGACAATACCCGCGATACCTGTCGGGGCGAGGAAAGCAGCGTGTTTCTCGACGGTAGGGACGTCAACATCCTCGGTTGACGTAAAAAATGCAACGGTAGGGACGTAAACGCCCGGCGTGAGGGTGCGGCTGGGCATCTTGTCACTGAATTTCTGAATGGGAATTGCAATCTACCTACTGGTAGTGACTTGTGGGGGGGAGGTCAGTGAGGGGAGAGTTGAAAGAGGAGACATTCACAGCAGGAGCAATTCCTGTATATATAGACAACCTATAGACAACCTCGGTCGGAGAATCTCGCCTTTCCTTCCCCCACGTCGGCTTTTGCTTTCTTTCAGTGTGTCTGTCTTGCAGCTTATTATTGAGAGGTATTCCTGAGGATTCGCTTTGTGACCCCCACGCGCCTGCGGGGTTGGAGAATTAGTATGGAGTAGATGGAGAAGATATTAGTAGTAGGTTATTATATATTATTAGACAAGGTAGGGGATTGCAGTAGCATGTAGTCAGATTAATTGATAGGTCATCCCAAGTACAGAGTGTGCCCTCCAATACTCTGGAGTTTGTGGTGAGGGTGAAGAGAGAGAAAGGCGTGGGTGGAGACGAGCATCGCTTTTGTACTTCGGACAAAATATAAGAAACCAGATGGAAGAGAGAGAAGAGGAATATTAAGAACTTTTGGGTAGGAAGTAAAATCGGAAAAAATAGAAAATAATAGAAGAAGTACCCATAGGGTAATTAGGATAATTAATGTATTTACTATCTACAAGCGTGGCATAACTGTGCCTCTTGACAATTCGGAGATACTCCAGTTCAGATTTAGACGGACGGACAGCCAGGGGATTCGGTCATTTAGGACCGTGGAAGCATCTTCGACGGCAGGACGACAGCATCACCCACGAATTATCTGTGAATTGGATATCATGATACTTTAGCCATGGCCGTCCGTCCGAGGCAGTCTGCTCTGCCTCCAGCAGACTCTCGTCCATCGCGTCGTCGCCCTCGTGCGTCGTCGCCCGCCTCTCCCCCTCGATCGCCTCCGTCGCCTGCATCGCCTCCATCGCCTCACAGAAGCTCCCCAGACCTGCTCGACACGACAATCGACCTCGATCTCCATCCTACAAACGCCTCGGGGCGCCGGCGTGGCGTGCAGCCTCGTCGCTCGCAACCCCGACGCCCCCTCGTCTCCCGACTGGAGACCCCACGCAGGGGTACCCTTAGGACGACGACGACAGCGACAGCGACGAATAGCACCTCCGGCAGAAAAATCTCCTCCTCCACCACCTATCTGTCCCTTCATCCTTCCAGCCGCGAATCTCCCGATCCCCTCGATACCATATCCCCCGCCACGCTGCCCCCGACTCTGGGCCCGACGCGGGCCCCGACGCGTCCCAACGCCGCCGCCGCCGCCGTCGCCGTGTCGTCCTCCTCGCCCGCCCGCTGGCGCACCCTCCATCACTACTTCTCGCCGGCGGTAGACACGAAGGAAGACAAGAAGGAGCAAATAGAGAGACAGCAGCTGGAGGAAACCAGATCGCTAGGCTCGCCTCCCCCGTCTTCGCCCCCGCAGAAGCGCGCTGCTGCTGCTGCTTCTGCGACGCCGCCGCCTGCCAACCAGCCAGACTGCCAGAGAGACAATCATGGTGGTCGCCGGTCGCTGCGCTCGCAGGGCAGCAGCTCGCGGGCCAAAAGCGAGCTGGCGCTGTATTTTCACAATTATGAACAGATCCTCAGTCTCGAACCGCCGAAACGGGGTGAGTGGATGGTACTGTTTTTTTTTTTTTGTTTTTTTTCTCTTTTCCTTTTGTTAGATATCTTTTAAAGAAGCGTACTGACTGTGCAGAATTTCTTGCTGGCGATACAACTGTCGAACTAGTCGACGACCTCCCAGGTCCGCTCCCTAAAAATGACATGGATGAATCGCCATTCGGCAACCCGCTACTCAACCTACACGATTGCGAGAAGATAGAACTGCCGAAGGTGGAAGAAGACAATGGAGCAAAAGGAGAAGAAGAAGACCCGCTCAACGAGGCGATCTATTTCCGCGCGCACCGTCGCATCGAGCGACAGGAGAAGCGGCTACGCAACATCGAGCGCGACAAGGCCCAACATGAACGCATGCAGCTGGAACGCTTGCGCGACGAGCTGGAGGGCCACGACTGGCTGCGCGTGATGGGGGTCAGCGGCGTTGCGGATCCGGACAAGAAGCTCTACGAGCCCAAGCGGGCGTATCTGATCGGTGAGCTGTCGGCCCTGATTAACAAGTTCCGCCTCTGGAAGGAAGAAGAGAAACGCCGCAAGGCAGAAAACAACAACAATAGTAGTATCAAAGATGCGCCTTCACGCATGACCGATTCGGAAGATCCTGTTCCCGCGCCCGAGGGCGAAGGGAAGCGCCGGCACAGCGAACTAAAACAACACAAGGATAAGACCGACTCGCTGGATGCAAGTGACATCGACGCCTGGGCTGCCCACCAGTTGCTTCGCGAGACCCAGTCGGCGGGGACAGCAGGGAAACGTCTCAAGACGTATAGTCGACGATTAGCAGGGGCGTCTACAACAATAAACCATGAACCGCCGTCGCCTGCTCCCCTTTCTCCTCCTCTTCCCCCCCCTCCTCCCCCTCCTCCAGAGCGTCCCTTTACATCGTTTTACCTGCAAGCACATCTACGCGAAACCGCGCTCTCGCCCTCTAGTATGGGTCGGATCCGGTACGCGTTTGGCCAGCCCATTCCGGAGATCAACGTGCGCGAGTTTGCGCTCCCCGCCGAGATTCTCACCGAGGAAACCATTAATGCATGTCGGAGGAAGAGGAGGCGGATGAAAAGGGAGAGTATAAAGAGGTGATGGTTATGTATGAATCCCCGTTACTTTTTTTTTTTCGCGTCTGTACTATTGTATGACTAGACTTATCATAGTAATAAAAGGATATCTATATAACTATTGGGTGTATACTGTTATACATTGTTGGCACAAGAAAAACTCACCCCTGCAGTATCATCATGAATCGCCTTGCCAGAGATATACAAGCCTAGTCCACACAGACAGGCGCCCATCCCCACAATACACAGGTTGAGGACGCTGAGGAGCATCTTGCGTGGAGACGACCAGTACCGGCCCCGATTGAGATGTAACCAGAACAGACCGGCGAGACCGTAGGTGAACCAGCTGGCGAACAAGGCGGTGATGAGCGAGAGCAGATCGCTGAAGATGGGGATCGCCTCGGCGATGACCCAAGCCAATACCCAGAGAGAGAACGCGATGCCGATCCACGAACTCACCGCAAGCCAGTCGCGGCCGTGCATGCGGGACGTGCCCCGGAAGAGCCGCACGTACACGTATTTGACGGCAACGTGGCCGTTGATCACGCCCGCGATCACGATAGTGGGTAGGGCAACCCCGTACGCCACCTTGGCGACGGTGTGGCCTGCGGATCCGAGCGCGGGGGACGTCACATCCACGCCGGCATATCGGTAGATCACCAGCGCCGCGATCAGATACAGCGAGATATCGCTGCCCTGTAGTAGGCAGAGGGCTTTCGGGTAGTCGCGCGGGTCTTTCAATTCGGCCATCAGGCCGAAAAAGGCGACGTGGCCGGCTTGAATCCCAATCATTAGACAGGCTCGAGGTCAAAGTCAAAAGCGTTAGGGCTGAACCGAAAACTTACAAAAAGCAGTTACCATGTTGGTCACTGCGCCGAACCCCGTGTACAGAGTCGTCGGGACGGTGGCTGCGACTCCGGATCCTGGCTGGGTGATTCCCAGGGCAATCATAGTGACAAACACGGCGGAGACGACGCTAGCGAATGCTGTCTCGAGTCAGTACACTGTCTTCCCTCTCCTTGTTGTGGTGGTTTCTATTCTCAACTCACACACTAGCGACAGCCAAGACATCTTTGATAAAGTACGAGGCAGTGAGCAGATACATGAAAGAACCAGTCCAACCACCCCGAAGACAATGGAGCAAGTGGCATGGCCAGTGATGGTGTTCATGGCCACCGTAAAGGTCAGCAGATGACTGGCCATGATGAAGACCAGGAACAGGATCTGCCCGGTACCCAGGAGCTCGCGTCCGAAGCGACCCATGAGCACCTCACCGGCGTCTGCCATGCTATGAATATGCGGGTACCTCCACTTGAACTGGCCGATCACGTAGCCGGTGTAGGTTGATAGGATGCCCAGACCAACGAGCAGGATGACGGAGCTATGGAACTGATATCAGTCTGATGAACATGAAAATCATCAGGGAGAAGTCAAGGGGCATCATACGGAACGAGACCAAGCTTTGCGACGGCAGCGGGGAGCGATAGCACTCCCAGGGACACAGTTTCTGCAACCATGACTGCTGCTCATCAGTTGTCATGTTCTAACCTCGAGATAGTTAACGCTTGTAATCAACTCACGTAGCCCACACTGCCACCATTTCAGCACTTTGTACTTGACTTCTGCATTCTCCTCGTCCCCAAACGCGTCAACCGGGACGGAAGGCGAATCCTCATCCAGCTTCTTATCGATACGCTTCTCCAGCGGACCATCTTCCAGGTCTGCAGCAACAGGAGGCGGATCAACGATCTGAGCGCTCATGTTGAAATAACGGGCGTGAGTCTGGAAACAGAACTCGATAGTGAAAAAAGAGCCTGGAAGAGGCTCATGCTTTGACTCATCTTGCCTTACGCAAGCACCACGACCTTGAATTCAGATTTTCTCTCCTCCACCACCGGTGAAGAAGCTCTGTGGAAGGTTGTGGGCCGGCGGGAGATCAGATAGGTTTGCCACGACGATCACACCGAATCACTGTGGTGAGACGTAAGAGAAACTCCCAAGTGGCTCTGGTGGGCTACAAACCCGGGGGAGCACCAACATGAGAGTTTGATTGCTCCGGATGGGAGTAGAGTATCGGGTTCATGGCAGTAGTCGTGTCTTGAAGTCTTCTCTCGGTATCCTGATCTTCAATAAGCCAGGTCAGTTCGTTGGCTCGGTTTATACGGATTAGTCATCAGGTCCCCTTTAGGTAGGCAGAGAAAATTGTTCCTTTTGGCTCTTCTTGGCAAGAGACCCGCCGGAACATAATGCCTGATCCAGTTAGACTATTAGTAGCGGGAGGTCTGGCGGTCCAAAGCAACGCTCCAATCAGAGCAGAGAGACTTAGCAGTCCTCTCCGGGCCAATCACATGATAGATTAGCACCAGGTCCTCCTACATAGTACAGGCAGGTACGAGCGGGCGTCCGCTCTAGTCTGTTTGGGAAGGGGGTGTTGATTGCCTAAGGCAGACCTCTGTCCAGGTATCAAGGTAGACACTCCTAGTCTAGCTATTATGCCACAGTACTCCCTTGCCTGACTCTATTTAGCTGTACCCTTTGACAGGTATGTGCGGTAGTATTCTAGAGAAAGAATTGAGGCAAGAAACACAAATTTGCCTTAATCTTCTGAGAGTAACTCGAGGATTATTTGTGGAGGCCTGAGGCAGTGAGGCGCTCACGTGAGTTGGTTGCACAAATGTCAAACACGCCTAAAGGTCTCTTTTGCAACTTCCCTTCATCAACATCTCCCAATCTCCTGAAGTTGGACTTCGATACTCCGTCGATTGGAACGAGTCTGCTGCAATGCCTCGGCAAGGGCATTGATAATTACAGTGCTTCGTCATTCATCAGATCATGAATCATCTCTCAGGATACCTTGACTGCGTTCCGAAGAGACCACAGCTCAAGAGTCGCCTGAATCCTCATCAGCAGGGGTCTCGCCTCTCTGCATCTTACACGCAAACACTATCCTAGACAGTCTCCTCTTGACGGCGTATTGATACCCATTCCCCATGGGTTGGCTGTTGTCGGTCCAACAGATGAAAACTAGCGTCTAGCATTTCGTGTGAATACTCGCTTCGAACAATCGGATCTCCTTCCTCTTGTTCCGGTCTGTATGACAGCACAGAGGGATGCAACCCCAGAGTCATCGGGGAATGCCCAGGTAGCTTTCCTCATTCAGAAAACCCGGTTGATCATGGGCAGGGAATATTGATAGTGACTGGTGCTACGCTCCATTTCCTCGCGAAAGAGTGAGAAGCTGTTCCAATCGGATCCGGCCCCGATACCGACATGTTCATCATGGGCGATAATCCGATAGCCATGGAACCATTACTACATTGGATCCTACCCCACAATTCAAAACGTCCTGGTGACCTCAACGTGGAGACCCAAGACGATGCGAATATTTGGAACCACCTGGGCCTGTCTCAGAAACGTCGGCATTGCAGGAGAGAACACCTGTTCTTTTCTTTTATGACGGATCACAGCAAGCAAGAATCCCTACAATCAATTCTTGGGGTGCTGGTGGAGCACGGTCTGGAGATCGATAGGGCCTGGAGCCACTCTCGAGGGCTGAAAGAGTGGTCCAACTTGTCAACCCGGCCTCACGCCGTCGACATTAGAGCTGAATCTAGGACTTCTTCATAGCCCCATCCAAACTTTATCATGGGCCGAGTCAAAATATCGAAGATAAACGTTTGTCCGGACCCCTCACCAGCGTTCAGCGTGTTCTTTCTCTAGCTAACTAAGCGAATTAGCCGCGATTGCCCAAGTAATAATTGTAACCGGTTAAACCGATCAGTAAAAAAAAATGGAAATGGCTCTCCAACTACAGGCCTGGTCTCTGCAATTGTCTATGCATCGGAGCTTGGAGAAGCTCTCGAAAACCTTCATATCTTGAAAAAGACAAAAGAATATAGAAAATAAAAAGTCAACGCTCTAATTAAGGCCATGTCGGAACAAGGTTCTGCTGTCGATAATGAGAAACGGGATTTGGAATGTCCAACTCTGCAAGAACCGTCTCCAGAAGAAGAGCAGCTTCCGCCAACTGCTCGTCAGGAGATAGGTAAAGTAATCAGCACGAATTATACATCTTTCATGGCTGGAATGAATGGTATGGCAATTTTTCTGTTCGGCGCCTTGAAAATATCAACTAACGAGTTCATGTAGATGCTGCAATTGGTGTGTTAATCCCGTATTTACAACCGGCGTACAATATTGGCCTGATGACGGTTTCGTTCGTCTACTTGGTCAATTTTGCGGGATGGCTATCGGCATCCTTCACCAATATTCATGTCTGTTCGCGGGTTGGAACGGGAGGCACCCTCATTCTGGGAGCTATGATCCAGACCTTCGGGTATGCGCTCATGCTCTGGAAGCCTCCCTTCCCGCTCTTTGCCGCCGCCTTCTTCTTCACTGGGATGGGCGAGGCCTTTCAAGACGCCCAGGCCAACAGCTTCATCATCACGATCCGAAACCCGCACCGATGGCTTGGGTTGCTGCATGCCATCTACGGCGTGGGGACGGTGGTCAGCCCGCTGGTTGCCAACACGATGGCCTCGCGAACCCCGTACTGGCATTACTATTACCTGATCACCATGTGTCTCGGGATAATTAATATAACACTGTTGGCGTGGACATTTCGACAAGGGCTGTTCCGTCCCAACGTGCAGGGGGCTAAAGATACCGCCAATAGCGAGCTGAAGGCGACCTTGACGAGCAAGACGGTGTGGATTCTCAATGGCTTCTTCCTCCTTTATGTAGGAGCAGAAGTGACTGCCGGAGGTACCTCTAGATTCTCTCTCTCTCATCTGTATCCATGCTGACATCCTAGGATGGCTGGTCGAGTTCCTCGTCTCCGTACGACATGGCAAGGCAAGCAGGGTAGGCTATATTGCTTCTGCATTCTGGTCTGGCTTTGCATTGGGTCGCGTCGCGCTCGCCGAAGTGACGCATCGATGGGGGGAGCGGCGCATGATTTTCGTCTACCTCGCCATCGCCCTCGCCATGCAGTTGATGTTCTGGTTGATCCCTAACATCGCCGCAAACGCCGTCACTGTCTGCATACTGGGTACGCTCTATAGTTTTATATACCATCAGCCTTCCACAGACTAACGAACCCGGCTTCTCCACAGGCTTTTTCATCGGCCCATTCTACCCCGTTGGTCTTTTCGTGCTTACCAAAATCGTCCCCAAGGAACTCCATATCGGAGCGTTAGGTAACAACAGTACCATTCCACGCTGGAGAGAAACACACTTGCTAACCCGTCAGGCTTCACTGCTAGCCTTGGCCAAGCCGGCTCCGCGGCGTTCCCCTTTATGACCGGCGCAGTCGCATCGAAAGCGGGCGTTGAAGTCTTGCAGCCCATCATGGTCGGTCTGCTCGTGGGGATCGCTGTATTCTGGGCGTTGATCCCGAAACAAAAGTCTGTACAATGAGTGCGTGAACATTGGTTTAGACAATAAAAGTGGGGTGCCCAGGCATACAGATAGACAAAATAGGATTGAAGAATATAAACTGTCCAGAATGGGAGATGGTACCTTATAGTTGAATATCGAGAGCCTCGATCCACAACAGTTTCCGACTGCCTGCATGATAATCAACTATCAACAATGATCTCGCCTTGCGACGAATTTCATGGATCCGGCCTCACATCCTGTTTCCAGTTGGTTGAGGAAGTAGCTTTTGCCAATGTTATATAAATAGCATGTTCCCCTTCACTTGGTCGAGTTTTTCGTCTCATATCAACACATGTAATAGACTATCAGTCTGCATGCGCTACGACTTTCTTTTATCATTGTGGCGTCCCGAGAAATGTACAGGCATTCTCGGCGTTTCCAAGAGGTTGGAGTATGCCGAAAACCTCAAACGACAGTCTCGGAAAGGATGAAAAACCGCAAGTTGAGGATAATTTAGAGAGTGAGATGCTCCACGAACTACACGAGGCTTAAAGTGTGCCGGGGGGGGGCGCCTCCTACTTGGCCGTCCTGCAGCAATCGTCAATTTCTACCATCCCGTCACCGGAGCATGGAAGAATGGCGAATTGTTCTCTTTTCCGCTACGAGCGATATAAGCGAGTCACGCGATGGGCAGATCTTTTCCCAGGCGTTCCTTGCTCAACTGATTTCGACGAGGATATCGAGCCGCAGTCGACCGAAGAGAACACGAAGGGTGTTTAGCATATGCTGACTCTGTTCCAAGATGATGAATAGGCATATTCCACATCCAGTGGTATCGGCTGTCCAATGGAAACCGAGTTAATCATCTGGTCGGACAATGTTTGTAGGCTGTATGGAATGCCCGGTAGTCCAGAGAACTTTCAACATGTCAGCTTTGAGGATTTAAATTATGCAGAACACAGTAAGATATATGCAGGATTGATCAGAGAGAAGATTGAAGTCGTCAAAGCCTTACACGATCTTCTCTGGACGGCACCCGAAGGTCTGTACAGAGAATGGTATGGCATCCGACTAAGGATGACGATAATGTTTTCATCATATACATTTGGAAAAGAAAAATGTAATGAAATGAAGTAGCTTACCTTTGAATCAACGAGAGCATAGTTCATCAAAGTTCTCCCAGGAGTACCGTAGGTAAGTATAGTTGTAGACCTACGCTAGTCTTCATACGAGACGAGCTTGCGACTGAAAACATGATGCTTAGACGACGATGAGCTACCATGGCCGCTCTCACCGTAATCCAACGCTCCAGACGTAGTAGCATGAGTGGCTGCATCTTGGTGACGCGTGTTTTTCCCTGGCTGGGACTGGTCCAACTGCGTTTCGTTGATCGAATCGCGGTTCTTGTCTTGTTCAACTGGTGTCGCGTTTGTCGCAGCGTTGGTCTTTTCATCCATTTCCCTTTCCCTCTCTTCGGCGAGGGCTTCCTCTTTCAGCTGCTTTTCCCGCAGAAGCGCATGAATCTCACTATGTCGGAAAATTTCGATTTGTTCATCGGTAAGCGTTCGTTTCACACCATCCTCATAGTATCCCAGCCCGTCATCGTCTGGATCGACTTCATATGTTTCCTCGTAGGACTCTTCGTAAGATTGTTGTCCGTACGTATATCCAGATGTCAGCGAAGTCGCGTGCCCGGGGAAGTGTTCAGCCTGGAAAGCTTGTAGATCTTCCTATTGTAAGCCCCGTGAGTATAAACTTGTATTGATGACTGATTCGGTGCCCTGTAACCATCACGACTTACCAGAGTGACTTGGGGAATAGACGGGTCGGACATGGCATCCACCCACACAGCTCAGACCTGAAGCTGTCGAGGCCGAGAAAAGAAAAGTCAGACCAGCTGGTTATATATTAAAGTGCAAGGAATCGAATTATAGCCCCATGAGGATAAATTCACTAAGTTGGGCTGGATAGAGGTGATGGTTTCCAGGAAGGAAGAGGTGATGTGTTTGGGAGGGTGCAAAAGTTACGCGCGTGGGATTACGTGCCTTGGTTAACTAGCGGCCCACCGTAGATCAACAATAGCATTCTAGAAGAATAATATCGAGCTCTGGTATATTTCTAGTCCACATAATTCGTAAAAATCTCGTCGCTACAGCTGTCAAATCTGAAGACTGGTTACATGGTTGCCGATTTTTGCCTTGACACTGCAAAACCGAATCGAGAGATCTTCCAACGCTCGCAAGTCCGCTTTTGCAGCTCGCCGTTTGTCTTCAGGGGATGGCTCCGTCAAGCACCACGCCAAGGAGATATGAAACGAGCGTGAAAAGTCCTGGATAGCCTGCTGTTCATCCATCGCCTTCGCCTGGCCGCCCGATGGACCTGTTTGTCGTTTCTTGGCTTCGCCATGTTGGTGAGGCGATCCATAGAGTGGAGGTTGACCGAAGTGTGCCAAGGAGCTGTTTGACAATCGGAGCAGAGTGTTCAAGTAGTCCTTTTCATGTTTGCAGACTCGTAGGACCAGAAACCACCGCGTCTTCTCGTAATTCGAGACCCAGTCCAACCCTTCAACCGTGACATCAAAGCTAGAATCAATGTTAGCACAATGAAAATCCTTCATACCTAGTGACTAGAAAAACCTACGCGGCGATATTCGAGTCTTGAAGGAAGTGCTGGAAGGTAGCCAGGAAGGGTGTTCTCTGCTCTGTCTGGAGCACCACGGGGCGAGAAAGGCTGATGTGAAGAGGCAGCTGGGCACCGAGGTCACTCTGCAGTAGGCTGTGGATAGCAATGTTACCCTCGGAGTTATCCTCTAGTCGAGTTACGACTTGGTCAAGCTTTATAAAATCGTTCTTAGATGGGTACCCTGCACCAGTTAGCAGTGGTGCTATTTGATCGGAGGCTTTTTTTTTTCTCTTGACTTACATTCTAGGTATATATGTGTCGGCCAGTTACCCTCGACGTGAGGAATAGCCCTTTTGCGGCCCCCATGCAGGTTCGGATCGTCTCTGATGCTGACTCGAGTGCTCGAAGCGTAGAGATCGTGGAAGGCTGCTGGGAGAGGCGGCAGCGTTGGCGATCGGTGCTCAAGGCGACGTTTCTTAGCTGGCTGTTGCAACGGTTCATGAGCCGACTCGGACTCTGACCCTGACCCTGATTCTGCCTCGGAATCGGAGTACTGAACCAAAGCCATTAATATTACATGGGTGGTGAAGGTGGCATGCTGGTGGAGAAAATTGCTGGATGTTCTGGCCTTGGCTGGCAGACAGCGCCAAGACTGAGGTGAAGCTATTCCTGAAAGATTTGAATTAAATGCTTAAAACGACTTGGCTACTAAAAAGTCTTGGGATAGTTAATAGTTTTTAGCCTAAATTCTGTAATATATTCAGGCCTTTCTTGTTTAATTGCTATTTTGCCTGCGCATATACTATATTACTAGAGGAAATCCACTGCTTATACCTATTTAGAACTGGTCATCGCAGAAGATATAATTGAATATTCCTAGAATCTATGATGCGAGGATAGGAAACTACGTCCTGCTTATTCGTCATTGAAGTTCGTCCTCAGGCAACAATCCCCCCGAGTCTTCAGCATGACGCTTGCTTCTGCCTCCAACCGTACCATTTAACCCCCTTATACCAACCACGGCATAGCAAATAACGGTCTAGAGCACCCGAGGAACTGGGCTAGAATGCAACTGTTGCCTTCGAAAACCCGTGGAAGCCTGCAAAAAGCCACCAAGCCGAGCGTTGCGGGCCTGCCGGGGCCGCCGGAATTCCCCAATGCCACCTCAGGCCTGTCATCTTGTCATCCTCGCGATCCGAACGAACCGGGCCAGTTTCTGCGGTAAGCTGGAAATCGCCGTCTCTGTCCGACAACCAGCAAGCAGGAGAATCCCAAAAGAAGCCGTCAGTCGAACAAGGAAGCGATGAGATCACCGAGATCCACCTGAGACGTCGTGAGAGACGATCCAGATCGACGAGGCACCCGCGATCGTTGCCTGGGGCCAGAACCTGGTGGGTTTTTTTCTATCGATAAGCCTCTTATGCTACGCAAGACATCACGTCACCCCGACCCATGGGAGACAGGATGACGGATCTCTGGGAGTGCCTCTGGGGGGGTTTATTAGCAATCGACGAGTCCGTTTTCTTTTCTTCGATCTTCTCTTCTCACACTGAATCGATCCTCTGTTCTAGAGCGAAAAAAGAGATACCAACGACCATCCCATCCATCTTGCAGTTACAGTGATTGACAGCCCCACTGAAATTCTGTCATACTACAGATTACTAGATACATATTCTTTTTACTACAACTTCCTCTAAAAGCCAGTATCATGGCTGCTGCAACTGAATCTCAGTTCCTCGCTGGTCCTGCGAGAGAATTCTCGAATAACAATCCCTACTACCACCATGCATCTCCCTCGCCGAGCCGATACAACCTCAGTCTCACACGGTCGAACTCGGTACCGTCGATCTTCTTCCCTGAATCCAGAGAACACCAACCTGTGGAGCCCAAGAGAAAGCAGAGGGACAGTACTGGCACTCGTGGGCATCGCCATCACCGGTCTGCGAGGCATTCTCGGCCCAAAAACACAGACGTTATCGACCAGCTGGACGATGCAAGCGCCTTCCAGTACCATCACGAGGGGCCTTACGACGCGGCCCTGCCCCGACGAAACCAGGACAGCAAAAAGAGTCCGATTGAGGCTCTCAAGGACTCGCATGCCGAGATTCTCAAGGCGACACCGCACGACAAACTCGTCGACTGCCTCGAGAGCCACCGTCCGCTCGACGGAGTTGCCTTTTTCCCTCCCGGGCACACTGATCGGGATGGCAATACCTACGACTACGAAGAAGGCAGCAACATGATGAACGACTATGGGAATTTTTTCCGGGTGCCTGGTCTGGTGAGTAATCCTGCGAGTTTATTTCATCTTGACGTCATGAGGTCGTGTAGGCAGCAACTGACTCCAGACTGTTCAGAAATTCACCGAGGAGGACTTCAAGAACGACCCCTTCTATAACTCGCCGCCTCCCAAGCCATTTACTGCTCTCAAGAAGGCGCTTTCCATCCGTCGCCGGAAGCGCAGCGACACCTCGTAACCGACTCGACCTGACGAGTTTCACAACGGAGCTGAAACTGCCTTCCCATGAAGTTACGACTGGACATTGTACGACACCGGGCTTATACGACTGGAGTTTGTGATTTTAGAAGTTATTTCTCATTTCTCATATATGTACCTTTCTCCAACTGGTTAGTTTCGGGCAAAGTCCCATTTGTATAACCAGCATGACCATTCGAATATGCACTGGTCTTCGGAAAGTTTCTCTGTACTTTCCTGTCTACTCTACCCGGCCAACCCCTCGATGTAAGGTTTAAACCGGCGAAGGGCTTCGGGCTGACGTCCCATTTGTACTGGCCAGGGCTATACCTCGTCGACGCGAACCTTCCTCCGTTTTCCTACGGGTTTTGGAGGTTTAACGGGAGCGTCTAGTCTACCTCTACCACTTACCACCATGACCAGAATAAAAGTCATTGTCCTCACAATTGTCGTAAACGTAGACAGGAAAAAGGCTCCTTTTATAAAGCAGACTATCGCCACGGTTGCCTCATGCGTCAGACTGAGCTCAACACCGAGCCACCGTCCATATAAGAGTAAATAGTTACCGCTATAGCCACCCCGACACTAAAGATACCCATGCCTCGAGCGAGACTATGACTTCCATCCAGCGACGATCGATCCCAACTCTCGGACCACTGCACCCGCCCAACGTCGAGAAACACGCCGTCAAACCGTCCATCGCACGGCATGTTCAGATCCGCGTCTCGGATCCCCTCGACCACAGTGTGCAGGCCATCTTGCACGAACCACATAGCTATAACGCCATGCAGGCCAGCTATGCTGCCGTTGTTCTTGTTAGCGGGGCGGGGGGAGGGTTAAGCGGACCAGCAGGTGCTTTTACCTACATTTATCTACATTTCTTTTTAAACTGACTGGTCTACGAGGAATCTATACTTCCCTTGCCGATAAGCTGGCCGTCCTCCTCTCCATCCCATGCATTCGACTCGACTACCGCCAACCAGGAACAACGCAGTGCTGTATTTTCGACATCCTGGGGGCCTTCACCTATCTCTCACGACATTTCAGCTCCTCGCGTTTCGTGCTGGTGGGATGGTCGTTTGGCGGAGCCCCCTGCTTCACCGTTGCGTCAAGGGAACCGCAACGTGTTCGGGGTGTGGCGACCATCGCCTCCCAGACGGCAGGGACGGTCGGGATCACGAAGCTGGCGCCCCGGCCGGTGCTGTTACTACACGGGACGGGGGATAGAGTGCTTTCGTATCTGTGTGCAAAGTCGTTGTATCACGAGTACGGCACCGAGGGCCAGCGCGAGATGGAATTGTACGAAGGCGACGACCATGGGTTGACCATGAACGCGCCCGAGGCCGAACAGAGGATCTTCAAGTTTGTCGCGCGGTGTCTCGAGCTCGAGAGTCTCTTGGATCGTGAGGTCAGCGACAAGGCACGGCAGGATCTGGTGGAGAGTCGCGAGGAGAGGATCAGAGAGATGGAGATGGGCAGGGATCTAGAGGGAGGAGAAAAGATTTGATTTGATTTTTTTTTTGTTTTTTTGGATTAGCAATAATGTACAAAAAACGTCTATTGACATTTTCTAGTCAATAGAATCGAATCAATAGATCAATAGATCAATAATCAGAATCTATCGGACGGCTAAGATAAGCAAGGGTTGCGCCACCAAGGCCAGATGTCAACTTTATCGTCCCATTCCCCTGCCTGGATCCCAGCATTTGTTCCTTTCTTCCAGTTGTGGTTTACTGTTGATACATTTGATAGATTTCCTCTGTTTGTTAATAGCTGTACTGTTTATCTTCGCCCGTCTACCGTCTACCGTCTACCGTCTGCGTTGCTTCCGATCCCTTGACTGAGTCTGACGATAAGGTTGAATGAATTTCTGAGAAACAGCCTGAGATGCGGTCTGCGGCCAAGGGGTTTTATCTGGCCTTTTTCGCCTTCTTGAGTCTGGCCAGTGCCAGTAGCCATGGCGAGCATAACGGACACCACACGGCAGATACGTGCGCAGTGAGTTTCCCCAGCGAACATCTCGGGAGAATTTGCCTCTGAATGCTAATACAAGGTTGCTACTAGATTGATCCCAAAGCGACCGTGTCGGATGCCTGTGTCTCGTACGCCACAATCGATGAGCTGAACGATCAGGTCTACCCCCTCCTCCAGTCGCTCACGCAGGAAACCGACTTCTTCTCATACTACCGGCTCAATTTGTTCAACAAGGCGTGTCCGTTCTGGTCCGATGCGAGTAGCATGTGTGGCAATATTGCATGCGCCGTGAACACGATCGAATCGGAGGAGGACATCCCGTTGACCTGGCGGGCGGAGGAGCTGAGCAAACTCGAGGGGCCCAAAGCCGGACATCCCGGCCGCAAGTTGCAGGAGGAACGGCCCAAGGACCGTCCGCTCCAGGGCATGCTGGGCGAGGATGTCGGGGAAAGCTGTGTGGTCGAGTACGACGACGAGTGCGACGAGCGCGATTACTGCGTGCCGGAAGATGAGGGCGCGACGGGCAAGGGCGACTATGTCAGCCTGGTGGACAATCCGGAACGCTTCACGGGGTATGCTGGCATGGGCTCCCGACAGGTCTGGGATGCCATCTACCGGGAGAACTGCTTCCTGAAGCCGCTGCCGGAGACAGGGCTCTCTTCATCGACGAACAACTTCCAGCCGGGGGGCTTGCAGGCGGCCAACGACTTCCGCAGCCTGCTCCAGCAGGAGTCGAAGCGCGGCGATGGGTTTTTGCTGGACGACGAATGTCTGGAGAAACGCGTGTTCCACAGGGTGGTCAGCGGCATGCATGCCTCAATCTCAATGCACCTCTGCTGGGAATATATGAACCAGACCACGGGCCAGTGGCACCCGAACCTACAGTGCTACAAGGACCGGCTACACTCACACCCGGAGCGGATCTCGAACCTCTACTTCAACTATGCTCTGGTCTCGCGCGCTGTGGCCAAACTGCGCAAGCACCTCCAGGACTACACCTTTTGCTCCGGCGACCCGGTGCAAGATAGCGACACCCGGCGCCAGGTGTCCCAGTTGACCGAGATCCTCGCGGACCGTCCGCAGATCTTTGACGAGAACATCATGTTCCAGGACCCCAGCGCCATCGGGCTCAAGGAGGACTTCCGCAACCGCTTCCGGAACGTCAGCCGGATCATGGACTGCGTCGGGTGCGACAAGTGCCGCCTGTGGGGGAAGCTGCAGACAAGCGGCTACGGGACCGCGCTCAAGGTGCTGTTCGAGTACGACGAGACGAAGAACGGCGAGAACCCGCTTCTGCGCCGCACGGAGCTCGTCGCCCTGGTCAACACCCTCGGTCGCATCTCCCACAGCCTGGCCGCGGCGCGGAGCTTCCATCGGACCCTGACCGCGGAGTTGGCCGGTGTCAACACTGACACCTCCGGGGAGCAGCAGACGCCTCTGACCCCTGAGCCCGAGCCCGAGTCCAACCGCCGACTCATCGTGCATGGCGTGTCCAGTGTGGAAATGGAAGGCGACGAGGACGAGTTCCAATACGTCACGGGCGACGTTCCCTGGGAGGCGGATCGAATCGAAACGAACTCCCTCATGGACGAGTTCAAGGCCGAGCTCAGCGTCGTCTGGAACACCTACGTCTATGTGTTGAAGACCTGGTACTACCTTCCCAAGACAGTGTAAGTTCTTCCTTCTAAACCTCTCACCCAACATCCCCATGCTTATCATATCAGGTTTGAAATCGCCGTGACGGAGTTGTCCCGGCTATGGAACTTCTGGCTCGGTCTCCCCATAGCTCCCCGGTCATGGAAGCTCCAAGCACCCAAGCCCCGGCACGAGGAATTATAGGGGCTTCCCTTGTAAAATTACACGGTTTATCATATTTATCTTTTTCAAGGCGTTAGAGGACTGCATTGGGGGTTGATCTGGGACATTCCACTACGGCATGGCATGGCAGAGCCCTTATTCTAGACTCTGTCGAATTCTCCATAGAAATAACTCATCTAATCAATCATATTAAAAATTCAAGTATAATCAAACAATCTGTAATCGATACCAGGATTGATATTGTGTAAACGAATAATGTCTCCGTACATCCTCGGCTCGGCGTTTGATGCCCACATGCGACTCCTCCAGTTGCCTCTCACTCTCTCTTCTGTCTCCGCCCGCCAGTCCTAATCTTGTGTCATTCTCACCCCCCCCCCTCGAAAACTCCATCTCCATCTCAACGCGATCCATCGCTCATCGCTTTATCGATCTTTTGTTTTCAAGTCTTTTTTGGAGAGATATTGTTTCTTTTTCAACTTTTCATCTTATTGTCCTGTAGTCAGCCTAGGCTGGGTGAGCCAGCGCGCCCGATTTCATGGCGACGGTATCGCCGCCAAAACCGTGGGAAAGGGCCGCCGCAGCAGCAGGTATTTTCCATCGATCAATTTGAATCCTTCTTTGTATTCTAATTTGTCAGGCCCGGCTTTACCTGCGTCCCCCGCCATGAGTGCTAGTCCTGCAACAGCCGCGCCGGCTGCGTCCACATCACCGACATCGGCGACGACAACGTCAGCAGCAGCAGCAGCAGCACCTGGTGCCGCTGCTCCCGATTTACCATCCCGACCGAGCACGTTGAACGCGGTGGTGAACCGGACAGCATCGACCTATTCGCCGTATGGCACGTCGCGGTTCGGAACAAGTCCCTACGGAGGCTACGGTGGCTACAGTGCTTACTCGTCGCCCTACTCGCGCTTCGGGGCCATGGGGTCGATGTATGGCGGATACGGCGGGATGGGAGGCATGGGCGGCATGTACGGCGGGATGGGTGGCATGTACGGCGGGATGCCGGGGGGGGATCCCAACGATTCCAACAGTCTGACCGACTCGTTCAGCCAGAGCACACAGGCGACCTTCCAGATGATCGAGAGCATCGTGGGGGCATTTGGCGGGTTTGCACAGATGTTGGAAAGCACCTATATGGCCACTCATAGTTCATTTTTCGGTAAGGAATGTTTTTTGTTTTTTTTTTTTTTTTGTTTTTTTTTTAAAAAAAAAAAAAACTCACAATGCATGCTAACTATCTAAGCAATGGTTTCGGTCGCAGAGCAGCTTGGGAACCTGCGCAACACGTTAGGATCCGCGCTCGGTATCTTCACGCTGGTCCGGTGGTTTCGAACGCTGATCGCCAAACTGACCGGTCGTCCTCCGCCTGTCGACGCGACATCTCTCACCCCGTCGGCATTTGCGGCGTTCCTGAGCGGTCGGTCCGCACCTGCAACGCTACCTGACGGCTCGCCCGCGCCCCCCAAACCGTCGAAGAAACCGTTCATCATGTTCCTGGTGGCGGTTTTCGGTCTCCCGTACCTGATGGGCAAGCTCATCAAGGCCCTTGCGCAGTCGCAGGAGGAAGAGGCTAAACGGCGGCAGCAGCAGATGCTGGTGGGCCCGAACGGGGAGCCCGCCGCCGCCGGGGGCGAGGTTGGCGCACCGCTGGACCCGTCGAAGCTGGACTTCTGCCGCGTGCTGTACGACTACACGCCCGAGGCACAAGAGAGCACGGGCATCGATCTCGGAGTGAAGAAGGGCGATATTGTCGCCGTGCTCAGCAAATCGGACCCGATGGGCAACGCCTCGGAGTGGTGGCGCTGCCGCGCACGAGACGGGCGCGTTGGATATCTGCCCGGCCCGTATCTGGAGACTATCCAGCGCCGACCGGCGATTACTGCTTCTTCTGACAGCGCCAGTGCCAGTGCCAGTGCCTCTGGGAGTCGCGCCAACTCGCTGAAGAGCACGGTGAAGCCGGTCTCGGAAAAGCCCGAGCTCAAAGGCAAGATGGGCGACATCTCGCCGGAAAGTTTCCAGAAGAGCACATTCTATTCGTGACGATCGGTATATTAGTGTTTCCTTGGTTTATTTAGTATCTATCTTATGTATCTTAGCGATGTCAGTCTACATACAACTATAGTAGTTAGTCAATATGCAAGCATTTCTAAATATGATTTAAGACTAAATAAAGGACTGCGTAATAAGCCGAGGCTATACTATAGTACATACCACGCTTACAAATGTGTAGCAGGATTAGCTGAATTTTTCAGCGCATCTATCTCCTAGTATCTATAATCAATAGACATTTACCTACTGTAAAGATTATAACAATGAAACCCCCCCCATCCCCCCCTAAACTCTACGATATTCTATCCTGGACACCACCGTATGCGCGGTACGATGCCTCCTCGCCGCCCCAGTTCAGTCTTGCGCTGAATCTCCTCTTCGGTTTTGCCGCCACCTTTACTGTACCTCCTCCTCTTACTCGGTGCTTCCTATAATTATCCCTTATGAATAGCTGTTTATAACTTATGCCAGGTCGCCAATCTATACTATTCACACCCGATTCTAGCCACCCTCGCCCAGACATTCAAGGTCAGCGATGAACGGGTGTCCATCATCCCCACGGTGATGCAGGGCGGGTACGCTGCTGGCCTGGTGCTCGTGTGTCCACTCGGGGATATCGTCAAGCGGAGACCGTTCGTCTTGTTCCTGACCCTTTTCACGGCCACGGTCTGGCTTGGGCTCTGTCTGACGGGGAGGTTCGAGGTGTTTGTCGTCTTGAGTTTTGTCACGAGTGTCACGACTGTTACGCCGGTATCTTCCCTCCTCCCTTTTGAAAATGAAAAAAAAAAAAAAAAAAAAAAAAAAAACTCGATAGTATACATTAAGACTTATGTTGACTTATTCCAGCAAGTAATGTTACCTCTTGTCGGGGATCTGGCCCCCCCAACCCGCCGGGCAACGGCTCTGTCGATCGTGGTCTCGGGGCTTCTGCTCGGGATGCTGATTGCGCGGGTGCTGTCGGGTGTGATCGCAGAGTACTCGTCGTGGCGCAATGTGTACTGGATGTCGCTGGGATTGCAGTATGGCATCGGAGTGCTGCTCTGGGTCTTCATGCCGGACTATCCGCGCACCAACACGGACATCACCTACGCGCGGATCCTGTGGAGCATGGTGCAGATCGCGGTGCAGAACCCGCTGCTCGTCCAGTGCTGTCTGATGGGGTTCTTCCTGTCGGCGACCTTCACCAGCTTCTGGACGACGTTGACCTTCCTCCTCTCCGCGACACCCTATGGCTTTTCCACCGTTGTGATCGGCCTCTTTGGCTTCGTGGGGATTGTTCCCATGTGTTTCGGCCCGCTGTACTCCCGTCTCGTCATCGACCGGTTCATCCCCCAACTTTCCATCCTCGTTGGCCAGGGAATCGCCTTGCTGGGTATCATCCTGGGAACGTACTTGGGAAACATCACCCTTGCCGGTCCCGTCCTGCAAGCCGTCCTGCTCGACTTTGGCCAGCAGATCGCCCAGATCGCTAACCGCACCGCCATCTATTCCGTCGCCCCCAAGGCCCGCAACCGCGTCAACACAGTCTACATGCTCGGCGTTTTCTGCGGCCAGCTCATGGGCACCGCCGCGGGGAACCATCTGTTCGCTCACGGTGGCTGGGTGGCGTCGGGGAGCGCCAGTGTTGGGTTTGCTGGCGCTGCCATTGTTCTCTGTCTGCTCCGCGGGCCAAGGGAGACCCGCTGGCTGGGTTGGCGGGGAGGCTTTCAATTGCGTCGCGAGAAGCAGAAGCAGCAGCAGCAGCAATCACAGGAACAAGAGGAATGCGGACAAGTGGAGGAATGGCAACAAGACAAGCCAGTCCCCAGGATAGAACCTGCGGAGGCGCCGAGTGAAATAGATCTAGAAAGCTTGAAACCATAACAGTACATAAAACTCTAGCAATACAATATAATATGAAAGCATAAAAGAAAGAAAAAACACTATATCTATTGCTGTACACGCGGAACTAAAGACGACTGACCGACTTACACTTGCGCGGTTCACGTCTCTGATTTCTAGAACCATACGAAGGAGGTCTGACGAGGATCACAAAAGTGAAGCATCCAAATATACAAGAGAATCTGCTGAAAGAGGAGAAATGAAGAAAAGAACAAAAAGAAAAGAAAAGAGGAGGAGGGAGAAAAGAAATCGCTTGCTTTTCCAATCGGATCATTACATCGCGTGGCACACGTGGATATATTAGAGAGAGCAAATGCAGGGAAAGAAAAATGGGTGAAGCAAGGATCATTCGTACTCATCTGGAGTTTGATACTCGCTTAGGTCTTGATCCATGGTTCTAGTAAGCTGAAGCAGCTTCTCCTGGAAGGTGGCAAGGTTCTCCCAGTTTTGCATGTCATAATCTTCCTCGATGGGCTTGGGCATGTACTGAGCGGGATGGGAAGTAACGATGGAATGTGTTAAGGCTGAAGGCTGGACTGGAGGCTGAGGTCGGTGTTGGGCCTGAGGCTGCAGGTGAGGTTGGGGTTGGGTTTGAATTGCGGCTTGGGGATGATGGGAGGTGGTGATGATGGTGGCGGTGGTGGTAGTGGTGGTGTTAAGGGCCCTCTCCGGTAGGGGTTCCTCCGTGACGGGGCTGGAATCAATCTCGGTGGTATCTGGATGGTCAGAGACGAGAGGGGGAGAGAGCATCCCAAGAGACTCACGTTGATCTGCATCGGGAGATGCGGTCTCCGTATCCTCTGGGGGATCATATCTGTCCTCCGGTTCGGGAGTGTAGCAAGACATATCGGAGGGGGTTGCTGATTTTTTCACTTAGTAAGAGGGGAGGGTTCAGTATGGTATAAAGTATTTCATGTAATGCTTACCCGGCTCCGGACTCATCAGAGGAGGATCACGACGCTCAACCTCCCACGAGGGGCCATATCGCCGCATGAAACGCTGGATGCGTTTCGAGTCGACTTCTTGCCCGCCAACTCGGAAGGCCGTCTGCTTGCCCCTGGCGGCACGCTTCTGCTGCTTGCGGATCATGAGCTGGACTTCCTTGGCCTTGATGTTCTTGCGAACATGCCAGGCAGCGAGACGGTCCTTGTACTGCTTTTCCCTGCAGAAGTAAGCAAAATGGGCGGTCGATCCAAAACAGTGAGAGAACTGGGGGGAAGAGGGGGGGGAGAAGGAGTGACTTACGAGGCAACAAAGTTGTAATCCCGCTCCATGATCCTCTTGACATCCCGCAGCTTGAGCTGGTCGTTCCGGTACAGCTGCTCGATGATGGCCCGGAAATCTTGCCAGTCATCAGACCGACGAGGACGGAAGACGGACGAGGAGCGGTGCTGCCTGGCTGGTAGCGGAGTCGTTGGGGTCGTCGTAGCTCCGGCAGCCGTAGCAGCAGCAGCAGCGGCAGCACCGGCAGAAGTCATCGAGACATTTGCTGTCCCCGCAGTTGGCGTGGAAGTTGCTCGTTGAGGGATCCTGGGCAGGTCCCTAGTAGACGGTGGGACAGAGGCATGGTTATTATGCCCACGTCCGAGGCCATCCATCACGGCGATGAAGAGAAGCGACAGATACCCGACGGAGCGGTCCTCTCATAGTCTTCTTCCCGGATTCTTGGTTGTTGACTCTCCACGCTCATCCAAGAGAAAAATTGATAGATAGACAGATTGACAGATTGATGGATCGATGGATCGATGGACAGATGGATTGACGGACGGAGAGGAGAGAATGCGTCTGACAGGAGAGGATCCCGGCGGTTGTATTATAGTAAGAGCACCGATGCTCACGGCAGCGAATGTCGGTCACCCTTCCTTCCCTCTCACTGGTTTAATACGAACCAGGGAGCGTTGGACGGGGGAAAATGCAGCGATGGCCAGCAAGAGAGGAAAAGGTCAGGCAATGTTTCCGCGACAAGTGGTTCGCCGGGCTCTGGGAATCGATGAGCTGCACACACCAGACCCGATATCACCTGTGTCCTTTTTTTCGAGAAGTCGTAGCAGTAGTAGTATTATTATTATTATTATGATGATTATTATTATTTTTTTCTTCTTTTTCTGTTTGTCTCCAAGAAGAATGCCTTGTTGTCTCGTGGCACTCGTTCGTTGTCTAGCTTTTTCTTTTTCTTTTTCTTTTCTGATTTTCTGATTTGCATGGGCCCCCTCCCCCCAAGTGGTCCTGCGGCGCAGGAGACTCTCGTAGTCTGGTAGAGGAGTCGCGGAGAGTCTAAGAGAGGGGGGGGGGGAAGCGTGAACGTCTGGCCGGGAGGGGGGGACTAGTCCTTACTCGTTGCGGCGAGCTGCTGCAAATGGCCTGCGCGGGACGGCGGTTCCCTGCTTCCCCGGTCCAATGGGAAGCTGCAGGGCGTCCGCCGTCGTACTTTTGCTGCAGGCAAAGGCTCAAAGCTCCTGGCGGGCCCCACAGCCATGGCCAATAGGATGGACGGGTATACAATACGGTACTCACTGAGTTCTACCTAGTACCTACCTCCTACTGTAACTAGGTAGTAACTTAGGTACCTAAGGTTAGTAGTAGCTAACATACGGTACCTTACCTAGGTAACTGCCGGTAGCTACCTCATTCCTCGGAGTACAGCGTATCAGGTAGATATCTGGCAGTATGGAGTACTCTGTACTTGGACCTACAAGTAATTATTGATTAAGAGAGTATACACGTGATGCTTGTTCTAGATCTAGTCCACTGTGGATGTCAAGCTAAGATAGTTGATGGAGCCTGGAACAGTGACTAGCAAACTGCAGTGCAGTCCAGACTCAACGATTACTAGTAGTGCCTACCGGTATGGATGGCATATGCAATAGCCTACAAAGTAGGAAGTAAAGTGACCACCTAGATACCTAGTATGATGTACTCCGTAGTAAGTGCCGGGGTTAACTAATTACAAGGGACGGAGTACACAGTAGGTAACTAATTAACCTCCAACCAGTCGACTATATAGTTTATTACCAGGTAGATACACGTACCTAGATAGGTGTCTACCGAACTAGGTACCTAGGTAGTTACCTCTAGGTAAATACTCTACTAGGTACCTAGTACACCCTGATACTCGGTGTTCCTCATCTGAACCAGGAAAGGATAGCCCGGGCTCCATCTCGGAAAACAATTCCAGCAAGAGGACAAAATGGTGGTAAAAGTACTGGGTACGAAATGGTATGTACCATGCATGTACTAACTAACTACTACTAACTAGGTACCTAGGTACTACTAGGTACCTCTAGTTAGGTAGGTACTCCGTATGTCAAGTTAGTAAGGTATAGTAGTAAGGTATGAATACTAGCAAAAGTACGCGGATCCACTGCCGCTAGCTATTCATGCAGGTGCAGCCATGGCCTACATGAATGAGTTTCCAGCGCGAACGCAGGATCTTCAGCTACGGGTACTACATATGGAATATACTACATGCTCAGTCAATGTCAGTAGATGGGTAGTTATAGAGTATCATCCAGATTGTTGACTGATTTACATTTCTAGTATTTTATCAGGTACTATGTAAAGAATTAATTATGGACCTACTATAGTACATAGTACATATAGTACATAGTACATATAGTACATAGTAACTACATACTAGAAACATACGTACACATAGTACCTAGTACATACTACGGGTCCAGGATCAGTACCCCTAGGTAAGTACCTAGTACCTAGGAGCAGCTTCGGCCCGCCCCCAGATGCACGAGGGATCGATCTCTAGTATTAGTAAATTACAGTAATAATGAGTTGACTACCTAGTACTACTAGGTAGTAATAATTAGAATAGGTATGTAATTAGTAATTACTAACTATATCGTCTTACGTACTGCTAGTACCTCACTGACATGGGTGCAAGGCAGACTACAGGGAATAATGTTAAGAGTACATACAGAGTACATGGTTATTTCATACTTGACCGCGACAGATCGTAATCCCAGACCCGGTAGCCTGGTTCGTGGCGTGTTACTACAGAAGAAGTACTACAGTATTGATGAATAGTCTCAAGAAATCAAGAACGACTTGGAAATAAGAAGAAATAAAAGCATCGATAGAAGGATTGATGCCAATATCCTGGTCAATTCGCAGGACGACGCTCAGTCAATAATAGTGAGTCATGACTCAGTAATAAAATACAGACAAAAGTACGAGAAAGTACCTACACACTACAAGACTACAAGAATACTAGAATGCTACATAGAGTCTGTATCTTATTCCATACATTGTACTCCATACTCTATTCCATAACCTACTCTCTATTCACTGCGACTCGACTGTACTTTTGCCTCGTTGAATAATCGTGTCATCGCACGACTCGAGACAGCAATCGATCACCGCCCCACAAAACCCACAACGAGCGTCCCGTCTGTTGCAACGACGGAAGCAAGGGACGCCTCGCCCGGCCGGATTCTGGACCGCCGAGATTTGGCACTGTCCATGTCCACTGGAATAGTACAAAGTATCCACTGTCCATGTCCATGTCCATGTCCATGTCCTTGTCCATGTCCTTGTCCAGGATCCACCGGCGCGCCCGTCTCCATAACCCGTTTCTTTGTTCTCCATCAAGTGCTAGCTAGTGAGTCAACTAGTCCTCCATAGTTAGTCCTCCGTACTAGTTAACTACATACTCCGTACGGAGTACACATGAAGCATCCGTTCTTCCGATGAAGTCATCGCCGCCGTCATCCAAATAGTCCAACCCAGTGAGGCTCGGGATCGATCATCCAGCCCAACGATCTGCTCCCCCCCCCCCTCTTCCCGCCGGGAGAAGGGGGGAAGGGGAAGAAGGATAGTCCAATCGCCTGCTCGGCATGGTGGATCAAGCATCTCCCTCTGTTTCCTCCGTAATAAAGACGGGAGTCGTGCGACAGTGCCCGGTCTCGACGCGACCGCCTCCGAACAGGCCCTGCCGGTCGGTGATTGGTTGCAAGTTCGTCCTCGAAGATGAGGAGTCTATCGTCTGCGTGGGCGGATCTCTTACCAGCAACAGATGAAACTTGTATTCCGTAGTTTGCTGGGTTTGAAATTGTTTTTTTTTTTTTTCTTTCTTTTCTTTTCATCGTTTACGGTGTGGTGTACATTTGAGATTTATTCCATGAGATGAGCCCTTTTTACTCCGTAGAAAGAGGTATTCCGTACTCCGTACTCCGTACTCTGTCCCTAGGTGGGAAGTTGGGAACGGGGGAGGTCATCTTCGCCTCGCCTGCTCACCAGCCGCCACAGCTGCGGCTGCAACGGCGGCGGAATGACTGGCCGCGGTGCTGGCGACGTTGCTCGCATGTGCCAACAGGAATTTGCAGCAGGTCAGTGTATACTTGCACGCCCGTGTCCACGTCTCGTCGTTCTGGTTGAACCCAAGCTTGATGCTTGCATCGCCAATTTTGTCTCGCTTGATCTCGTACGGTAATTTTAGACCCGGAGCGGTGAAGGTGGGCTGGTGATGATAATGGCCGCCACCACCACCACCACGCCGCGGTGAGGCGGCCGGGGCCGGGGAGCTCTCCACAAATTCGCCCAGTTGACGAAGGCATTCTAGAAAGGCCACCATTCCTGCATCGAATCGGCGGTGGAGCCAGGGCAAGTTGAGCGGTAGGTCGCCCGATGAAAACAAATCTAACGGTGTAATCTTGGGCTGGTCGTGGCCAGTGGCATTGGCCCCAGCAGCGGCGGCACTCGGCTGAGTCGGAGACTGTTGAGGATACTCGACTTTGTCGATCCGGGAGGTCGAGCCCATGGGTCGTAGGCGGTAGCCGCGGAACTGGAAGCCCATCTTCTCCGCAATCGTCGCCAGCAGTAGCGCGGTCTGGCCCCAGGCAGCGTTGATCTCCGGCCATTCAACCGACGGGTTGGTCAGACGGCCGAGGCGCAGGCCGTTGATAGTCCCAAAGTAACCGTCGTGGCCGATGCAGAACGCATCATTGTAGACATTCGTCCGTTGCAGCCGCTCCAGCTGCCGCGAGTCGTGGTCGTAGCGCATGTTGAGCGCGTCGCGTTCCTTCTGGAACTCCCCCAGCGTTAGCGCAAAGGCATTGCGGTCGCGCCAGAACTGTTCCTCCTCCAGATCGAGCTGGCGGGACTCTTCCTCGAGAGCAGCAATCTCTTCGTCTACAGCCGCCCGGTCTCGCTCCAGCTCGAGAAGTTCCGTATACGCCGCCTCCTCGGCGGCCAGCGTCTCTCTCAGCGACTGTTCCGCGGCCTCGAGCTCCTCAGCCGTCGGGACAGACGAGTTCAGTTTCTTCAGGAACGAAATATATGCATCGCGTTCTCTGGTCGCCGACACCAGCCGCTTCTGCAGCCCGTCCACCAGCATCTCCGTGCACTCCGTACACACCGGGTGGTCGATATCGGAGCGAGCAGACACAATCTCGAACAACTTGGCCGTCCGTTCCACCTGCTCCGAGAAACTCCCATCCCCCTCGCCATTCTCCCCACCCGAACCCGTCGCCGGTCGCTGGCTGCTGCTCGCCGCACCCCCGGATCCCACCACATCCCCCATATTCGCGGCTGGTATCGCATGGTGCGGCACGACTTGGGACTCCGTGAGCATGACAAACGACATGTTCCCATTCTCTGCTCGCCCCATCCGCGCATTCACCCCCTGGCGAGGCGCCGGAATCGACCGTCGATACACCGGCGATGTAGATTGTTGCGAGACGCGCTCGTACAGCTCTTGTCGTTCCTGCGGGTACACCGTGCGGTTCGTAGACGTGTTGCTTCCATGCTCTGGAAGAGTTTTACCTGTAGCTCCTGTCTCTAAGTCAGCACACTATACTCGTCTCTTTTTCTAGGGCCCCTTAGGCACTCTCTCTCTCTCTCTCTCTCTCTCTCTCTCTCTCTCTCTCTCTCTCTCACCGATAAGCAGGTCGAAGGCGGCCGGATTCAGGGTTTCCAGAGACCCATCCAACTCTAAAGGTGCTCGACATTTCTGGCAATACATTTCTGCAAGAACACAAGTGCAGCCTTATCCGCATCGTGGTTCTGGTTCTGTTCAAATGAGGGGGGTGGTTGGGAGTGGCCGATAAAACCAACGGGCGAAGGAGACGTCATGTTGTACTTGCGTGTTCCGTGGCTCCGCCTGGGCGCTGCTTTTTTTTTGTTTGCAGAAACGCTTCTACGGTTGTTGTTGTCTACAATCTACAACTCCCCCGCCGAATCTGCCACTGTACGCTGGGAACGACGTTGACTGAGTTAAAACAATAAGCTGGAGGTATGATTTCCTCATGAATTTTCTCACGACCAAAACGAGGGCTCCCTGCTGTGCGATGTGCCCCGGTTCGCCCTCCGTCCTGAGCAGTTCGTGTCGCTCAACTGCCGCTGTGAAACGTCGTCCTCTGGATCTCCAACGCGCTGTTGGCTCAGCTGCTGGGTGAATTTTCTCTTGTCTGGCCATGGAGCCTCCGACCAAACGACCCCGCCTGTCCCTCACAGGCGGTTCGAAGCACGCCCCGGACGATCTGGATCTGCAAGAGGCACGCGCAAGAAACGACCGACGGCTGAAGTCGGTCTTCGAAGATATTTTTGCGAGATACGGACAGGACTTTACAGATGTCGGAGATGAGATTGATCTTCGGACAGGGGAGATCGTGGTCGACAAGGGACACCTTCTGGGGATGCAAGGCGAAGAAGGAGAACACGACTCGGGTGGCAGCGAGCACGAAACCTGGCCCTTTGAGCCGGGTGCACCTGCGCCTACATCTCCAGGCGGGCGCGGAGAACGCGATGCAACAGCAAACGAGAAGATGCAAGGTTGGGACACCCGGCTCTTGGCGGATGCGGAAGGACCAGCACAGAGCCCTACAAGCGAGCTGTCTACAGCGGATCATGAAACCAGCGGCAGATGGTCTCGGTCTCCTGGTCCAGAAGACGAAGATGACCGGGCTAGTGTTGATTCTTTGTTGGACTCGGCATTTGCTATTCCAAATGACGAGAATCCCGACAATTCAGGCCCGCAACGGAACTTATCTCCAGGGCGTCCAGCCGCGGCTCCAACAACAATCATGCGTGAAGTGACAGAAAAGGCAATGGACCCCATATGGCGCGTTCCTGACATTGGCCGGAAGCTGTCCACCCCTGCCTTTCGCCAGGAGGACCACCCACCTCCCACCAGGCACCATGATCCTAAACGCCCCCCATCTCCACCTGGTGCTGGCTCCCTCTGGGCGCTCCCGGAGAGAAAATATAGGACCAAGGCCACTCATTTGCCGAAGGAGGAGGAGGAGGAGGAGGAGGAGGAGGAGGAGGAGAAGGATGACGAGGCCGAGGCCAAGGATTTCACCGCCCCGAAACCAATCCAGACCGTCTGCGCGGTCGACTACCATGAGCCCTCTGATGGGAGCGAGTCCGAGGACCCCCTGCAAGAAGATTTCATTGTCCAAACCCCGAAAATGACACCATCAAGAAGGAAAGGAGGAGGAGGGGGAGGAGGAGGGGGAGGAGCACAGGCTAAGCAAGCCAATCCGGTCACGTCAGGCAGGACCTGTTCGTTTTGTAAAGGGTACTTCCTCTACGCCAACTACGTGTCGCACCTCCGGACGATTGTCATGGCAGGGGTTTGGGACGGGCAACATGATATTACGAAAGTTCAGAAACTACTCAACGAGCTAGATAGATTCGATGATTCCGTGCGCGCCCCTCCATCTACCCCCAGCGCCGTGAGATCGCCCGAGATTGTTCACGATGAGGATACACCCATGAGAAGCCGACGGGCAAGGACGATGATCACGCCTGACGAGGCACGGCTCATCGTCCAGATGAAATATGTACAAGGCAGCAATTGGAAGGAGATCCTCAATCGCTTCCCCGACAGACAGATGCCCCAGTTGGTACAGTGGAACAAGATACACTGGACGGACCGATGCGCTAAGCCGCCGACGCAGTCCCACCCTTGGTCAGATGCAGAAGTGGCGCAGCTGAAGACCCTGGCTGCCCAGATGGGTAACGACTGGGCGACGATCCGCGCACAGTTCCCCAATCGTCGACATGCCGAGCTTGAGTTTGAACTTTTGCGTCTATGGGTGGTGGATGACGGTGCCAGCGAACCGGCTTCAATGCCGACAGCAGCGGCAGCAGCAGCAGCAGCGCCCCGCGATGTTAGCATGAGAAAAATGCGCTCGGGCGATAGAGATGAGGCGGATGGCACCCCGGAATCCGAGGGTATCAACACGAAAAGTGGCGCAGCGATGCACCCAGACCAGGCGGTTGAAGCGCCACATCATGCCATCACTCATAATGATGAGACTCGCGCTTGCCAAGTGGATGCGTTAATCTAGAACGGTGGCGAAAAGAAACCAGATCAATTTTTTTCAGTTGCGAGGTTGAGATAGGTACTATTATCTGCAAGCTTATCGTATTGGCTTGTATCGACTATCGTATCGATTTTAGTGTATCGATATCGTATCGTCCTCAATATTGGCTTCTCGGAGCGACGGTTCGGCCGTAAGTTCGGAGATCTGCTGGAAAGTGTATTATTTTGCGTCCCTAGCATTCAAGACATCCTCTAGCTTGGTGTCTGTTGCGCCGCCCACGTCTCCGGCCTTGGCCCAGAAGCGCGACAAGTGTCTGGATCCAGAATCAGAAAGCACCGTCACGATGCGATGGCCCGGTCCAAGCTTCATTGCTGTCTTGACGGCTGCGAAGCCTAGGTAGATTGTTCTTAGCCAATTGGGCGCCATAGAAAACCTTTTCTAGAGGAAGATAAACCACTTACAATTCACGGCGCTGCTGCTGCCGATGAAGATGCCATCTTTCTCCACTAACCATCTCGCCATGGCTAGGGCCTGAGCATCGGTCACCCGGACCGCATCGTCGACGAGCTCCTTGCCTGCCTCAAAATTTGCGGTGACGCGGTTGATCCCGATCCCCTCCACGATGGTATCAACCTGCGGCCGTCGACGGGTGCCTTCTCTCTCCTTGATGTCGAACATGACGCCGTACCGAACCCTGTTGTACAAGCCGCTGCCCTGAGGATCTGCCAGGACCACAGTGAGCCCAGGGATCCGCGGCTTCAGGTAGAGGGCTACGCCGGAGATAGTTCCACCAGTGCCAGCGCCGGCCACGAACGCATCGAGCCTCCCTTCGCATTGCGCATATAGCTCCGGCCCTGTCCCATCATAGTGTGCGCGCCAGTTGGCTTCGTTCTCGAACTGGTCTGCGAAATAACCCCTGCCACGAGCTGTTCGCAGCCCTTCCATTTCCGCGGTATCGGGCGTCGAAACGCCCGACTCTACTGGCGACGGGGTGGTGGAAGACAACGTGTGCGCGTGTGCCAGGGCTCGCGCCCTGTTGACAAAGTTCTCCTTTTCCACAATTGGGGCAGGGGGCACTCGGTCCACAATGGCGCCAAGCTTGAGCAGTAGATTGGATTTTTCAATCGCTTGGTCGGAGGGCATGCAGCTGTAATTTCGTTTAGTACAGATACAGAAGGCAGCGACGCAAGAAGACATTGTATACGCACATGTGCGCCAGATAACCCTTCGCCCTGGCCAGAGCCGCAAGCGAGATCCCTGTAGAACCAGACGTTCCTTCATAGATGGTATCCCCAGTTCCAGGCGTCAAAATGCCCTTTTCCTCGGCCTGTCCACAGTCTCAGCGGGGCCGTCTATCTATTTGTCGTCTTCGGCGATACGTACAATCTGGATCATGCTCAGAGCGACTCGGTCCTTCGAGCTCTGTCCGGCGCCATTGAGAAACTAGGCAGAGTGTTAGAAGAATTCCTCCTAGCTACCAACACGGCAGTTCCGGGGCACACATACTTCGGCCTTACCCAGAATCTCACAGCCCGTCGCATCCGACAGAGATTTGATGCGAAACAGTGGCGTATTCCCAATACACCCCTCTACGCCCTCCACAATCGCAGGAGGCCCCGTTCGAGCATTCAATCGGCTTCTTGAAGCCTCTGCCGTGTCGTCATCTTTCTTCTGGGGGCGCAAGCGCTGCTCCAGCCCGAGAGCGACGACAATGCCAGCTAGAAACGCCGCTCCTATGTAGAAGCGGCTGTATTCATTCATGCTGAAGCTGCTCGTCTCAAACGTCGCAGAAATGCGTTGTGTGCAGTTCGGAGACTGACTGAGGCTCCTCCTGGTGGGTGGGCGTGATGAAATAGAGAAAGCTCAGACCACCTCGTCTCTTTTTGTCCAAAGTACCAGGAACGACCTCCGTCCACACCCTCTCACTGCTGCCGGGCCTCAACGTCTTCCCCGATGGACTCCCCGGTCGTCACCCAGCTGTTCAGACAGCTCTTCCGACATCCAGCATGCCAGTCACTTCGGCAATCCTCACCAGCGCTCACTCGCAGAGCAGACTCGGTGCGCGTGCCGGGCGCGTGCCGACAACAGACTCGACCATTTTTCACGCGGCAGCTGTTTAGACGCAAAAACGCCGGCAATGGGATGATCTGGTTGAATCGATGGGATCTTGAGAAAAACATCGAGGAGGAGTATCGCTCGTATCCCTTGGTGACAGCGAAAGAGTTGCGCAGTCGCGGGGAGCGGCCGCGGCAGGTGAAGATGCTGACACGGGAGTTCATTGACGGTGAGTGTTCAAGGGGGACGAAACGATCGAAGAATCAATCAACAGATGCTAATGGAGTTATTTATGTGTCCAGACAGTCTTTATAATCCCAATTACGGCTATTTCTCGAAGCACGCGACCATCTTCAGTCCCGGTGACCCATTCGACTTTAACAGCATTGACGATGGCCCGGCATTTCATCGGCTGCTTGGAGACCGGTATATCGAATTTGAGGACAAGCTAGATGAGTTTGTTCCTGACGAGGCACGTCAACTATGGCATACACCGACCGAGCTGTTCCGGCCGTACTACGGCGAGACGATTGCAAGGTATCTGGTCTCGAACTACAAGTTGACTCTGTATCCGTACCACGACTTGATCATCTACGAGATGGGGGCTGGAAACGGGACGATGATGCTCAACATCCTTGATCACATCCGAGACACCGACTACGAGGTGTACCAGCGGACCAAGTTCAAGATCATTGAGATTTCGCCTGCGCTCGCGGGGTTGCAGCTGAAGAATCTCCAGGACTCGGTCAACGCCGCGGGACACTTGAACCACGTCGAGATCATCAATCGCTCCATCTTCGACTGGAACACGTATGTGCATTCGCCGTGCTTTTTCCTCGCGCTGGAGGTGTTCGACAACTTCTCACACGACGCCATCCGCTATAACACCAAAACCTTGCTGCCTCAGCAGGGCGGCGTTCTAATCGATGCGAACGGCGAGTTCTGGGAATATTACAACCTCCACCTCGACCCGATCGCCGCGCGCTTCCTTCGGGTTCGCCAGGCAGCTGCGCGACAGTCCTTCTCCACGCCGCTGGGCTCCCGATACACCCGTGGCATCCGCAACGCCTTTTCAAACCGAGACAATACCCTGCCCGAATACATCCCGACCCGGCTGATGCAGTTCTTCGAGATCCTCGACAACTACTTCCCCGCCCACCGGCTTGTGGCTAGTGATTTCAGCAGCCTCCCGGATGCTGTCCCTGGGTTGAATGCGCCGGTGGTGCAAACTCGGTACAAGAGACGTACGGTCCCAGTGTCCACGCCTTTTGTAAGTTCCTTCCCTTCTTTTATCTATATTGTTTCTTTTCTTTTTTCGGTTACTAATCACATTTCAGGTTCACCAAGGCTACTTTGACATCTTTTTCCCTACAAACTTCGACGTCGTCGAGGACATGTACCGCGCCATCACGGGCAAACTGACGCAAGTCGTGCGGCATGAGGATTTCATGCGCCGCTGGGCGTACCTCGAGGATACGGAGACTCGCAACGGGGAGAATCCCATGCTGGCCTGGTATAAGAACGCGAGCATGCTGATGACGGTGTAATAATGTTGTACTTGTAAATTTTATCATTGTACTGGGTACTGGGTACTCAAAATAGAAGTTCAGCCCGTCACCTTGTCTTTGTTTTTCCTGTATACAATAAGCTTATAGCTTCGCTTGGTCCTTCTCCGCTCCCTGCCAAGCAAAGGCAATCTTCTTGCCCACCCCCGGCTCGACAATAACATTGACAATGGTCGGGCGGTCGCTCAGGAACCCCTCACGGGTTGCCTTCTCGAGCTCCTCTTCGCTACGAACAAAGTAGCCATTGCCCCCGCACATGGTAGCCAGCTGTTCATAGCGGGTCTCGTAAAGAAGACTCGTGGACCGAAGCCCCAGTTTCTGAGTTTGGTCATCATTCTCTGAAGAAATGGTATCGTTTGCCGCCGTCTGGTCCTGCAAGACTCGCCACGCTGCCTCTGTCGCGGTGTCCCCGTGGTAGATGCCCGAGTTGTTGATCACAAAGATCAGCGCCGGGATCCGGTACCGCGCCATGGTCTCGATCTCCATCGCGCTGAACCCGAACGCGCTGTCGCCTTCCAGCGCGACAATCTTCTTCTGTTGCGTGGCCCCGACGCTGGCCGGGGCGACCGCCGTGTTGTATGCTTCATGCGCGGCAATGACATACCCCATGCCGACTCCCATTGTGGCGTAGGTCCCGGCGTCGAGTCGCTGGCGGGGATGGCTTAATGGGAAGACGGAACGCGAGATGTCCATCGTATTGGCACCCTCGGAGACATATACGATACCCCCGTCCTCTTGGGGTGAGACCGTGTTTAAAGTCGTCTTGATGATGTGGAATGCCCGCTGGTAGGTCAGAGGCGCGTTGGCAGGAGTGGGCGTCAGAGCCGCCTTTTGGGCCTTGGCCTCGTTCTTTTCCGCAGATGCAGCAAGCAGCCGTGGGAACTGGCTCTGCGATGGCGTGTATCGCCAGGTCGACAGCGCGGTGAAGAGTTGGCCCACCACCAGGTTGATATCACCGATGATCCCCAGCTCTGCACGTCCAGCGTTGCGGCCAATCTCCTCGGCGCAAAGATCAACTTGGATGATTTTCGCCTTGGGGTCCCATTTGGGCGCTTCTCCGAAATGAAGGATCCAGTTCAGGCGCGCGCCGAGAACCAGAACAACGTCTGCGTGCTTCAGGGCCGCACTTCGTGCACTCGATGCATTCAGCGGATGGGAGTCGGGGAGTATGCCCTTCCCCATCGGCGTCGGGAGGAAGGGGATCTGCGTCTGTTCCACGAGGTCTCGGATGATGGTCTCCGCGCGCGCATATGCTGCGCCTTTCCCCACGACCAGGAGCGGCGCACGAGCGGATTTCAACAGTTCGGCTGCCTTGGCAACCAGAGCCGGATCTCCGCTTGCCTTCGGAGGAGGCGGAACAGCCGTGTCTTGAGGCTGTGGTAGTCGGAAACCGGAAGACGTCTTGCCCTGGATAATATCGGCTGGGAGATCAACAAACGTCGGTCCCGGTCGGCCATACCAGCAGGTACGGTAGGCATTCTCGACAGCTCCCTGTATAAAATTCAATGATGAGGCGCGCACAGCAAGCTTTGTATGAGGTGTGAGCAACGAAATGGCATCCATTTCCTGAAATGCTCCCTTGGTCACGCCGGTGGTTTCGGCCGATCCAGCAAGGACCAGCAAGGGGAAATTATTTGCAGAAGCATTGCCTATCTGAATCAAATCAGCATATATATACACACACATTATATATCCATCTTCGTCGTCGGGGAGAGAAGGTGTTCTTGAGAACAGGCAACCGTACTCACTCCTGCAAGAGCGTGAAGCACACCCGGTCCTCCCACGACCAGACACACTCCAGGCTGCCCTGTTATATAGCCATACACACTCGCCGCATAGCTGCATGCCTGTTCGTTTCGAAACGCAATAAATCGGATCCCCAAGTTGATCGCCTCCTCGGCAATTTCCACGACGGGGATCCCAACGAGGCCGAAAATGACCGTCACGCCGAGATCGCGCAACGTGCGAGCAACGATCTGGGCACCAGTTGCAGTAGGCATGGCAGCTGATGGTGTAATGGAAAAACAGGAAAAATTGCTAAGAAAATTCCCACAGCAATCGGCAGCACTGGAGGCTCCAGCTGGACAGTCAGACCGAGCAAGAAGCAATTAGGAGAAAACTCCCGAGGCTCGATGTGACGTAATCTTCCGCAGGATCGAATCCGAGGGACAAAAAGTACAATATTTGGATTCCATACGATTGATTATGATAACATAGAAAATAGTTGTTTTTATCGAGATAATCTGTAAGAAGTGCCATGGATCGTTATATCATATTGAGATGTATGTAGTAGAGGTATTCAGCCATCAGACATCTGATAACTGAATCATAGCTAAAGACACGGTATGCTTCCTGTGCAATATATAGTTTATACATGAAGTATGTAGGCTAGTTGAGAGTCCCGAAAGAAAGAAGAGGCTAGAATTCAAACTCCTTGCGGAAGACGTTGATATCCATGCCAGAAACAACCATATCGGCCAGGTCCCGACGACCCATCTGGCTGAAAACGCGTCGGAGTGTGTCGTAGAGGTTCGTGCTCTGGTTCTGGCTGATGTGGAGCATCCGCTCGAGCTGTTCGTCGTCAAGCCCATCGGCGCCGCCGACAATCTCGCGAGCCCGCTCTCGTCCTTCCTGTTCGACAACACGGTGCATAGCCAAGGCGCCCAGCAGATGTTGTGCGGCCTCTGGATAGCATCCGATGTTGATACACGAGACGCCCAGGTTGTAGCGTGCACGTACAAAGTTGGGGTTGATGTTCAACGCCTGCTCGTAGGCCTCGATGGCCTCTTCAGATCGACCAGAGTTGGCCAGGGTGGCGCCCAGACGGTTCCATAGCAGATGGAGTTGCTCCTTCTGGTTCACCGTGCCAGACTCGGTTGAGGCCAGCGCAGCAGAGAAGCAGTCGACCGCCTTGTCGTATTCCTCCGCGCAGTAGAACAGAACACCCAGGCCGACCTGGACATCAGGGTCCATATGCTCACCCGACGGTGACAGCTGTGCAGCTTGAATAAAGAGGTCGATGACACGATCGTGTAAAATTTGGCGATCGGTGAACCCGAGATTGCTGTCTGGAGTGATGTTCTTGGGATCGATGATGGTCGGGTACTTGACGGAGAGCCACCGTTCGAGCGTGCGGTAAGCTGTCGAGTCGTACCCTTCGTTAGTGTACGACACCGCTAGCCCCATCAAGGCATCGAGATTGTTTGGGTCGATCTTCAACGCCTGCTCCAAAGCGCGAATGGCCGGGAGTTCCTTCTCGTTTTGTGCCTGGGCAGCACCAAGCATCGTCCATGCCTGGACATGTTGAGGATCCTTCTGGACGGCAGCTTCAAAGGCCAACGCCGCCAGAGACAGATTGCCACCCTCTCGCATGATCTTCACGCCTTCCTCGAAGGGGTTGCTCACCGCCCGAAAGACGTTGTCCTCCTCGAACAAGTAGTCACCCAGCTGGGGGTCGCGGAAACGGGTGTTGAGGGTATCAAACCCATCCCACTCTTCCAAGTCACCGACATGCATACTATCCTGGACTTCAAATCCGTCGTCTTCGACTAATTTCCTGTTCGTTGTCGTCTCAGCCTGGGCCCTTTGCCACACGTTTTCAAACGCATCCACTCCTTGCTCTGCACCACTGGGGACTGACCTGTCAAGATCATTCAGTTCCGCCTCAATCGCCGCCTCGGCCTCGTCATCGAGAGTCTGGTTGCCAGCGGTTTCCATCTCAGCAAACTGGGCTTCCCAATTTTCATCATCAAGCTCGACCATTCGCCCCTTGCCCTTGTCTTGGACCGTGGCCTCGCCAGGCTGCTGCTGCTGTTGCTGTTGCTGCACCCCCATCTGGTTGTATACCGGCCGCATCATCCCCAAGCCCCCCATCCCCATCGTCCCCATGTATGATCCCATCCCCATAGGACGTTGGTATCCGGCCATCATCGGCGAGGCAGTAGATGTAGCAGGGCTCGCTGTCCGCGGCATGCCGACCCGACTCTGCTGTTGGAAGCGGGCAAATTCAGCCGGAGTAAATCCAGGACCATTGTTCATCATTGCTCCTTTCGGTCCATTAAAGGCGGCTTCCATGCGTGCTTGCTCGCCGGGGTCAAACTCCGCAGCCCATCCAGGCGAGCCCGTCCGAGGCGATGCTGTCTGGAACTGGTCTAATTCCCGCCTCAGCTGTTCCATAGCAAAGGGCTGCGGAGCAGCAGCCGCGGGGAGTTGTCCCGGCTGCTGCATGAATTCATCCATCATCTGATTACAACAACACAGCCATCGGTCAGCGATATCCATAAAGAAAGAATCACAAGAAGCCCTTAGATACCTGGTCCTGTCCACCCATCATCGCCCTGCTTCTCATACCTTCTTGCAACCCCCCCGGGCCCATCCCCACCAACCGATCACGCTGGAGTGACTTGTCATCCTGGACGTGCTTGGTGAACTGCGTCAACGGGTTGCCGGCCGTCGAGCACTCGGCGCCGCCAAGAAACGACATGTTTTCCAAGTGGGCTTGCAGAGACTGTCGAAAATGGTACTAGCAGAACGCAGAGTGCTGAGAAGATGATTCTCAAGCTGGATGTTGTCAAAAACGCAAGATAAGACAACGAGATAACGTGGGGTTTCTCTAAGCTCGGAACGGCTGAGCGTGGATGCCGAGGTCTGGGGGCCGAGTCACGTGTGGGGGTAGCCTCAGTCCCTGACTGAGTCCACTGTCAGAGTCCACTGTCAGAGTCAGGGTCAGAGTCAGAGTCAGACTCCTTTCTGAAATAACTAAGAGGAATGGTATCTTAGAATCCCGATCTCTTTATCTTACAGATCATCAAATCGTCTATTACTAACTATATATGTATTGTACATGTGGTCCAGATGTAGAGGTATGACTAGGCTGCGTTTTTACCACTCTTGGCCTGTTTGACGGATTCGGGTTCCCTTCTCCGTTCTACTGTATTCGATTTTCAGCTTGCGGCCGTACGGAGTCCGCAGTTGAAGGATCTCACGCCCGATCTGGGCGCTGCGCTTGTCGAGAAATTCGGCGTGGACGAACCCGCGAAACTGGCCGTTCCGGCGGTCGACCGACACCCGCACGTCAATCACGTTGGGCACGTCGCGGAAGAGTTCGTTCAGGTCGCGGTCAGTAAGCCCAAAGTGCAGGTTGGCGACGAAGAGTGTCCTGGTGACGGGGTTCTCCGGTCCCCGCTCGCTGGCGGAATCCCGCGCAAACTGGACGATGATTCGGCGGCCCTCGTAGATCTGCAGGTTCATTTCGTCCACGGCTCGCTGGGCGGCTTCCACGCCGTCAAAGGCGACGTATCCGAAGCTGTAAAACAGAAACTCGTCAGTGCTGTTGCGAAAGAGAAAAAGAACCCCCTTACCCCCCCCCACAAAAAAAAATTTTCACACACTCACCCTCGACTAATACCTCGGGGGTCGTGGGCAATCGAAGCATGCTGCACCACACCAAACTTCTCCATTGCTCTCCGCAGATCATCCGAAGTAACATCATAGAACAGGTTCCCGATATATATCGTGTCCTTGGGCTCCGGCAACATCGAGAATTTGTAATTGGTCTGGCCCTCTCCGGCTTCTTCGTTCGCAGCCTCCGGCGTCGTGCTCGCAGTCGTCTTCTGCTCCGATTCTCCCTGCACACCAGCATCAACGGTAGAGGCGTCTGCTTCGGCCAGGGTAGAGGTTGTTGCCGTCGACTCCGTGGCATTCTCAACGACGCGGGCTTCCTCCTGGTCCTCCACCAACGCTGGAGTCTCCTTCTCGCTGCGGTTTGATACGTCGTCGCTGACCCATCGTCGCTGGAATATGTACCGTTGGGTATGGGTGTAAACAGACGACAGCGGAGGAAATGCTGCAGCCCCCGCTTGAGATGGCGTTCGTGTTATTTGGACCCCCCTCGGCAGAATACTCGGCTTGGAAAGCAGACGACGAGCAGCGCTCCGGCGTAGGCAATGCCTGCAGATACAAACTCCTGTCAGCAAACGAGACAACCCACGCGGAGAGGGAAGAGACGTTAGAAGAAAATACTTGCATTATCGCGGATATCTGGGGAACAAGAAAAGCGCTTTAAAATGATAGAGCACTGCTGTCTCCTACCTGGGGATTTTGCTGTCTCTGTCGCGCATCATCGAAAAATGAGGATGATCAGTTAGCTGACTAAGTAATTTATAATCGTACTGTACCAAAACGAATCATACGATTTCGATATATTGTCTTGAACTCTTAAGGTCTATGTAAGAAACCACAGGCACCAGAGGATTAATTACAGATGACTCCAGTCATATCTTGAATTATTGCATATCATACATTCTAACGTGATACACTGTTAGTTATTAGTGTATTCCACTTGTCATATCCACATTGAAAAAAAAAATGAACCCAATCCGAGTAAGAAGGTAGAGCTGAGAGATAAGAACTTTTGGAGCGAGACTTTAGCCTCTGGATCCATTCATGCCTTGGGAGATGTCGGCATTATAGAGAGGGGGTATAGGAGGGCCAGCCGTGTTGATGTCGTATGTTTGGGGTGGTAACATGCTGGGAAAGCGAGGCATGGCTCGAGGCCCGTCTGCAGACACAGGTTGAGATATCCTTGTCGAGGATAAATCGTTAGGCGTCTGTTGTTGTTGCTGCTGCTGTTGCGATTGTAGATCTGATGAAAGAAACCACTGGCTGTTTGCGTCAAAGTTGGAATTTTGGATATAATTGTCCCACGCATCCTAAAAATAATATTGTCAATGGTCATCCCAAAAGGTCAGGATGAGGTGTGCAGACTCACCCAGTCCAAGTTCACCTGCATGTCAGGCATTTGTCCAAACATACTGCCCAAAGGCGAAGGGGCTCCTGGCAAATCTGTGGCTGGAGCTAGCCCTGAAAGAGGCACATTCGCATCAGACATCTTGAATGCCGAATCGTTGAATGCCGAAGGCCCAGTTGGTATTGGACTCATCCCACTGCTCAATAGTCCGAGGGTCATGGCGGCGTTTTGTTTCTCATCCTGAGATTCGAAAAGGGTAGGGGCAACAACATTCGGTTCGGGGAGTGGATGCGCCAGGTGCAGCTTGCCAAGCATGACTTCAAGAACAGAGGTTGCCTTCCAAGCCTTCAGGGACTGGTCTCGGATTTCATCCCAAATTTCCTTCGAACGCCTGAGCGCAGCAATCATCTCCTCGCCTCGCTCTCTGCCCCATGTGTAAATATCACCTGATTCCCTCCCTGCCGCCTGTATCTGCTGCGTTTGATGAAGGTCTAGACAGATAATGGTGGCTGCCAGGAGAAAGTCGGATGTGCAAAGAGAGCTCAATCTATTCTGCTTAGTGCTCCGGTGCCCATTTAGCCCGGTTTCCCCATGAAGCATCGACTGGAAATTGAGCAGCTCCATGGCGGAATCAATGCATGTTTGCCGGGAGTAGGTGAAACGAGGATTTTCACGCGCCCGGGTCAGAAATCGTCGATGTAGAACACATTGCGCCTTGTGATACACACTTGCGATCTACAAACTGTCAGTTGAAACCCCAAGGCGTAAAAAAAAAAAGCCAGCGACATTGCAAGACTTACACTGAACCGTACAATGATGAGATTGGTAGGATCCATGTGAGATTCTTCAATTGAGCGAGGTTTAAGATGCTCCGGGATCATATCTCTTGCTTGACGAAGCTCAGCATCAATCTCCATGACAGTGTCGTATGGAGTGCTTTGGACGGCGGCCGCGGCTTCAGTAACGCGTCCAAAAGCATGCACCAGTCGGTACTTTGCAATCAGTTGCGAGATCGGCGTAGGCTCACTCAGAGGACGTGAAGGAGGAATCTCTGTAGAGTCCTCACTAAAGTCATCATCATAGAGATTTCGCGGGGGTTCTGTGTCGCTGTCTGTGGTACGCAACATGCTCGGAAGACCAACTTGGAAGGAAAATGACAGGTCTGTTTGCTGTACAAATGCCCAGACCCGCCGTCGCATCTCACCTTGAAACGGTGTGATGTTGGGGAACATCTTTGAGTCTCGATGGTATCCCATTCGCATCGCTAATCGCGCAACCACGCCCACAAGAACCCAGGTCGATACATCAGCCTCCCTCGTCTGACAGAAGTCGCCGTGGAGGTGGAAGATCAAAGTCTCGATGAGGTGTTGGTGCGGTCGTGTGTAATCCGCTAACGCCAGGCATTGAGCCATTTGATTCCGGTACGTGCCCGCCATATCCAAGGATTTGCCCCGGAATTCTGCCGGCTCATCCTCTTCCTTATAATATGATAATAGAGCCAGTCTCATCATGGCGAAAAGCATGCCGATCCAAACAAGAGAAGTCTGCGAAGGATCTTCCCAGTGTTTATTATACTAGAGATAAGATCAGTGAGCACTGTTTCTAGGAGCATTAAAGACTGGTCTGCTTACCTGCACCTGAAAGGTGGGGGCGTGAAGCAGATCTATCAAGAATTCGTTTAGCACTCTATTCCGAGTCAAAAAGGAGGCACCAAGGAATGACGTACGAGTGGCCGGATCATGGCTGTTGAAATAGCGGGTGACCAGAATATCAGCCATGTACTTAGACGGGAACGACGACATGATCTCCGCCCTACTGGTAGTTGTCATAGAACCGAAGAAAAGACTCGATCCCGTCATATCCGTGCATGGCTTTGTGGCCTCAATTTTCGCAGCATGTTCCTCGTATTGCTTCTTATGTGTGGAGAAATAATTTCGCACCTCGGCGATCTACAAACGAACAGGTCAGGATACCAGGTCAAGCCAGGGGAAATCAAAAACAAGTCACCCACATCGTCCAGTACAGAGGCCCAATGTGCATCACTGATATACAAAGGAGCCTTATTATCCATCTTCATGACCCCGAAAGATTTGGTGACCTGTTCGGTGTCGCTCTCCTCGGGACCCGCAGGTACATCTTCATCCAGATCCAGATCCAGATCGTTCGAGTTCTGAACAGAACCGCCACTACTCTCGCCCGAGATAACCGCCATGGCAGCAGCGGGGCCCGCAGACTGGGATCCGTTTGTCATCAGGGACAGGACCAGGCTTTCCAGCCGATCAATCCTGTTCTGCATATCATCTGGTGAAGTCGGGGTGCTCTGGAGAGGCGAGCTCTTTTTCCGTGTACTCACTTGGGCATATGTACAGGAAGATGCATCGCCCCGTTTGACGCAATTCTCGCAAGGGTGCGCACGGTTGCATTTCAGCCTATGGCACACAGGTCAGGTAAACCATATGAACAGGAAACCAAAGGTCATCTTACTTCCTGTGGCGACAAGGGGCGCATGAAAGGGGAACTCGGTTCCTTTTCCTAATGATCCTGTATTGGCCTTCAGGCGAGTGTGCGCCCGCACTCGAAGAAGTGGTGGAAGGGGGTGTGGGCGTCATGGCTGCCATATGAAATAAATGCGACGGCGGGGAGAGTTGAAAAAAGATGTTTGTTGGACCGAACAACGACAGGAAAGCACCCTATCGCTAGTGGTGACAAGCAGGTTATCAACCCACAATCTCCTGTCGTTTCCTGTGGAATTCCACCACTAGAAATGACCCCGCGATCCGACCGTTTCTTGGGGATAGCCTTGACGCTGCTGCCTATCCACTCAACCTTTCCACATGAACAGCCTTTCAAAGCCTTCTACTTCCGCCGTGTGTCCAAGTCAATAGAAACCCCACACAGGCGACTCTGGCTCTTGTTTCCAGTCTCCCAGTTGCTATAACGTTCGCGATCTGGATTCACCACGGATTTATCAAGTGGATAACTTGACAGATAGTCGTATCGTTAAGGTCTTGGATCCCGTGCAGATTTCGATGAATCATTCAGCCCGAGAAAGACACTGGATATCGAAAATCAGGCGCGAGGTAACAAAAGCCTGCAGCGGCGGAGTTCAGCAACAGAAAAGAGAGTGGGGTTTGCGGTTCAGCTGCGCTTCATGTCGCAGAACTTACCCTGGTTTTCAAAGGACTTCTGTTGGTTGAGAAACGGAATCTCTGGCTGCTGCACCCAGGGTATGAGGGATTATCCTGTCGAGGAAGAGGGCAAGTTCAGCCTACCAACTTATCTCCAGCGTTGTTCGCATCGCCCAGCAGGTCCGTATCGGCCACCGTAGTCCCTGGATTTGGGGGCGGTTATGGTTGACGTAACTGGGCACCTGGCGGGTCGTGGTTATGTATGTGGTAAGTAGTACTGATAGTCTGACCGTAACACTGCCTGATAGCGTCTAACGAACAGAAAAGCAGAGGTCTGACAAATGCCTCTGTTAGTCTTGGCAATATATACGTAGATACCTAGACAAGGGGTCAGAGTTACCACGCAGTAGTTCAACTTGAACGCGCAGGCTGCGACAAGCTTATGCCATGGGGCCACATGATGAATGAGGTAGTACCGCTGGTTAAGGTTACCGTACGGTACCTTGAGGTAACTACCTATACTCGTATGGAGGAGGCACTTTGAATATACATATAGTATGGTATCTACACCTAGCACCTATATTACTGGGAGTATGGGTATCTAAGACATACCTCAATACCTACTGTGATAGCTAATAGAGAGAATGATTTTTAAATTATTCTCACCTGGGAAGACTCTACTCCGAGTTCACTGGCACAAGTCAATATAGACTTAGGTAACAATACCGGTATAATTCTGTAATTTACAACGCTAGCTGCATCCGGCGTCTGATCCCAACCTTAGCAACTTTCGGGCTCCACTTGGTTTGTCAGCACGAGTCGATCCCAGCTCTGTGATTGGTCTTGTCGGTTCCAAGTTAAAAGCCTTTGACTCACCCTTCTTGTCTCAACAAATCAGATTCCGAGGCCGGTTCGTATCGTTTCCAGAACAGTCGGTCTGTGAAATGCCGGGCATTGATATCTAATCAACAGAGTAACAAGATATTAGTTTAAGTACTTAGTACAGGTACCTTACCTAGTTAGGTAGTACTAGATTATAGGTGAATAAATACTTTGAGAAGCTATGTAAAGTTAATAGGTGTAACTATACTCATCAATCTACATGTAACTACTCCGTATATAGAGGATACAGTATTTTTGTACGGTATAATTTGAAGTCCTCTATATACTGTAATTATAGGACTCTGCTTCAAGGATAAGTACCCAAGGTATTACATAAGGTAAGTAATTAAAATATAACTACGAATTTACTGATTAGTACCTATAGAGTAGAGTGTCTATGTACCTGCCTACCAAGATAGGTGTAAACATATTGGTCAATACTTTACTATATGCACTATGCACCTTCTCACTAAACAATCAGTATAGGACTACTGCTCGTATGGAGAATGTCTATAAAAAGCTATCTTCCATCTTTTTATATATAGGTAGCTATAGATATCATCAATATAGTATGCTCTTTAGTATCACTTAGTCTTATTCTACAAAGTACACCCAAATATATAATTAGTTGGTTGGTAAGGTAGCTATCAATATTTTTTGAGAACAGTCATAACCTAGTAGTCTTGGAATTAAATTACAGCCAAGGCAGACTCCTCAGATCGAAAATAATACCTTACCCTTGACTCCTAGAGACGGGAATCCCAGTGGTTAGATGCTCGCAAGGTGGTCTGTGGTTGCTGGTGATTGACTGATTGCTGCGCCAGCTGCATTTCAGCCCGCCAACAGTTAATAGGATGGATCACTGATTCGACAGCCTCGCCTTCCATGGGTTTTCTGAGACGTCACCTGCAGCTCTGCGCCACGAAAACGATTCTCATTTGCTAACTCCCTATGGATGATGTACTACATAGCACGACACGCTCATTCATCCTGCTTGACGGTGGGGTAGATAAACTTCCCTTCCGGCCTCCCCCATCAACTTTCGTGGAGAACCCTTAGCACTCACGTTAAGTTTCTTCTATTATTACCACTCCTATTATCGTTGAATCATATCAGTTTATAGTTTTATCCCCATTCGGATATCTCTTTGGAAATGTACAGCCAGAAAGATTTCGGTGATTCCCAGCGTGGCGGTCGGGGTCGAGGCGGTGACCGAGGAGGAGGAGGAGGAGGAGGCCGTGGACGAGGCGGCGATCGAGGCGGCGATCGAGGCGGAAATCGGGGCCGTGGGGGAGGTGGAAGAGGCGCAATGGATCTTCCAATCCGTGGCGGTCCTCCTGGTGGCAGAGGAAGAGGTGATGGCGAGTTCAGGGGCCGTGGTGGACGTGGTGGTGGTGACGGCGATTTTAGAGGTCGTGGACGTGGTGGTGGTGATAGGGGAGGCCGTGGCGGAGGAGGATTCCGAGGCAGAGACCAGGCCCCGAAGAAGATCTACACGTGAGTGTTTTATATATATTTTTTATCGTCGCTGTCGTTCAAAGACAGCGTTCGTTTGTTAAATGTGTTGTTGTGTGTTAATCTTTGGTGGGTGTTTCACAGTCCTCAAAATGGTCAGAAGGCTGAGCCAGACATGGCTGTTCTGAAAAATGAAAATGGCATCATAGAAAGCCTGAAACAGAAGTACAGCAAGGCTATGCGTCAGGCGAAATATCCAGAACGACCTGGGTACGGTACCCAAGGCCAGAAAATCCTGCTTTACGCCAACTATTTTGAGCTCTCCAGCAAGGCCAAGGAGTTGTTCCGCTATCATGTCGACATCGCTGCCGAGGGTGGCAGGACTCCCACGGGCAAGAAAGCCAAGCAGATCGTCAGGCTCTTGCTCGATGAGCACTTCCTGCAGTACCAGAACAGCATCGCTACTGATTACAAGTCGACTCTCATCTCACACGTCGAGTTGCCCAAACAAGAGGAATATCTTGTCCGCTACAAGGATGAATACGAGGATGACTATCCGGAGCAGCCCAAGGTTTATCGAGTGTCAGTGCAGTTCACAGGTAACCTTCGACCATCGGATCTCTTGGATTACCTTTCCTCAACCAATGCCAGCGCCATCTTTGACTCCAAAGCCGAGGTGACTCAGGCCATGAACATTATCCTTGGACACGACCCCAAGACCGATCCGCGCACCGTCTCGCTCGGTGCAAACAGACACTTCAGTCTTATGCCCAACCTGATGGAAAAGCAGAGTCTTGGCGCTGGATTGGAAGTCCTGCGTGGCTTCTTTGTTAGCGTTCGTGCGGCAACCTCGCGCATGCTGGTCAATGTACAAGTCAAGTACATTGCCTGCTACCAAGAGGGCGAGCTGGCGAAAGTGATCGAAAGCTACCAGTATGAGAACTCTCGTAACATTTACAGACTCGAGGCCTTTTTGAAAAAACTCAAAGTTCAAGCAACCCATATTGTCAAAAAGAACAAAAAGGGACAAGATATTCCCCGCTACAAGACAATCGCAGGGTTGGCTACCCAGGCGGATGGGAGGTCCCTGGAGAATCCTCCCAGAGTAGCGAGGCACGGTGCTGGCCCTCGAGAGGTCCAGTTTTTCCTAGGCGGGGAATCCCAGCAACCACCCCAGAAAGCGCCCGAATCCAAGAAAGGTGGCAAGAAGGGCAAACAGCCCCCCAAGGCTGGCCCTACACCGGCAGGTAGGTATGTGACGGTGGAGCAGTTCTTCTTGGAAAGTGAGTAAACCCCGAGAAGTCTCTTGGCCACCCCTGGTCGACATTCACTAAGAACTCCCTGTTATAGAGTATAACATCCAAACCAACAACAACTTCCCCGTGATGAACGTCGGGTCCAGACAGAATCCATCTTATCTCCCCGTGGAAGTTTGCCTTGTCGTCCCTGGCCAACCGGCTGGCACTAAGCTCACCGGGAACCAGACGCGGGCGATGCTCAACTTTGCGGTCCGAGACCCGGAGCAGAATGCGTCGTCCATCGTGACAAAGGGCGCGCAAGTTCTTGGTTTCGGATCCGCATCGAACAGGGCTCTTGTAAGACATGATTCCTGCTCGTCTTTTATTTTATGTACTGACAATATAGACATCATTTGGCTTGCAGGTCAAACCGGAGCTAATCACCGTTACCGGACGGGTGCTCCAATCTCCTCGAGTCTTCTACAAGGACAAGAAGATGATCGAAACTTCCAATGGGAGTTGGAACATGATCAAGATCAAGTTCTTCAAGCCCGCCCAGCTGCTTTCCTGGACATGGCTCTACATAGATGGCCAGAGAGGCCGGCGCTTTTTCCAAAATCAACCCTTGGAGGATACCGTGAGCCGGTTGGGTGCCAAGCTGAGTGAGATGGGTGTGCAGACAAACCCTGCTCTCCCGGGAATGAAGATCACTCTGTCTGGCAACAACACGTTCGAGGAGATTGACAAAGCAATCGGGGCACTGATGGATAGACACAGGCCAAGTCTCATCTTTACCATCTCCCACAATGACGATTCGGAGATCTACAACTCCATCAAACAGATATGCGACCTCCGCCGCGGAGTACGCAACGTGAACGTTCTGGCGCAGAAGTTCGACGGGGCCAACGACCAGTATTTTGCCAACGTGGGTCTGAAAATCAATCTCAAGCTGGGCGGCGCCAATCAAGCTCTCAACCCGGCAGAAATGGGTATCATCAGCGAGGGCAAGACGATGCTTGTCGGCATCGACGTCACTCACCCTTCTCCAGGGTCTGCAAAGACGGCCCCCAGTGTTGCCGGGGTTGTCGCATCTATTGATTCCTCTCTCGGTCAGTGGCCTGCAGATATCCGCATCCAAACCGGCCGCGTCGAGATGGTCGCAGCTCTGGACGCCATGGTCAAGACACGGCTCGAGCTGTGGGCCAAATTCAACCAGCAGAAATATCCCAACAACATCATCGTGTATCGAGACGGGGTCTCCGAAGGTCAATATGACACGGTCATCGAGCAGGAGCTGCCCCTGATCAAGAATGCGTGTGAGGAAGTATACCCGGCCAGTGCAACCAAACAGGGCCTGCCCAAGATCTCGATCATCGTGGTCGGAAAACGGCACCACACCCGCTTCTATCCTACCCGCGCCGAAGATGCAGACCGGTCCATGAACCCCAAGAACGGCACCGTGGTGGACCGCGGCGTGACCGAAGCCCGAAACTGGGATTTCTACCTGCAAGCCCACACGGCGCTCAAGGGCACGGCACGACCAGCGCACTACTTCACCGTCTGGGACGAGATCTTCCACGCGCAGAAGCCCAAACCCCCCTTCCAGAACGCAGCAGACATCCTCGAAGACCTCACCCACAGAATGTGCTACCTCTTCGGCCGTGCTACAAAATCAGTCAGCATCTGCCCGCCAGCATACTACGCCGATCTAGTCTGCGAGCGCGCCAGATGCTATTTGAGTCATGTCTTCGACCCGACACCCATGGCGACCCCCTCTGGGAGCGTCATCGGCGGACAGGCCGGTGAAGCAGCGCTCACTTCCAGTGATGTGGAGATCCATCCTAATGTACGCAATGTCATGTTCTACATCTAGGGAAGGGTCTGCACATCTCCGACAACTTTTTTTTTTTTTTTTTTTTTTTTTTTTTAAACCCCTCACAAAAAAAATTTATCATTCCATCTCACTGTTTGGAAATGTTGGGTGGATACTCGATTCGATTTAGATCCGTCGAGCATTCTCAAATAGTGAAATGAAATAAATCATATACATCACAGAAGAACAAGTGCCGTAGTTTGTCCATAAGATAAACCATTGCCTAGGCTGACTAGTAAGGTTGAACGGTTCAATACATGGCTCTTGTTGGCTAGATAGAGCTTTCTCATCGAGACAGAAATTCAGCAAAACGGACACAGTAGACTGGCGTTCCACGCTTATAGATCTAGAGGACATCTAGGATTGCTATGTATCTTCAATACCCTCTCATATAATTCGGAAGGGCGTTCAAAAGTCAGTCTCATTCATACAATAACCCGAAAGTACGGTACATCTCAACAGAAACAGATAAAAACTAAAATACAGGAAGAAATATGAAGGATCAGAAGACAAACACAAGCCGATGATTGTTGCAGAAAGGATCCGAGGTCAACTCGCACTGCCTCTCAATAGCATGAAAAATACTAGAATGAGTGCCAGACAGATCAAAAAACACAAAAGTGACACAAGCCTGTGGTCGTATCAAGTCCACCATGTGGTCATCAAGCTAGGTCGTGTCTTGCCCTCCATCACAACAGGGTATCGCGTGGTGAGATGCTCGCGGCAGACATCGAAGCACTCAGGAGAAAATTAAGAAAAAAAAAGAAGAAGAAAAAAAAGTGGCAGCTTCTGGTATCCATCACAAAGAGTGGGTTCCTGCTCGCGCGTTATGACATTTACATGTCATCCTCATCACCGAAACCCCAGGTAGGCTGATTCTTGCTGCGGTTCTGGCGAGTGGCCGGAACCGTCTTGATCGCCTGAGGAGACTCGTCGTACTTATCCCAGGAAGACTCCATCATCTTGACATGTTTCAGCTGATCCTGGCTGATGGGCTTCTTGTTCTCTGCGTTGACCTTGTCACCAGCAGGCGACGAGTCAGACATGACCCAGTGGGAGTCAAAGTCTTTCTTGCGGTGGACGCCGTTGGCCACGACCGAGAGCGGCGCCTTCTCCTCCCGCTTGACCGGAGTAGCGTCGTTTTCATCACGGTAGAGATGGTTCTGGTAGAGGCTCATACCTCGGTTCTGGAAGGAACTGATAACCCGTCTCGAATCGTCGTCACCATTGTTTTCCGCAAGTTCGAAATGAGTTTCGGCATCCCGGCGAGGGTGAATCACACGTGGGTGAGCGGGAGGGGTCTCCATGAGTTCGGGATCCTCATCGCTCCATCCAAAGTGGCGGACCTCTTGGCCACGAGGCTTGCGCTTGGGCTTCTCCGGAGTCGTGAAATCTTCAAACTGCCACTGAGAGATGTGGCGAGACTTCGGGCGGCCAGGCGTCGGCTTGACCTCGCGTTCGCTATTATCACCACCAAGCTCAAAGTGTCCAAACTTGTTAGGGTGAGTCTTGTAGAAGCTCTGCTTTTCCTCGGCGGTATCGTCATCCCCAAAAATACGGGCAGGCTGGTAGTTTTTGCTTCCTGCTTTAGGCGCAACAGGTCTGCTTTGCTTAGATGGTGTAGCATCGGGCGACTCTTCTTCGCCCACAAACAGCTCTCCGTACTCGCGAGGGGCTGGCTGTGCAGAAGAAGGGGCTCGAGGGGGAAGGACAGCCCCGGTGCGGTCGTTTTTGGGGGAGAGAAGGTCGAACAGAGAGTCGGCTGCGTAAGGGTCTTTGATGTGCTTCTTGCTTGGGGAAATAGGGTTCGCGCGGTCCTCAGCAGCAGCCGCGGGTGCAGAAGCAGGGACCCCGTTCTCCGCGCCGACTCCGGCATACGCGGATTTGATGAGACGTGTCTGATCCTTCGCCTCGCGAATAGGCCAGTGCCGCGAGCGAGCGCCGATGACCTCCATCTGCTTCAGCAACATTCCCTGGTCCCAGTGAAGCCGGATCTGGCGGATCCGCCTCTGGGCATCGAAGCGAACAATGTGTATCTACAAAACGCCTCTATCAGCCATGACGATAGTGAATTGTATTGATTAGTCTGCTCTAACTCACCGCGGGGAATGTTGCGACCCGGTCTGCCAGGAAATTATCGTCGAGTGAGGGGAGATAGGCCCCTCCCCCCGAGACGAACTCCAGCGTTGTCTCGACATCGAGACACAGCGAATCTGCGCTCTCGATGGCGCCGATGACGTCTTCCGCCTTCTTCTTGACCACGTTGTGCTGGCGCGACAGGTGGCCCACGACCGCCTCAGCCCCCTCGACTGTCGTTGTCGTGGTGATGTAGATCAGCGAGACATCTGGAGCCAGCGGCGCAGACCTAGGGTCCGCAAGGAACTTCTGGTAGACCTCCTTGAGCGACATGATTGCCGTACGTTGCAGCGAGGGGGTGTTCCAAATGACGACCTGCCAGGGGGGAAGGGAGAGAGATCAAGAAGTCAGCGGTTTGTTGTGGCTCCCAGGAATCGCAGGCGCGCGCAATGCGGGAACCACGGTTCACATGGGCGGACGGGGGATACGTACCAAACAAGACGCCCACGAACCACAGCACAGCAGGGTGGGAATAAACAAGGTGATCAGAACAGCGTGGAGGCTCGAGAAGGAGAAGAAATAGAGGGGAAACCAATTGTATTAAGGTTTCAGGGGAATGGATGGATGGAGCTCTCTCTCTTTGAAAAAGGAACGCGACGCGAACCTCTGGGAGGGGCCCCAAGGCAGCACCTGGGCGGGCCTCCAGCTGGGCAGGCCGAAGCAGGCTGGCTTGTCTCTGTGTACTCCGCAGACGGGAAAACTAAGTTGATGGCTGCTCAGCAACGGTGATGCAGCACGAAGACTCCGTTTGGCTGCGACACCCCGGTAATTTCATGGAGAGGCGCACGGGTGTGGCTCCAGGCAGACCAGTGTTTCACCCTCGCCAACCGGGTTTCAGCGTGCGCAGGCCGGTTGTCAGCTTAAAGGAAGCGTCGTGGAAGTAAGAGCGTGCAAGATCATGGATGACTGACTGACTGGATGGGTTTGTAGTACTACGGAGTAGCATCTCCATACATACTTCGGAGTAGCCCACTACGGAGTAGTGAGAATGTTTGACAGTATGCATGTGCATCTCTCCTGCGTCGACTCCACCAAGGAGAATCTGGTCTAGACTTAGTAGTACGCCTCAGCTGGGCCAACATGACCTCGCAAGAATAAATTTCTCATTATCAAAGTGAAATTAACGGTCGTTATCTAGATACATCGCCAGACAGGCATCTACCCCGCTCTTATTGATACATTCCCGCCAGAGCAAAGGGCTGCAAAACAACATACAGTCTCCTTCCGTCAAACACAGGAGGCATTGCTGATATCTGATCGTCGGATATCTGGGTATCCTAATTAGGAGAAGGTGCACGAAGAAAAAAAAGAGGAATACAGGCGAGAGTAGGCCGAGCAGGGAAATCGAGCCAGTCGCCTAACTGTGCTGTAAGGTTCTGTAGGTGTAGCGCTATCGCGCTGTCCATCTCCCAGACGCGGCAATGCACAAGCTTCGAGTCAGAATGAGGAACTGACTCAAGAATCTCGAAACCGTGGCTGCTGGCGTGAAGAGTAGTTCAACCAGCTCAAGTCTATTCCTCTTCTTTAGAAGGAAGCCGGGGAGACCAGGCCATGGCGACTCGCTCAGAATAGCTCGCTCGCGCACAGGTAGTAGTAAATTCAATTCGTTACAGAGGTCTGGAGTGATGTTAGTCATGCAGACCAAAGACCCTGAACCCACAACTCTAAGAAGGGCGTTTGCGACATACCCAAGATAGTCCTCCTTAATTGTTCCAATCGCATTAATGGCGGCAACATCGGGCTTGACACCGAGGATCTTTAGGCGTAGACTGGTTCCCTTTTCGATAACCTGGTCGGCATGGTCGGTATACTGAGGAGGTACGGTATTCGGTTCCCACTTGATATCCGAAGGAATATTCTAGTCGTTGGTCAGTGTCAAGATCGAGCGAACAGTGAATCCATGGGCGCCCTCCACATACTTTGCGCGCAATAAACACCGACAGCGGACCTGCCAAGGTGAATATGCCGGTTGGCTTGACCGAGGTGACAATTGCATCTACCTACAACATGAAGTCAGTGCCGAGGACAGAAGGAGAGGGGTCAGCTTCTTCAAACCTACCGTCTCTCCTCGGAACGGTTTCCAGATGATTGCGCGGTACTTGATAGTATATTCAGCGGCGCCACTTCCTGGAATCACTCGCCCTTCGCCAATGTCCACCATGTCCATCACGCAGATCACAAAATGATCTCCTGTACATCTGCCTTCCTCCTCTTCATTGAGCCGATTGATCAGGTATTCCCTCACGCTGGGCCCAAAGTAGGACGGGTGAAGCGAGATCACCTTCGTTTCTTCCTTGAGAAAGAACATTGCGCCTCCTCTTTGCTATATTATTGGAACTTGATGCCCTATCAACTTTGTCTGTAATGTCTCGTGTGGACTTCTTTTCGTCAAGCGTACAGTCTCGGGCGGTTCGTCTTATGGGAAACACAGCATCTCAGGAAGCGCTATCGATTCGGCAATGCTGGGCGTGATATATCCACGTGGCACGCAGATTGAAAGAAGGTTATCCAGAAATTTACCGCGAAGAAAAAGGCCGGATTCAAAGGAAGGATTCGGATTGCTCAATGCGACTCAATTTCGACGACGTGCAATTAACGACCCATGGCCTCAAGCCCAAAACAAAGAAGATGACAGTTAAACACAAAGAGGACGAATGGAAAACCAGACGGTAACACAAATGAGCGAAGCTGAGTCCCTGGTTCAGCGCCAGCCGATCTGGAGAGCAGATACAGCTGCTGTGAGCGCCAGAGCTGTGAGAACCGCCGACTTGCTTGGCTCGCGAAGTCACATGACACTATGTTTATGCCTGAGGCACTAAACCGGCCGGTCGCCAATTAATTTCCATACAAACTACGTTCCTAAGGGAATCCGGGTCTACCTAGGTAACTGCTGTTAGCGAGGTAGTGTGCACCGCAGCTATGGTATGATCGCTTTCCTCGGTTCAAGTTACATGCATATGACGCTCATAAATGGATATACAGTTATGAGCCCCGCAAAACTCCTATAAAAACCGTCACAGGGCTTTCTGCTCACAGGCTTCGCGCCGTCGCCATCTTCCTACCTCGGGTTTATTTACTGGGGTCCACGTACCTGGGGGAGTCGCAACTTGAGCTACCTCGTCTACACCTCCAACAGTGATACTAGCCATGGCTCTAAACCTGGAGAAGCAACTTCTTTTCGTGCGTGCATTCTGATGAATATATATATGCAGTTCGAATGGCTGCTTACCTGTTGTTAATATACAGTATGGTGCATACCATAATAACCCCGTACGACTCAAGTACCGCAAATCAATACTATAGGACCGAGATAGCTAATTGCTCTAGGTGAATGTGGCAATCCATATCACATGTGTGCCGATTCTCTTGTTCACTGGGTTTTTGCTGGCAAGTATTATCCTACCCTTTCCTAGTGTCCTTTGACAGATCAATTCACTGACAAGATACCGTTATGGTTTAGGCGACCAACACCCCTGTGTTTTTCAGACTTCCCGACGCTCTACAGCATGAGTACCTTCCTGCCAATCTCGGAACGGTTGTCTCTTTCATATACGCGATCTTTTATATCCTTCTAGAACCCGTGGCGGGCAGCCTTGCCGCGCCCTTGGTTGTTGGTAGCGCTGCGTACGGCAACTACTTGACCAGCACCTACGGAGCGACCGCAAACTACTGGGCCACCGGCGTCCATGTGTTTTCCTGGTTGATACAGTTTGTTGGCCATGGCGTCTTTGAAGGCCGGGCACCGGCTCTTTTGGATAACCTTTTCCAGGCGATTTTTCTCGCGCCTCTTTTTGTCTGGATCGAAGTCCTATTCTTTTTCGGATATCGCCCGGAGCTGAGGGCAAGGCTTCACAAGAGTGTCGAGGAGGAAATCGCGAGATTCAAGAACAACAAGAAGCGTGCGAAGGAGTAGGAAAGAGTCAAAACAAGTTGTGCCCGAGGAAATCCCGCGAGAGAAAGCTGCACTCGGTTTCGGCTGGATCCTTTAGATTGCCGTCGGCTCCGCTGGCCGTATTCCACTACCTCCCTTTCATGATTTCCAAAACATGAAATCAAATTCCTAATAGCTTTTGGTTTGTTTTGGAGTCATACTTCCCTGCTAATGATACATTGATGATGTAAATAGTTGCTTTTTGAGAAAGGGCTATGTTTTTCAAATAATAATGCCTCTCAATTCTTTGCAGCAAGGTGTCTACCAGCTTAGCTAATTTTAATACTTGACTATTAGTCAGAATTGTTTTTCTGTCTTTAAACGGGGGAGGGGCCACGCAAAGCCAGGCTAAAATCATTTTCAACACTCTATGACATACACTTGATAATAAACCCTCGATAGATGTATCAAAATTCCCGATCTACGACCGCGTAGGCCTAGTATTGTTGCGGTGGCAGCAGGCGGGAAGGCTTGTTAACACGGTTGCTGTGACGAAAATGCACCTACGCTAGCAGTATCCGCAGATCCGAAAAAATCCAGAGAACACGAATTATTCCGGGGGGAATGCCCCCGCGGTGTGGAAGCAAAACACCACCCTCGATGGGAGCCAAATTGAAGCAATGGACGCACCAATTTCGTATGTTCAAAAATTAAAGCGCTTTTTGTCTTGATCAAGGGACACTGCTCGATCAACGTGCGATGGGGTGTGGGTGATGGGGGGGGGCCCATGGACACTGGATGGCGGACGCACTAGGGCGGCTTCGGAGGTTGGTGAGGCTCGGCAAACTAGGCTTAGTGCCGTCCTGAGAAACCTCCCAACCCCGACGACAAAGCTCTCCTTCATCCATCCACAATCCTTTCCTCTCGACCTCCCTCTCCCCAATTACGTCTCTTCTCCAGAGAAACCACTCAGACTCCCCTCTGAACCCCCTTCACAATGTTCAGAAACGCTTTGCGGTCGTCTAGCCGCACCGTCGCGGCTGCCACTGCCACTGGCCGTATCGCTTCGGTGAGTTCATCCCTACCCAGCTCGACCTCGTCGCCTCTAGCAGGACCTTTCCATCGCAGAAAAGGCTTCTTCGGCGATCTCAATCCCATCTGCTGAGGTCGCATCATCATCTGCGCGTGTTTTGGCCCGCCCCCGCCTCGCCGTCCTGTCGTTAACAAATTTTGCGTCTTCCTCTAGGCTCGCGCGGCTGTCTCCGGCCCCATCGCCGGTGCCTCCAAGCAGGTCCGTACATATGCTGCTGAGGCCAAGGCTGCGCCCACCGAGGTTTCCTCCATCCTTGAGCAGAGAATTCGGGGTGTTCAGGAGGAGGCCGGTCTTGCCGAGACTGGACGTGTCCTTTCCGTCGGGTACGTAGATCGCAGCGCCCGGGGTGAAAAATTGCAATTCATCCAAATCATCGAAAAAACTATCGAAAAATTGCAATTCCCATCAATCTTTGCGCAATTAGCTAATTTTTAACCCAAACAGTGACGGTATCGCTCGTGTCCATGGCATGACCAATGTCCAGGCTGAGGAGTTGGTCGAGTACGTACTTTTTTCACATCTAAAATCACCTCGCGAAATCAAACGCTAACCATGATTCTAGGTTCGCCTCTGGCGTCAAGGGAATGTGCATGAACCTCGAAGCCGGCCAGGTCGGTGTCGTGCTTTTCGGTTCTGACCGTCTCGTCAAGGAGGGTGAGACTGTCAAGCGTACCGGCGAGATTGTAAGTTTTTTCCCCCCCCTTTCGTTCTATTCGATATATCGCTCTTTTTTCATCAACTCAATGCTCATTGTTTCTCTTTAGGTCGATGTCCCCGTCGGCCCTGAGCTCCTGGGCCGTGTCGTCGATGCCCTCGGCAACCCCATTGACGGCAAGGGTCCCATCAAGGCCTCTGACAAGCGCCGTGCCCAGCTCAAGGCCCCTGGTATCCTTCCCCGTCGTTCCGTCAACGAGCCCGTCCAGACTGGTCTCAAGTGTGTCGACTCCATGGTGCCCATTGGCCGTGGTCAGCGTGAGTTGATCATCGGTGACCGTCAGACCGGAAAGACTGCCGTCGCTCTGGATGCCATGCTTAACCAGAAGCGCTGGAACAGCACTGGCGACGAGAAGAAGAAGCTTTACTGCATCTACGTCGCTGTCGGCCAGAAGCGTTCCACCGTCGCCCAGCTCGTCAAGACCCTCGAGGAGAACGACGCCATGAAGTACTCTATCGTTGTCGCCGCTACTGCCTCCGAGGCCGCTCCCCTGCAGTACATTGCTCCTTTCACTGGCTGCGCCATGGGTGAGTGGTTCCGTGACAACGGCCGCCACGCCGTCATCATCTACGACGATCTTTCCAAGCAGGCCGTCGCCTACCGTCAGATGTCTCTGCTGCTTCGTCGTCCCCCTGGTCGTGAGGCCTACCCCGGAGAGTGAGTTCCACCATACCAACTGATTACTACCAACCGTTTCAGAGCAACGTGCTGATTCAATACCGCTTAGCGTTTTCTACCTCCACTCTCGTCTCCTGGAGCGTGCCGCCAAGATGAACGAGAAGCACGGTGGTGGCTCCCTCACTGCCCTGCCCGTCATTGAGACCCAGGGTGGTGACGTGTCTGCCTACATTCCCACCAACGTCATTTCCATCACTGACGGCCAGATCTTCTTGGAGTCTGAGCTCTTCTACAAGGGTATCCGTCCCGCCATCAACGTCGGTCTGTCCGTGTCCCGTGTCGGTTCCGCCGCCCAGGTCAAGGCCATGAAGCAGGTCGCTGGTTCCCTGAAGCTTTTCTTGGCCCAGTACCGTGAGGTTGCTGCCTTCGCCCAGTTCGGTTCCGATCTGGATGCCTCCACCAAGCAGACCCTCAACCGTGGTGAGCGTCTGACTGAGCTCCTCAAGCAGAAGCAGTACTCCCCCATGGCTGTCAACGAGATGGTTCCCCTCATCTTCGCTGGTGTCAACGGTTACCTTGACAGCATCCCCGTTGCCAAGATCCTCCAGTGGGAGTCTGACTTCCTTGCCTCCCTCAAGTCCAACAACCCCGAGATCATTGAGACCATTGAGAAGGAGGGCCAGGTCAGCAAGGACCTTGAGGCTAAGCTTAAGGAGGTCATCACTGCCTTCAACAAGTCCTTCAGCGCATAGGTGAGCGAAATAAAACCGGGTGCTTAGTTCACTGTGTTCACCGTTTTTTTTCCTGACACCTCGTGTATAGATCAGATAGCTTGTACAATTTGAGAGACCACTGTTTTTCTTTTGTTTCAACCGCTCAGGCTAGTCAGCCGCCCGTCCTTCAAGAAGGGGTGTAAATCTGGATCTTCCTGTAGCCACCACGGAACAATCGGATTAGTGGATCGTCGATGGAGAAAAAGATCAAATACGACATAATATCCTGTACGTCTAAATTCGTTTGCGCATTCAAAAGGGCAGGGTCGAGGGGCGCTGGGCAACTCGGCTTGAGGGAGAAACCCTGTACTATTCTATTCGTGTCTCTGTCCTTGTCCTATCTCCCTGCCTCTTCTAAACAGAGCTACAATATGATTTCCTTTGTTACCCGTCCATGGCGATTACATGTAGGACTGCCGTAGATGTCGATTTTGACTTTGGGGGAACTGCTTGATGTATGCGGTAGCTCGATCGAGTTGTTATCGATAAGCCAAGAGCCATTTCGTATCAAATTTTCATCGATACCCCTCTTCGACTCAATCCGGTCTACAAGCGCGTCTGCTGCATATTTATTCTAGGAGAAACAGACTACTCTCTTCCGCGCTCATGGCGTCTACGACAGACTCGGCACCTGCGCCCTGCAAGGTTGTGCTGGCAAAGAACGTTGCCAATCGCCTGCTCGCAGAGGTTGATGAAGGCGTCAAGACTCTCGAGAAGCCCCCTCATCTCGTGGGGTTTCTAGCGAACAACGACCCTGCGGCGCTCATGTACGCCCAGTGGACGGACAAGACTTGTCAAGAAAAGTGAGCAATTCATCAAGTTTGCTTGTTTGTTTTTTTGCCTCCCGCAATTGCGTCTGTATGGCGAGTTTCAATGACCCCGAGCGTATGGATACCATCAATCTATCGCTGGTCTTCGTGGAAACAAGACGTTGTGCAACCGCGCAGATATCTCGAAATAATTGTCTGTTACGTAGCTAATATATGTATTTCTCGTGTTTCACAGTGGATTCCGCTATTCCCTACGTCAAATCGAGCGGGACGACATTGAAGAAGCTATCCTCGCCGCCAACGCTGACCCTGAAGTCGACGGCATCATCGTATACTACCCCATTTTCAACAACCGTCAAGACCAATATCTGCAGCAGATCGTGGACGTATCAAAGGATGTCGAGGGCCTTAGTCACCGTTACATCTTCAATATGTATCAAAACGTGCGTTTCCTAGACCCGGCAACCAAACGCCAGAAGTCCATCCTTCCCTGCACGCCACTCGCCGTGGTCAAGATCCTGGAATACCTCAATATCTACAACACCATTCTTCCCCACGGCAACCGCCTCTTTGGTCACACTATCTGCGTCGTCAACCGCTCCGAGGTGGTCGGCAGACCGCTCGCCGCGCTGCTGGCCAACGACGGTGCATGCGTGTACAGCGTGGACATCACCGGCGTGCAGAAGTTCACTCGTGGCGAGGGCCTCAACAAACGCACACATGAAGTCCACGATATGGAGGGCTGGACCATCAAGGACGCGGCACCTCTCTGCGATGTCGTCATCACCGGTGTCCCAGGCGAGTCGTACAAGTTTGACACCAGCCTCTTGAGAGAGGGCGCCGTCTGTGTCAACTTTTCCAGCGAAAAGGTTTGTTTAGTGTCTACAAATTTCAAGTCATGTCACCTGCTAATGTGCTACAAAGAACTTTGGTCCCGAGGTGAAGCAGAAGGCTTCGATCTTTGTCCCATCGATTGGCAAGGTTACAATCGTGGTCCTGCAGAGGAACCTTCTGGTACGTATCCAATGAATCCCAGAAATATCTCCACCAAACGGCCATCATCTAACATCCAGCAGAGGCTCATTCAAAACAAGCGTCTGGACGACGTCAAGCCTGCAGCAGCCACTGAACGACCGGGAACTTTAGAAGCCGATTCGTAAATCTTATTTGCCATCTTGAAAAAGAAAACAAAATAGAAAACATACTCGATACTGATCTATTAACAAGATGTTTACGACTTTAAAATTTACCCCAGTTACGCCCTTCTTCATACTACTCATTCCTATATGGATCTAGAATATATATATAAATAAAAGCGGTTCTGGTCACTTCTGTCGAAGTAGATGCTGATATTTCACTATCTTATAATCAGTGTATTATGAGAACGAACTGGCCCCTTTTGATCAAGCAGGCATACAGGCATGAGCTGCCTCGCGAAAACTGCTTTATTTCAAATCCAGTATACCCCTCTCTTCCTGTTTCTCCCCGAGATGATTCAAAATATCAAAACTCCAGCTCCGTCTTCATGATTTTACAGAACAACAGGCATCAGCCACAAGCCCCTCCTATTGCCCTGACAGGCCGCCGCTAAGCTTCTCCTGTTCCTTTGCTGCAAGTTGCAGGACCTCGATCTCTTTGGATAGCCAGGTTCGGAACGGTTTTGGGTGGAAGACACCATCGGCAGAGAACCAGTTGGTGAATTTTGTCTCAAGATTCTTCTCCTGGAGCGTCTTGTTTGATGGAGACGTGTACTTGACGTCGAGTTTGTAGAGCGGGGAGTGCGCCGTCACGGAAGAGCGGATAGTGAGCTAAATGCACAAGAGACTCGTTAGCACCACAAATCCCCAAGAAAAAGCTCTTCATGCTAGCTCACAGTCTCTCCTGTTTTTCTATTTCCTCGAAACACCTCACCGCCCTCCACGGCCCATATCCAGTATGTTAGAAGGGAGTTCAAAACAAAGTACGAGGTCACCGCCGCGATGATCCATGGTGACTGTGTTGCTTCCCAGCCCAGCTGGCGATCAGCGTAGAAGGTAAAGGCTGCGATAGCCACGGCAGAATACCCTATCGCGAAGCGGACATTTGTTTTGCTGTGGTCTTGCGTAAATGTGTACGGAGGAGGAAGGGACGTCAGGTACGGAACAAGGGCGTCATCGGTTGCAGCCTTCAGATCTGTGCAAAAAAAGAGGATATCAGATCATCTTCTCAGAAGCATTAATATGCCATGTCTGGCGTATATTTCATACGAAAAAGAATCGCAATCCCGAATATAAATACAATCATCATAGATTCGGAGTATGATACGAACCGTTGACGGAGTAGACGGGCACCTTGGGTGCCTCTAGAGACGCCATTGATCGATTTCCGTGTCGCAGGATTATAGCGACAACCTTGAAGTAAAACAATAAGTTCTGCTAGCCGAACAAAAACCACTCGTTTGATTTCTGTTGGGCCAAGACACACCTGCAAGTTGCGGCGAGTTGTCCCTTTCGCGGAGGTCGTTCAAAGGCGGCATGTAATTATGCACCAACGCTAGCGGGCAGTACTACCAGCGAGAGACCTCAACGTCCGGTATCACTTTACCTACCTCCGCAGCATCGAATCTGACCGGCAATACCCAAGTTTCTAACTCCCTTGCTATCCGTACTGCCCATCATGGCGGTGCAAGGGCTAGAGCAGACCATCCTTCGGGATCCGGCTCTTTTGTGAGTCCATCAAGTCGCCTTTAGTTGGGACCAGATGACTGACGCAATACAGTTACTGGATTATGTTTCCGATCACGGTTGTGATGGTATGCTCTTTTTGTTTTTTCCTGCCGAATAATAGACTATGGGAGCAGTTAAACTGATTGCCTGTCTAGATTCTTACAGGCATCCTCCGACACTATGCGACTGTCCTGATGCATTCGCCGCCTAAGCCTGCGTCCACCCTGGCCGAGTCCCGAGAGCGCCTCTCTCTGATCCGTGGTGTCAATTTGCGCAACCACGCCTGCGCCGTGTTAGACAAGGAGTCGTTCGAGCAGCGCAAGAGCTATATGGTTGCTGCTTACCAAAGCGGCGCGTTCTTGAAGGATCCTGCCAACCGTGGCCAACCCCCGGCGAACCCCATGACGGACCCCGCGGGCATGGAAGCAATGATGGGCATGATGAAAGGGAACATGATGATGATGATTCCACAGACCCTGATTATGAGCTGGATCAATGCATTCTTCTCTGGATTCGTGATCCGTACGTCTTCCTGTGGATGAATTTCGTATGCGCACTGCTAATGCTAGTCCTCTAGTTAAATTGCCCTTCCCTCTTACTATTCGCTTCAAGTCGATGCTTCAGTCCGGCGTCTTGACTCGCGATCTTGATGTCAGATGGGTGTCGAGTTTGTCGTGGTATTTCTTGAACTTGTTTGGCCTCCAATCTGTTTTTGGCTTCATCCTGGGAAGTGATAATGGTTAGTTTTCCCCTTGCCACTGCTGTTAATAAAATAACTAGACTAATGGTGTTTCCCTCCAGCTGCCAGCCAAATGGCTCAACAGATGGGCGCAATGAACCCCGCAGCCGGTGTCAATCCCTTTCAACCTGGCCAGGATCCGGATAAGCTTTACCGAAGTGAAGCCGAGAACCTTGAGGTCATGGAACACTTTTGTATCCTCGATGGCATCGAGGAAAGAATTCTGCACAATATTGCTTCAAAGGAGGGGTTCTGAGTATTATCTCTCTCAAGGATTACCATTTCTCATAGTTACTTGGAAGTGTTGGATTTTCCGCATACCTCTAGATTGGGGTTTATATCAATCCAAGACACTTATTTCAATAGAAACTATATAAATATATAAAGTGCAGAGGGCGCTATCCTGTTCTGATAGACAGCATATAAAATAAAGAGAATCATCTTCATGTCCTCTATAAGGTAGTAAGTAGTATTTAGATGAATCTGGGCCTTCTAGCTCGTTGAAAGCTTATGATGGAAAAATCCAATTACTGCTGGCGGAACATATGCCCAAGATCATCCATATATATGCTATCCATCAAATATACTATCACTTATCAAATCATTAATCATAACCCGTAGATATAACTAGATCCTATGCATAGTTGATTACTCCATTCAGAACCCAGACCTCGCCATTATACACTTGTTCTGCAATCGTCTCGACTTCGATATGTCCAGGTTCAATCTATAGAATTCACAGTTAGAAACAGGAAGAAGATCACATTTTCTACAGAATGAGGTCAGACTCACGAAAACTTTGTTGCCTTCTCGTGTCCATCTCAGCTTCCCCCCAACCAGAGACTCTGCCTCTTCGCCCTCCTTCCAAGGACTGACAGGAACAAGGTGCGCCTCGACAAATCTCTGAAGGTTCTTCCTGGCTCTATCTTGTCCTTCTTCACCCTGATATGCCTCCACTTCGCCGAATTTCCCGTAGTCTTCAGGGTTTTCCCAAGGCTTGCGCGGCAAGGCTTGGATTGCACTATTTCTTGGCGCAAGAACTGTAACATTCCTCGAAGCATCGTTCAGGCGACTTGAAATCGGTTCAAAATCGCGCGTTAAAGATGAAAATATGTTGATGCCTTGAGTTTTTGGGAGAACATCAGAGACAATAGGCCCGTTCGTAGAACCAGAACCACCAGGGTTCTGGCCGTCTGATCCTGTCTGAGGGGGCATTATTGTTTCAGTGTTTGGAATATCTACAAGTGGCTGCTGGTTAAAAAGCCGGTTTTCGATGTCACCATTCCCGTATAGGCCTTTTCCCTCATGTACTTGAGATGCGTGATTTTGCAGGGAAGGGTGTTGGCGAACAGACCAAGACGGACGGATTCCGTATAGGGCAGAAGCAAGACAGAATACAGACAAGAGAAGAGCTGTAGAGGTAAGCACGAAATACCTCATCTTGGTACAGGACGCCATCTTGGAGCAGACAGGCTTGCTTATATCCTGTGTTTCCAACCCCTCAAATGGGATAATGACGCAACCGGCGGAAATGGCAAGATTTGGCACGTGATGCGAAATGAGATTTCAGATCACGTGGCATTTATCGATAAGGTGAGAGGTCCAAGGGAGACTCCAGCCGGCCACAAAAAAGCGTCATGAAGGTGGGACAGTCCCCGACGTGCCCCTCTCAAGCCGCGAGCGCGTTGTTCCTGTCGTGAGGGCAAGATGTCGTCGGCGTTGCAGTCATATCTTCTCATAGTTGACCACAACAAGGAGGAAGCCGGCCAAATTGCTGGGAAAGTTGCTCAAGGTAATATTTCATCGTGTGGCTTAGGAATATACCTTATCTTCGTCCTAATTGGTGCATAGATGTCGAGAGCAAGAAGACAACCCTCATAGACGTCGTGCAGTCCCTAGGCGAATATATAAATGACGAAGATCCCCTTATTAGGGGCAACGCAGTCTCATACCTGACGGCTGTCATCAAAGCCTTGTCCCCGAAGTATCTGTCTCGCCAGCAGATTCAAGTCCTGACCGCGTTCTTATGCGACCGCATTGAAGATGGGGGCGCCGTCGCAGGGCTGGATACTCTGCAGAAATTGGATCGATTCAATAAAGTGCTGGCGGAGGAAGTAGCCCGAGCGTAAGTATCGGCTATCTCAAGCTCACGCATCAGAAACATATAGTTGAATGCTGATATCGAATGCAATTTAGAATTTTCTCGCACTTTCAGGACTTGCAGTCACGATCACAATCTCAAAGGTTCCAGGTCTACCAACTGCTTAATGAATTGATGTCCAACTACCGAGACGGTTCGTCCATTCGCAGCTATTTCCAAAAGAAGACGGTCAAGACTGACAAGCATTAGCTTTGCGTGCTATGGGTGAGGAGTCAATCGTTGGCGTGGTGGATCTCATGGCTGGCGAAAAAGACCCTCGCAACCTCATGATTGTCTTTTCGATACTTAAAGTGGTTATGGTGGAATGGGACATTTCAAACCATGAAGAGGTACTTGACGAGAACAACAGGTTTTTTAGATCTGGCGTGCTGACAGGTCTAGCTTCTCTTCGACTCTGTGTACAATTATTTCCCTATTACCTTCCGGCCTCCTCCGAATGACCCTTATGGAATCACTTCACAAGATTTGAAGGATCGCCTGCAGGATTGTATATCGTCTACGAAGTATTTTGCTCCGCATGCGATTCCTGCTTTGTTGGAAAAACTTGACTCTACTTCGCCTAATGTCAAGGTGAGCATTCCATGTACCAAGGTTTTGATACCATTCAGAACTAACAAAACCTAGAGAGATTCCTTGAACACGTTAGAGGCATGTGTCTCTACCTATGACCCGGATACTGTATCCCGGTATTCGATAACTATATGGGATACTTTGAAGTTTGAAATCCTCAATGTTCAAGAAGAATTCTTAGGCGAACTCTCCCTAAAGGTGCTTCAATTAATTGCCAAAAGACTTTCAGAGGGTGTCACTCAAGTTTCGCAAGAGATTCCTCTTGCACAGTACCTGAAACCCATTACGAAGGAGTGCAATGAGCAACTACGAGAGCCTCAACAGAAACAAGCGAAACCCGCACAGCAAATCTTGAGTTCAATATCTTCTGCATCTGCTCTCTCATTCGCTTTGATCATTCAGACTGTTGTTGCTCCTCTCCTCACAGTTTACCAAGAGGCAGATGGGATTGCCAAACAAAGAGCTCTGTTGGAGACCCTGGCCATTCTTTTCGATTCGGCTATAGCAATTTTTGGTTCATGGACGTCTCGTGATCCTGTGGTTGCATTAGAGAACCCCCTTTTAGAGTTCAAGGATCAGTTCTCAGATGTCTTTAGCCAAGTTCTGATGGGCGTGGCTAAAGAAGAGGTGTCCTTCCGCGTCACGGCTCTGAAAGGTCTTCTACGTCTTTCCACATTGCGAAATTTTTTCCAAGACAATGAGATTGGATTGTTTGTGCAGTATCTTAACGAAATCCTTCTCAAGGAAGAATCTGTCGGCAGAGACGACTTGAAGAAAGAGGCTGTTGCAGCTCTAGCGGAGATCTCAAAATACAAGCCACGCTTGATTATGGACATCACGTTCCCTGCCTTTGTCGCTACACTTCCAGACTCTGATGAGGGCGCTGATAGCAGTTACATGGCGACTCTCGAGAACTTAGCTGAAATCAGCATTGAACGCGACATTTTTGAGACTCTTTTTCGGCGTCTTCTCAACAAGTTTGCTCTCCTGCTGCACAAGGAGCAGCCTGGTTCTGTGGAATATCCCAGGGCTATTTTAGCGACCCTTCTTCATGTGATGAGCCGGAGAGATATGGCGCAGGATCCAAATCTGGAATCATATTATGAAAAGGTTGTTGTCGGCCTCAGCCGGGATGTTGCAGCTGCATCATTAGGCAAATCCAAGAACCGGATTCTTAACGACGCAAGTGTCCTAGATATACTGGGAAGGATGTGCAACCTTATTGTCAGAGCCGCTCCGCGCAATAAACAAGATGAGGTGGCAGAAAATGTCTACACTTTGTTCTCTGCGGCAGATGGTTTTGTGTCGGTGCCATTTTCGGATTCTGTCACGGAAGACCAACAACGTACTATGATTATATCGACATACCTCCTAGCCGGATTACCGAAGGACACCACAAAGCTACCTTACACCGCACCTAACATGGCCGGCCTACTTCGTGATCTCGCTCAACGTTCGATTGCACAAAATGAACCGGCAACTCATCTTGCTTGTCTTCGACAACTCGCTTTACTGGTCAACAAGTTTCTCTCCAAGGACGAGTTGCCTCTCGCTTCGCAGCTGTTTGAGTCACTTCTTCCTACTGGTCTCGAAGCCGAAAAACCCACTGCCCAAACCATCGGCACTATCTTTTGGTTATCCAAGGCACTCATTCTGCGGCTAGCCCCGACGACAACTCACGTCTTGACATCCATTTTGTCTCTCCTTTCATCTTCGGATCAGGCTATCAGCACCATTGCAGCCCGAGGCTTCTCTATTCTTCTCAACAATGATGAAGTTCTCTCCGCTGCTAACGGAGCGAACATCCGCCTACTATCAAAGCAGCGTGTCTTCACCACGTTTGTTCCGCTTATATCCAGCCGAATTCGTGAGGTCAACATCGTTAGCGGTGATCCTTCCTCATCAGCCGTCCAGGACCATATCAAACCAGCGTACCTCACTGCCCTCTCGGGTATCCTATCCACCATTTCGCCGTCCCTGGTAACACCCGAACTCCCTACTTTGCTTCCTCTCCTTCTCCAGAGCTTGGACCTCCAAACAGCCGAGTCTCAGTCAGTGCGAGCCGCCACTCTTGACACCCTCGCCGTGATCATCCGGGACAATGGCGTGGGCGTTATCGATGAATGTGGTCATGTCCAGAGTCTTGTCACTAGACTTCTGAACACTTCGAAGATCAACCAATCGAATGGGACCAACGCCGGGCCCGCTGCTGTAAACGGCCCCCGCCTGCGCGTTGGCGCATTGACGTGCCTTTTCCTGCTTGCTCAACCACCCACAGGAAATGCCCCGGCCATCGCCAAAGCCGGAAAGTTGTCTCCTCTTCTACCGGTGAAGAGTCAAGTTTTACGTGCCTTGAAAGAGTGTCTCGATGATCCTCGGCGAGATGTCCGAAAAGCCGCTGTTGATGCTCGAGGTGCCTGGTTTAGAGGCATCGATGACGCCCCTGATGATGACGATTGAGAATGACCGGAAGGAATGCAGCATATATAAAAAGGATTAGTAAATGTCATCTTCTCTTTAAAAAAAACTTTTCTCTTGGTTTCTATGTTTCTGGGGGAAATCCGGAACGGGCTTGCTGATATTTGCTTGTCTTCTTATCTGCGTGTAGCATGAATGGATGAACATTAGAACTAGTTACCATGGCTTCGACACAAATCTGCTGCTGATAATAATGCCCTCAGATAGACAAGTAATAGAACATAAAAGTAAGGGTCATTACTAGATTAATTGAGCTCTTATGGGTAAGCTGCAATAAATTCATTGTAGAATATCACCTCATAAACTACTATCTAGAACTAGAGGGATGGGATTTCTTGCATGTTCTATCAATCTAAAAGCAGGAGTCCTTCACCAATAAGCCATCGGCTGCTCGAGCATTTTGACTGGAGCTGCAACACTGGCAGTGGGCATTTTCGAGCCGATCTGGCTAGCACTTTCCATGTCCTTGACAGTCTCAATTTCAACATGATCCAGCCCCTTCGGCCCCTTCGAGGCGATTCCTGCGGGCAAGAAGTTAAACTTTCCGAGAACAGATCCTCCTGCCTGTAAGAGAGAATCTGTTGTTGTAGCGGCGGCGGCGGCATTTCGTGCAGCTTCGACACCTGGGCCCTGATTAAGGTATCCGATGGAGTCAATCCTCTCCACGACCATTGTCGCAAGGCGAAGGAGATCTCCCACACCGGAGTTGCCAATGGCGGTTGCGACCGAGCTTGGAAGAGGCTTACGATCGGTAGATGCGTCGTCGTCGTTTGTAGAGATAGCACTGAGAGGGGCTGCGTCGTTCCCAAAAAGATCAACACCGCGCCAGTCACTGGTCCGCTCTCCGATTTCAAGATTGGCGTTCTCTTTGAGAATGGTCTCAATTGCAGGACTTATGATAGAGACTTCGTACCAAAAACGGCCTCTTTTGACCATCTCAGGAATCGGGATGTTGCAAGCTTGTATGGTCTGGAAATCAGAGATATGGCAGCCGACAAGAAGATCCTGGACCTCCATAACCTGAAGGAATATTTCCTGATCCTCTGAGACCATCTTGATGCCTCCGATGCTTCTCTGATCTCCTTCGGTCAGAGCACTCTTTTGGGAGCTGTTTGCTTCTTCGGAAAAAGCGCTAGCAGACGAATTGGCATTGCTCGCTTTGCTTGGGTGGGCAGCAGAAGGTTCATTCGATCGAAGAAAGTGGTGGCGAGTCCATCTTTTCAAGAACACTTTGTCGATTGTCAAACTGCTCCCTTTGGGGATACGGGTGAACAACGTGATGAGAGATTTATCGGATTGCAAGCAAAATGTTTCGGCAAGTTTTTCAATTGCTTTAATGACATCTTCATCTAGATCCGAAGTAGGCTCTTTGAATCCGTTAAGAACAATGCTAGCGTCCCAGACCTGATTTGGAAAATGTAGATTTGAGGCACCCAGCGCTTCAGCCGGGCCTCTCAAGCGGAATTTACCGTCTTCGTCAATCACAACGATGATGGACTGTTCGAGCTTAGTGCGGCAGTGATATTCATAGAGAACGCTGTAGTCCGTATATTCTTGCTCAAAGAGACGGCGCTTGCCTTCAAGTTTAGAAGTCTTGAGATCGACGATGTAGTCGATGTCTGTTCCCGAGGAAGTCAGCCTATTGATGAACCTCGTCGATGGAGCCGGGAGGTTGTTGCGAGGCTTGAATATCTTATTCCAGTCACTGACAGTAATGAGCGTATCACTGTTATAAGTTTTGGGCAAAAGAGGAATTAAGAGGAGGCCAAGCTGAACCTCTAAAGTGAGAAGCCCAGGATAGAGCTCGGCTGCTTCGAGAGCTGGCTTCAAAGCCTCAAAGACTCCCACCAGGGAGGTTTCAATATTTTCTGCTTCTTTGGGTTGCTGCTGCTGCTCTTCGTCGTTTGACTTTGTATTCACAAAAGGTGTTTTGCGCTCAAATTCTTCTCTTTTAACCGAGGGTGGCATCAACAGCTTCCTCGTTGCTTTTGGGGTTATACCCCAAGCATCTTCAAGAGTGGCCTGCCTCTTAGCTTTTATCTGAGTCTTGCTCGCAGTCTTGCCGCCTGGATTTGCAGCTTGGTGAAACATGGTTTGGTGGAATTCCCTTGACGCTGTCTCGTCCGCCCCTTCCTTCTCCGAAACTTCTTTAGCAGATGATTTATCCTTTGATTGATTCATGCTAGCCATTTCTTCCAGCTCAGCCAATCTCTCCATAATCATGGCATGGTACGGGCCATGTATATGGACAGGAGGGTCTGAATAGTAGTTCAGGCTTGCAGCATGTCTCTTCATATTTGCATCTCTCTTCAACGCAGCGAGTCTTCGTTCGTGGTTTAAAAATTCTCCCGAGGAAGGATTGTTACTTGGAAAGGAATCAGAAGAGCCAAGGCCACGCCTGATATTTCCTGCATGCGTTTTGGCGCCATCGTCTACAGGATTCCGCTCAATGACGCTTGGATGAGAGGTACCTGGTACCAAAGCTGGCTGGTCGAAGGATAGGGAGATATGAGAATTGGACTGAATAGTAGTCTTGGGTCCAAATATATCCACAAGTTGGCTATTCTTGCTGGATGATTTCTTGGACGCATTTGGGGAAGATATGAGCGGCAGTCTGTTTCCAGCGTTGATCTTGAGAGGCCGCGGAGATTTGGTAGGCGTCTTCTTTAAGCCGTACTTGCTTGGATCAAAGGTGGCTGGCAGACGCGATTTTCTCTCTGGAGTACTGGCTGACCCTGTTAGCTGCTGTGCTGGATTCTTCTCCGGCGACGAAGCTGGACTTTCCATAGAAGCTTTGGGATCCTGATTCTCCTTCGAGTCTTTATCAGAATCGCCGCTGGATTGAGCTTCATAAACCATATTCCACCTCCTCCGAGTCTTTGGAGCATCCGAGATTTCATTGGCTAGAACATTCAGAGACCCAGTCTGGCTTTTCGAAATTGCTTCGTCCGTGGACTTTGTTTGAGTTATCATATGTACTTGATCTTCGACGTCAGGTCGTGTGCTATCCACTGTCTGACTTGTCGGACCAGGACCGTGCTTAGTGTCCGCCAAATCTTTGGCGAGCAAGACTGGCTTCCGAGTCTTGATTCCAGGCGGTTTTCTCAAAGCGGGAGCTGCTTCTGATAGTTTGAGTCCCGGTATATCAACAGCTAATTCACTGAAGGGTGGCTCTTTTAGACCAGTCGTTTCTGCCTCAGCGCCATCTTTGACCCATTCTTTGACTCGCTTGGCCTTCTCAGCTGTCAAGTATGGGTGGAATGTCAACTGGGAGTTTGAACCATCATCGTCAATCGACACTTCCACGCCAATATAATCTTCCTTACGGCCAATATTTGCGAAGGTGAAGTTTGTCCAGATGCGAGAGGCCCCTGGCTCGTTCCCCACATGGGAGGGTGCACAGTGGGCTTGAGGGAGACTGAACAACTGTGTCACTTCGTTAAACCGCAAGAGGACGGTTGCGTGTGCTTGAAACAGGCTTGCGTTGGAGGGAAGATCGTGGTCGACTAAGATACGAGGCAGTGCCTGGGTATTCAAGCTGTTGTAGTTTTGAATACGCACGCGGACATCATCATCATCTGTGGGAGCAATGATCACGTTTGAAACTCGAGGACAATGGATTAATGACTGCCAGGATTCTGTTAGCTGAAGATCCAGGAAGTTCAACGACCGGGTACTGGAAAGTCTCTTCACTCACCAGAGGCTCCTCGAGGCGCGTCAGTCTGGCCAAAGCATCTTCCACATCGACCGCAGTTTTTCCTGTGACCAGGATTCCTTTCTCATTGCTAACAACCGAGATCTCTGTTCCGGTCACATTTGCAACACCGGACAGAAAATCAAGAAAGCCGACAGCGAAGATTCCAAGACCGCCCTTGGGCGAGAGCCAGTACCTAGAGTATCGGCTGCCCAGAACCTGATCATCTGAAGCATAATTAAGTAAGTCTCCTTCATGTACCTCCTGGGCCGATCTGGTGTTCTGCTCTAGTCCCTCAAGCTCGATTGTGGCGGGTATCTCCAACTGACGGATCCGGGGCATCTGGGACTGTATGAGTATCCGATGAACATAAACGAGATCAAAGTAACTAGCTCACATCCAGGAGATGCTTCCCATTCTCTTGTTCAATCACACTAGCCACCAGCTTGACGAACGGGGCACAATGATCTTCTTCCAAATCTCCCTTGACGATGAAGCTCTGCCACGCTCCCGTTAGCCAAGAACGAAGTCCGAGAACTGATCCCAAACCTCATCTCCCTTCGAGTATTCGTATGAAATATTGGCATCAGCATTCCCCTGTCTGGAAGAAAACAGCAATATAAGCCTCGAGAACCATTACCAGACAGATGTGTTGTTGGATAGAGTAGAAGCCAAAGGGCACTTACGAGAATCGCTTCTGAATTTCCTGAACCTAGACCAATCCCCTGCTTCAGTATCCATACAAAAGTACACCACCGAGGGACGAGGAGAAGGAGGTACTGACTCCGATGTCTTCGAAGCCACACATCGAGGCCACGGTCAATCTTTGCTTTGTAGCCATGCTGGCAGGGGGAAAAGCTGATAAAGCTGGGAAGCAGAGAGCTCTTCAAGTTTGCTGGTTCTTTCTCTTTATCTGAGATGTAGGCTTATTAAAAGGTGAACTCCTATCTTCTCAAGAGCGATGGCAATGAGTAAGTTGTAAGGCAGATAGATGAAATAAAAAGGGTAGAGCTAAAGAGGAAAGAGGGTTCTAGTTAAGAAGTAATGATGAGTAACTAGTGACAACCCTTAAGTGAATCATGTAACTGCCACATAGAAGTGAGAAGTAGAGGTAGGAGTGCCTAGATTTCCTAGAAGAAAAAAGAATCAGTGAATGCTACTGCTGTCTACCTAGGGGACATTCAATGAGCAAACGGCCACTTGCAGGTTTGCTTTACAGCATAGAAATTAGAACCTTGGATGCCTTTTTAAGCAGAAGAATTTGCCAAAAGAATAACAATTATATAAAGCATCATTAATCTTATAGAGTTTCTTTTATTATTTTTTTGTAGCATCATAGTAGTTCTGTGAGTGAAGCAATCTTGACATGATATGAAACATAAGACAATGCCAATTTATCCACACTGGCCACAACCAGATAATCTTATACAGGATTGAATAGACCAGAAGAAGAATGTAGTAGTATCAACGCCAAACCGGACCATCCTGTTTTCAGGAAGATCATTCTATTTCGAGATGGCTTTGGAGGCAGACGAATTTGGTTGAACAAGTCGAGGAATGATTCACAAGATGTTAGATGTCTCCCGCGTTTTTTGCTTATTCTGTCCGTTATTTTCGATATTGTTTAACATATTCTAGAAATCATAACCTTCAACGTAAACTCCGGGCGAATGGGACTGGATGGTAGTCAACGTCGTAGCCGTTCCCAGGGTATCAGAGGCTTGGCGGCGCTGGGAAAATAGTAATAATAACAATAGTAATAGTAATAATAATGAAGAGAAGCCGAAATAGAAGGTGAGATTTTCAAGAACCACCGGGGCGATGGAAATCTCTTGTCGAATTTTGTTCAATGTAAGCCGAAAAAAAAATGTACGGGAGAAAGTGTAGAGATCGCGAAGTGGTCGGGGGGTTTCAGGGTCGAGTCTCAAACTCAAACACCATGGTAATAGAGAGAGCATCGCAGTTGTGCTTCATTTCACTCGGAGTCTTTCACTTCACCTTTGACCTGGATCGTCCATTTCATTTTGCCTTCGGTTTCTTTGAGCGAAGCGAGGGCCGCATCAAGGTCGGACTCTTTCTGACGTGCTCGTTCGATCAGACCGCGAAGCTCCCGGTCCTGGGCGTCTCTGTAGGCCTTGTATTCTTCAAAGAGTTTATCGAAACTTTCTCTGCTGACTTCGATCTCACGGTTCTTCTGCGCCATGACCGCATCTAGACGTTCAAGCTGTAGATCTTTCTTCTCGCTATGCTCCTTGAGCGCGAGAAAATCCTTTTGGATGCCTTTGAACTTCTTCTGAAAATCGGCCCGCTCCCGCTGTCCAGCCCTGGCGAGAACATCGTATTGGGTACGGAAGTGATTGGTCGTTTCCTGGAGCTCGGCACACTTGCGGTTGAACTCATCGCGACCCTCAGCCATCAACTGATGGATCTTGCGAGTCTCCTGCTCTGACTCCAGCCGCCTGTCCTTTTCAGACTGTATCTCTACCCGCAATTCCTCAATTTTTCTGTCCTTGCGGGCTATGGAGCTCAGGTTTGTCTCGTTCACCTGTTCGAGGTTTCGCAGCCGTTCCGTCATATTCTGGAGCTGTATTTTGTACGCCTCATTGCTGCGCTGTGTTTCCTCTGCGCGGGAGCGGTACAGACTGCATTCACGAGTCAAGCGAGCGATCTCCTCCTGCAGATTGTGGATGACGCGGCCGGACTTGCCGGTGGTTGCGTGGCCGACGGCGGAAGACCATTCTGAGGCCGAGGATTCGCCATGCGATATGCTCGAGAGATTGGGGGATACGGGGAGAGTGGAGGGTTCTGTATTGGAAAGTGTACGTGGTCAGTTACCGCTCGCAAACACATTGCCAACCCAGCCGGGCACTGTAAACGGGATCTTGGTACCTGAGGACAACTCCATCGGAGGTGTTCCGGCCTGCTGGTCCGTTTCCTGACTGTCAAAGAGATTTGCTTGGTGGTGCATATTTAATTGTGTATCCACATGGGATAAGCTAACACGAGGAAGCTCTGTACTGGGCGTAGCATCATTCGAGTCAGCAACTGTTTCTTCTTTCTTCTTGGCCCTCTTTCCCCATCCGAAGCGAACCATCTCGAATTTTGTATCGTCCAACAAAAGCAGGAAACAGGTGTATCAAAGAAGTTGAGACAGGGATCTGTAACACGTCCACCGTGTGGTCCGACAAGACAGTCGCTGCGGGCTGCAAGGAGTTCACCACACAGGATGCACGAGCTAAGAAATAAACTGCAGACAGAGGCTACAGCTTCTTGCCATCCAGATCCAGATCCAGATTCTGATGAATCCCAAGTATCCCTAAGCAACGGGTGGAGGGGAGAGGTGACGGGGCTTGCGGGCAGACGAGATGGAGAAAGAAAGGCGAGAGTTTGAGACATACCAGGAAGCAGATCAAGCTTCAGATGCACCAAATCTGCAGGTAGAGCACTATTCTGGCGCTTACTCATTGCCGAGACATCATCACAGTGTGGTGGAGGCAGAACAGGCAGTCTCTTTATTAGACTAACCCTGTGTGCACCGCAGTGTGTCAGTGAAGCGATGAAGAATCACTCCAAAAAGTTAGATGTGAAATGACTGGTTCCTCGAAGAAAAGAGCGTCAGTTCAAGAGAATATGAGCTCAGAAATGTAGTCTTGGATTCATAAAGGAGGCCAGAGGAGGTGGTCTCAAGCTGGACGAGAGAGTTGTAGAGATTGGACTCTTCACATCACAGACTGATGTCAGCTCGCTCCGCTTCTGGCAAGGCGGCAGGCACCTCCGCCTGCCATCCGAGACCATCCATGTCGAAGAGTGGAACACCAACAAACAAACACGTCTGCGTACGTTGTAAAGCCAACTGCAGCCTTGTTATGCAGGGTACACAGATGGAGGTTGTGTTTCCGCGATACGTATAATTTTTTCAACACTTTTTATTCAAATTTTCCGTGGTTATTATGAACTGCGGAGGGCTTAGATAAACGATAAAAGATACGCTCGACAGTTCTCAACTCTTATCAGAAAATCAGAGGGAAGGGCAGAGCTACTCGGCCACTGGAAAGCGTCAAGACAATTAACAGTGCTTTGTGAGGTCATATACTCATTCCCCAACAACCTTGAGGTTGGGCTGTGAACGTCTGACACGGGGGGCAGGAATTATCGCCTTGCCTTATAACTGCTTTGAAAGGTTCGAGACCATGATAAATTTTTCCATAAATTAAAATATCTATCTAATTTTGATTACTTGATTCTACAACTAATTCCTAATTGAGATACCCAAGGAAAGCCATGACGCCCACCAGCCAGAAAGTAGGGGTTGTTTGGATCGAAGCGCTTCCGCTGACAGTCGCATTCGACGCCGCACCTTCGAAAATACTTGTGCTTTGAGCAACGGCGGAGGATGAAACAAAGCTGGTCTTGTCGAGGTTCTCGTGAATCCTCCCTGAAGGTACCGTCGTAGTAGGCTTTGTCTGAGACGTTGATGTGTGGCCGTTGTCCAAGGTTGTGGCAGATGTTGTTGCACCTGTTGTCGGAGCAGGGGCATCCGGGAGGGTTGTGGTGCCTGTGGTTGGAGACGCGGTAGATGCAACATCACTGACAGTCATAGTCGAGAAAATGGTCGACTCTGGCCCGGCTGTGGCTCCACCCTGAAGGGCGATCAGACCAGAGTAGTTGACAGTGCCCTCTTGCTCGATCTGGAAAGCATAATCGTCGCCATTCACAAGGCTTGCAGCGGGAGTAAACGTGTAGGTCCCTCCCTGGGCGGTGTTGGTAAGGACTTGGACATCTTTCAGATCCCCGGAAGGGCCCTTGCGTAAGGTGATCGTGACAGGCTGTAACATGTACTGTTAGCCTGCAAATCATGACAGGACGCATACTATATGGAAATTTACAGCATCAGTGGCACCATTCCATGTAAGTGTGACAGGCTGCCCCGCGGTGATACTGCTGGGCCACGCAGTAAATGCTATATTGGATTGCGCCACGGCCGACGCGATACAGCCCAACGTGGCGAACAAGAACAGAGAGAAATGCATCGCAAAAATTGGGCACGTATAGTCGTCAGGATCCTAATAGAAATTGCGGCAAGAAGAGAAAATAAAAGGAGAGAGAAGAAAAGAAGAACGAGGCGACAAGAGTCTAACACCTTGAAATCGACCTGGTCATTCCATCAAGGCGTAGGGCAGAAGCTCCAGTGTATAAATGCTGTCCGCCACGCCAGCAAGCTCGTCATAACATTCTCTGACAGGTGGCCCTCGACTCGCGACCAAAATAACAGTTGATCAGATCTTCTTCTGGGCTGGGAGAAGGAGGGCCTAGAGGCTTGGACTAATTGAGAATGCCCACTCCTTGCTATGACAGGTCGCTGTCAAATGTGAGGGCAGGGCGGGGATCTTTCGAGTGCATGATCGAGGATAACAGGCTTCTGTCTCTCGTGCACACCATTCTTTACCACGTCAGTGAGAAGGGAGCATGGGGAAGCCAAACTGTTGGGACCGCGAGTACGCAACTGGTCTCGTGAGCGCGTCTTTGCTCTGCAAATGTTACATTCCAGTGGGGGGCGATCATTCCACTGACTCTAAAGAATCTAGAGAAGGCATTCAGAGTACCTTCCGACACAGCAAGAACCTCTGGTGATGCTTTATCAGTATTCCCAATGCGCTAGGTTATCGCACCACTGGGTGAGGCTTGCTGAAGACATATCATAAAAACCCGGGGTAATGTGAGAATTCAAGAGCAGCTGTTATTATAGTCAGCGGTTATATTTTGCAAGACTTATGCAGCAAGCTGTCCCTATAAGTAAAGCTAGGGTGGAATGTTAGACCTCCTTGATTCAAACACCGCCTTCGATTCCATTTTGGCCCTTCCATCCACAGTACCATGATTGCATGTACGTCTTCTGTCAAAAAATCCATTTCTTTTGTCGCCAGTTTAAAGCTCTTGACTGTCATTCTCCGTAGTCGTCAATTCACTGGCGGTACTCGAGACAAAAGTAGTTGACGGAAGGACGAGTGGACTGAGTTGGAGGCAACATCAACGGGAGCTAGATAGTAGTATCCAATATCGCACACCTTGGAAGGAATCAGAATCCTAAAATCACGTACCTGAATCTATCACACAGCCAGTGGAAGTGATTGCGGTGGTAGTAAGTACCTAGGTAGGTAGTTCTGAAATTCGTTCTAACTCGCAAGAGGTGGTCGAAACAAACAGCACTCTTTCCCACCTTCAACCCTGCTTTCATTTCATTGCTGGTTATCACTGCAAAAGGAATTCTGGGCCTAGAATAAGGCCGTATCGACGTCTGCCAAAAGAACAAGATAAGAGCTTGTTGATGGTCCAAAGGCAAGGTTCAGAAATGGTCAGGTCATGTTCCAGGCCTCAATTGCCAACCGCCACAGTTGCTTTGATATAACCGAAAACGGGAAGGTGGCTTGCCTCGTCTCCCAACGGACACAGCCTGGCCGGCGGTTCCAGACCTGAGAACTTGAAGTTCCGCATCCATCGTGGGGCAATTACCGCAAAGATAGCAGTGTCTTTATCCTGAAAGCATACAGAATGGCACTTGCGATATCTATGTTCTTTCATCGATGGACTGCGCCTTCAGGTCGCTCTTTCCGGGCCTGGCCAGTCTTGCCTCAATTCCGGCCAGTTGAATGGATGGAGAAGAGCTGCCTTCTCCAGTATTTATCTCGAGGCAGTTCTCCTACTTTCTGGGTTTCTTTACTACCTACACCATCACCTAATAGCTAGCCCTACTACTCTATTATCTAGCCGGCCACTCGTTGCGAGCTTGTGATAGTTACTCAAGTCATTCGTTAATCTTTTTGTTCTTACAGCATCAAGAGAACCTATCCTTATCATTACCATTTCCGGAATTTTCAACCATGGCCCCTAAGCCATCTTCGAGTGCGGGACGTGAAGCTCGCCCTCAAGCTGCTTCTTTTGCAGCAGGTCGAAAGATCCATCTGGAGGCAGACCGAGCAGTTCAGAACGCTAAGCCGCTGCTTCCACGATTTTACTGCAATCAGGAGAAGGTCAAGGAATCAAAGGCGAAAGGTCTAGCCCGGTCTGCAACGTGCCCGTCGTCCATGGCGCTGCTGAACACCCGTGCCGATGCATTGCAAACCGTCGCACTCTGTCGTTGTCTCATTACGTCGTTGGAATTGACCCGCATGCGTAAATCTCGGATAGGGTTTGCGCATTGGATGTCTTTCTGGGAACAACTGTACAGCCGATCTCTCGCCCGTACTCTCAGTCTGTGTGTCACCAGTGCGCTCACAAAGGTTGACATGCTCTTTCGGTGCGTCTCGAAAGAGCTCCATTTCATCACGGACCGAACAGAAGCAGCGGTCAGACAAGCCGAGTCCAAGAAGGATATAGCACGAATTCTCGAAAACATGGAAGCGGAAGTCAGCGTTCACCGAGAGCACCGACGCCGCAGAGCCCACAAAACTCTGGAGCGGTTGAGGGCGAATATGGAGGCGATCCCAGTTAAAGTCACGGATGATTTCTATGTCGACATGAAACGAGCACTCTTCTGCCTGGATCCCTTCTGCGACTATCACCCCGGTGACCCGGAAGCCGAGCTACGTGATCGAATGCGGCCAGCGCAATTCGATGTGTATCAGGATTCTCCTATGGACGAACCAGTCGATCTTCACCAAGTTGTCGGGTCTATGGCATACACCCTGGCAAGCGGGCAGGGCAGGGGACAAGGCCACGCGAGGAACCGCGGTTTTGTAAACGCACGCGAGTGGGCTATACATGAAACCCAGTTGACTGCAAATTGGTAATAATAATATTGGTGTTGGGTGCATCTTTCAAATGGCGTTTTCGGATTGCATGGATTGTTAGATTATCATTTGGATGTCTTTGGATGAGCTATTGCTTGCTAATAACTTTTTTCTAATAAAATTCACTTGAGCATTGGCTCTATTCTCAAGGTTGCTAATTATATACAGTGTCTTGAAATTCATAAAGAAAGAACTAGGCAAAATCCCACAGGGCCCGGACCAGACTGCCCGGACCAGCATCCACGCCACCATCCTCTTCCAGGCCGCGGTCGGTGAAGATGCGTTTCGGGATCTGGTACTCGACGACAGGCAGCTTCTTGAGAGGTTTCTCGCCCGTCCCGAGCTCTGCGTGCAGCATGCCCTGGTACGTGTAATCGAGGAAATCCTCGAGGTTGTACGACTGTTTGGTAAACTGCTCGGAGATAATGCGGGCGATGGAGGCGACGTTTGGATGATAATGAGACTGCAGGGTTTCGAGCTCCCAGAGCGAGCTGTCGATGGCGCTCGTGCGCGTAGGATCTGGCTCGAAGGGGTCAAACGGATCGGGGAACCCGGTAGCGGGATCATCGCGGACGACACGGTGCAGCATGAAGGTGCAGGTTGGGTGCTCCTTGAAGAGGTTGTAGACCCAGGGGACGATTGCGACGATGGCGGCGGGCGGGGCGTTCAGCGCGAGGCGGGAAAGGCGCTTGATGAAGCTGGCGACCAGCATGGCGGGGAGATGGGTTGATGCCAGGAAGGTGTTCATCAGGCGGAAGAACCGGGAGCGGTGCTTCGAGTGCAGAAGGTCGGCGTCGAGAAGGGAATACAGCTTCGTGTAGAACTGCGGGTAGTCCAGGTTCTTCTCTTGGATGAGGTAGAAGAGACCCGAAAGGGCCAGGAGAGATGTCGCACCCCCAACGTCATACGAGTCCGTGAGGAAGTCCATCAAAAGCTCGGGTCGACTGAACCAGGGCTCAATAGTGTGCGACATGATGCGTAGCAGGGCTTTCCGCTGGGACTGGGAGAGGTTGTTCCGCAGGATCGCAAGCCATGCTTCTTGAGCTCTTTTCTTGTGCGCATTCACCGAGACAAGCTTCTTGTTCTTCTGTGCGTTTTTATTGTAGAAGCTTTCGAATTCATGCTCGGGGGTGGGTGCCGTATCGCACTCGGACAGCATCGAGATGAGGACTTGGAGGGTTTCTGAGGTTCTTGGCGTCGCTGCGTACTCACTGCAATAGTCAATTTCACAGCCCCGAGATATATTCGCACGCCTAACAATAGGTAGCTATTACTCACGAGACATGGTGGAAGGTAAAATATCGCACGTCGTCGTAGGCCTTGACGAAGTTTGTGAGGAATTCAGCCCGCAGTGCCTCCCCATCTTGTGCCTCAACGACGGCCTCAAAAACAGCCTTGAACAGGCCAAAGGTCCACACATAAATGTCTCCTTCGGGCATATTCGTCGCTCGCTCGTTCACCAGACGCATGGACAAAGTCAACGCCGTGATCTACTCTTTGTCAGCGAGAATCTAGAAGACAGGCTTCGGAGCAAGTTGTTCTTACCTGAGAGGAAGCATCTGCGTTGCGCACGATATCCAGCAACGCCTTCTGGTACTCCTGACAGCGCTCCTTTAACCAAGCCACGATAACTTTTTCGTTCTCCGCCGCTCCACGAGGCTCTGAGAGGTTGCCGCCCGCGATCAACCTGCAGAAGACTCGACAGAGCGCAACGGCCACCGCCAGATTGGGCTTCCCCCCCGCCTGGCCAGCAGGTAGCATCGACAGCAGGATAGCGATATTGTTGTAGTATTTTCGCGACTCCGAGATCTGCTCCTCGAGCTCTTGGATCTTGGCCATGGCATCTTCGGACTGGTTTTCGGCGACTGCTCGCCGCTTGGAGGAGGGAACACCGCTGTCCTTGGGATTCTTTCTCTTCTTGGAGCCTTTCGCTCCATCACCTGTGGGAGCCATGATTAATCTGAAAAGCGATAACGTCCAATCCAAGCAAGAATGCTTTTTTTTCGCCGACCACCGCCTTCACCTGTACGGAGTACAATAATTTTTGGCGATCCTCGGGAGAGGTTTTTCCGGCGGCACACACACCATCCCTGTTACAGCCTAGCGTTTGCACCCCATCAAACCGCCATTCCGACCTCAAGACTCCTCAGTTCCGTTTATCCATCCACCTGTCCTACGATTGAGCATCGCAACAATGGCTTCTCGTTTGGCTAAGAGCGCCATTGGTATGGCGAAACCAATTTCCCTGAGGGGCTTGATCGATTCTGATGAAAAATTTTGTGCTGACCGGCCGTAGGTGCATCCCGGCTTCGCCCGGTCCTTCCCACGCGCAACCTCGTTCCCATCACGGCGAACCTGACCGCGACCCGTGCGGCGTCCAACGTCCCCGTCGAAGACCCCAAGAAGAAGGCCCAGTCGATCATTGACTCGCTCCCTGGCAACTCGCTGGTGTCCAAGACCGCCGTTCTCTCTGCCGCGGCCGGTCTGTCCATCGCCGCCATCAGCAACGAGCTCTACGTGATGAACGAGGAGACCGTTGCGGCGTTCTGCCTGCTCAGCGTCTTCACTGCCGTTGCCAAGTATGGTGGCCCCATGTACAAGGAGTGGGCGGATGGCCAGATCAAGAAGCACACCGACATCCTGAACGCCGCCCGTGCCGACCACACCAACGCCGTCAAGTCGCGCATTGAGAGCGTCAAGGAGCTTTCCAGCGTCGTTGAGGTGACCAAGCAGCTCTTCGAGGTTTCCAAGGTGTGTTTCTCTTCTTTACAACCGGTGATATCTCATACTTAAAAATCTTTTTAGGAAACCGCCAAGCTCGAGGCTCAGGCCTACGAGCTCGAGCAGCGCACCGCCCTTGCCGAGGAGGCCAAGACCGTTCTCGAGTCGTGGGTCCGCTACGAGGGCCAGGTCAAGCAGCGCCAGCAGCGTGAGCTTGCCGAGTCTATCATTGGCAAGATCCAGAAGGAACTTGAGAACCCCAAGGTTCTCCAGCAGATCCTCCAGCAGAGCGTTGCCGATGTTGAGCGTAAGCCCCCTCCCTCCCTTCTCTTCTTTCTGTATATCCCAAAACTAAGATCACCAGGCATCATGTCCACCAAGGCTTAGGTACTTGCATGGCGAGCTGCATCACATCATGTACAAAACTTTGCCTCTTATTAGAGTTCAATACCATAACAGACGTAACTTGTTGAGTGTGCCCGTGTAGTCCGAGATGGATGTTGCATGAGTAAACGTATCTAGAAGCCTGATAGTGACACCTATTAAGGGTAGTTTATAATCATCTTCAGCAGCCTACCTCAGATCAAGCTTAACCAACCTATTTTTCGGTCTGCCTTTGCATAGGAGTCTCATTCACCAGATACATTCCTCAAGTGTTCATTTCAAGTGTTCATCTTCAAGTTGAATACTTCTCAGAAATTCTGTTGTGTAGTTAGTGAGGGAGTCCAGTACAATGGTAACCACAGCAGAAGCACTCCAGTAGTGTGAGTCATAGGGCAGGCATATCTAGCCTTACCCGTACCTAACTGCAATGTACCTGATAACTACAACCAAGTAAACTGCCTTTACCTACTAAGGTAGTATCAAAATAGTGGTACTTGCCTCATAATGTGTCCCACTTCTGGTCCGATTGGTGGTTATGCACCTTCTACCCAGAAGGGAAAATATAGCTAATGACGAAAAGATAGACAGCCATGGCTCTCCAGTCTCCAGTCTCCTGACTCCTGACTCCCTGTCAATCAAGGCATCCACGTAGCCCGAGCGAGACTTGAGCACAACGATTCCAACAGAAGCGAGCCGACTTGGCGTGGTGGTCTATATGCTGGAACCATAGAGTATACCTGTTAGTCGAAGGTGGTTTTTCTGGTTTCATCCGTTTCATCTGGTATCTGCTCTTGAGCTTGCTTGAACCTGCATCATGCAATGCAGCTCTCTCCTCGTTTCAAATGGCTACTACTTCACATCCGTTCTGCTGGGACCGGGATTTGCAAGAAGCAGTCGGTATAGAGGAACAACTGCCTTATACAATCATCTACTAATGGTTACAAAAGTACAGACACTACCTCAAACTTATCAGATAAGTATCTGCCCAATCTTTGGAATTCGGTAGACTAGTAGTAGTGTTCCAATAACTACAGTGGTCACCAACTTGTTGTTGCCTCTTGAATCGCGTTGGGCAACAAACCTGCACCCAAGTCCAAGACCCCACACTCGATGATCGAGGAGAAGCCTCGATGGATTCTTCTCAATCGCATCGAATTATCATTCTATGCCTTTGCCTTTCATCTCGCATTGACTCAAGTATAAGTTAGTTGAAAAAAAATAGACGCTAGATGAGTAGAGTACACTCCAAACAGGTGGTCTGGTAGTGCTCACCGCCATATCAAGAGGATAGCCGTTTCAGATATTCGCTAAGTGCTGCCGTATACTACTACATACGCAAAATCTCCGTTCTATATTTACCAAATGTGTTGTACGCGCTGAATATGTTGGCAAAACGCTGCACTCCATACTTTCTTGCAGTCTTCTTGTGAGAAATTTGCCATGCTATTGAAGGAACGGACAATTTCCGAGGAGCGAGCGAGCGAGATGGAAAGCAAGACGTGGCAGTCTCCGGAGATGACAGTCGACGGCAGTCGAAGGAATAAGCTATTCTGCTGGAGCAGTTTGAGCATCGAGCCGGCACTTCGTACTTTTTTTTTTTTTTTTTTTTTTTTCGCCGTGAGTCATAACCAACTCTGAGGTAGGCCAAAGAAAAATTGCCAGCACTAGATTCAAACAGAGTAGTACTCCGTCCGGGGAACGGCATCGTGGGCCTCCGTAGTCAATCCCGTGGTTGTTTTGAAATCTCCCAATGAACTGATGGTAGTAGGTACCAAAAAAAAGAGGGCTACCTAGTACCTACCTACTCCGCCGAGGTGGCGAGTTTGTGTGTTGCGGTCAGATAATAGTAATAATTCCAAGGTGATACTGCTTGAGCCGAGAGGGAGAACCAGTCACGTCCAGTCCCATCGGGAGATGTTCTGCCATTGTTTTTCCCGGTTTCGGGAGATAGTTGTATCAACTTGATATAACGTTGGTTTGTAGATCTTGAAGCTCGAGCTTCGATATCCAGGAGCACGGTCCCGAGGCATGCACATGAGCAGGTGATTGCCCTGCAAATGAGAGATCTGTATCACCGTCAGCCTGGTTTCTCTCCCAGTCCGAGCTTCTCTCCTCTTTTTTTCAATGTGTAAGCAAGTGAGTGTGTCTGTGTGTGTCTGTGTGTGTCTGTGTGTGTCTCTTGTGTGTGTGTACGACAGGACGGACAGGCGGCCTTGCCTTATCGAGCCATCCAAGGCACAGCTGCCCTACCAGCGCTGTTCCCGGTGCTTGATCTGTGGTACGCAGATGGAGTCTCCTGCTCCGTATCCGTAGTTCTGTCCCCGTCCAGTGCAGTGCGAGTGTGCATTGTGTAAGGTGCAGGTTGTGTGGTGCGGTGGATCACGGGCCGGCCCTGACGTTCCAAACTTGAGGGTGGGTAATACTGATACCTACATTACAGGCACAGTGTTAGGAGAAATAATGGAATATAAAACGTATAATAAATATAAGATAAGCGAGTCAAAAGTACGGGTGACGTTGTCGCGGATATGCAGGTAATGTAATGGATTAGCATTGGAGTGTCTGGTAAGAGAACTGGATAATGTACCTTAGAGTGTCTAGTACAGGTACAGTATTAAGGTACCTAAGGTAGATGATACCAGTACTCCGTAGTAGTACCTAGTAGTATTAGGTACCTCCTAGTACCGTATACTGTATGCTGTACCTATGCTGTACCTGTATGGTTGGAGATCACGGCCCATGCGCATAACACTAACGGCAATTGCCTCCCTCTTCTTGGGCATTCATCGAGACAGCCCTGAACCCTGAGCTTGAGCCTTGACCCTCGAGGGAGAGTAGAGAGGGGAAGCAGGTCTAGACAGAGCGACAGGACCTCGTGTGCCTGAGGATGGATGGCTTGGCTTCTTCCTTCCATCACGTTGGGCAAGGAAGGGAAAAGAAGGACTGAAACTGGACAAAAGGCTGGCAGAGCGAACCATGGCCTATCAATACGGTATTCTTACACGATGGTCTGACAATGACGCCTTTGGAATAAGGCTACCTGGACAGTGGACACTGGACAGTCCAGAGACAGTAGTCCCCCCCCTCCCAAACGTCTTTCTCGAGTTAGGTACGGAGGAGAAAGATCCTCCTATCCAGGTGAGTCTCCTTTTCCTCCTCTAGATACGGAATAGCAAGCTGGTGCTCTGTATTTTACTAAGACCTCTTTTTACTAAGACAGAGTCGATTCCTCCTCCTGATTCGTCTGCTGCACGTCTGCCCAAAATCCAACGAAGCATCCAATGATCGCCTGCACGCCAAACTCGGGAGAAACGAGAATTCCCTGCCCGTCCCGGACCTGCCGACCATCGTAAGGGAATGGGGGGGGGAAGGAAGACGAAAATAACGAGCCAGAAGAAAATAATAATCAATCCACCGAAATTCAAATCCTCCCCCTTGAGCTTCACCGCCCACGATGACTCGTTCCTGGAACGGAGCGCGATCTCTGACCAGCGGGTATTAAATGTGCCATCCCCAGTGGTATCAACAATCTCCAATCTACACTGTCAGCTGGATTCAGTTTGAATAACTGAATCATCTATCAACAACGTTTCTTCCACTCTTCACCTCTTCTTCCCCTTCATCTTCCTCTTCATCTTATCCTACTACTACTACTACTACATCCTCACTTTATCATTCCACCCCGCTCTACACCGCCTCTTGACCAATACTATCTATCCATTCATCACTTCCTTCCTCTTGTTCGCTCTCTCTTCACACACTGCACAATATGGCTCGATACTCTCAACCGACCTTTGACTTCTACCAACAATCGCCCGAAACGAAACCGGCCTTCTCCGAAGACGACGAGATGAGCGTGCTTGACGACAAGATCCTCGATTCCACCACATCACCTGAGATCTCTTCCTCCGATCGTCGCACTTCCTACGACAATCTGACAGATCCTTTCACACATCATCCTTCTCATCATCATCCTCCTCCTTCTCATCCTCATCCTCACCATCATCGGGAGCCTGTCTGGCCTGATTTTGCCCAGCCGGTCACTGGTCTCTCCTCGTCACGACATCCTTCCGCTGTCTCTTCCTCCTCCCATCATCCCCATCATCAGGCCATGTTAGAGTCGACCGCCCATCCCTTCACCATGCGTGTTGATGGACCCCAGCATCCCGCCGCCGCCTACGGGCAATCTTCTACTGCAGCCTGGTCCTCGCTCGCTCGCGATTCCAGCTCGTGTACCCCCACGGGCGTCATGTATGACCATTTCTCTCCCGAGTTGGACCAACACAGCGCCAACGCCCCGTTTTCCGGCGGTGCCGTCGGCCCTGTCAGTGCTCTCCAGCTCTCGCACATGTCCTATCGCCCGGGGATGCCCTCCTACACCGCCCCCGGTGCCGTCGCCATGTCGCCGCAGTCCAGTCAGGGCTGGATGCCCGCCTCGACCGATCTCGCCGACGGCGTGGGACGTCCCACCAAGAGCCCCTCCTACCGGAACAGCTCGCCCTTGAGCCTGCGCCGTGACGGCATTCGGAAGAAGAACGCTCGCTTCGAGATCCCTGCCGAACGCACGCTGAGTAACATCGACCAGCTGATCAACCAGTCCACCAATGAGGAGGAGATCAAGGAACTCAAGCAGCAGAAGCGTCTGCTGCGGAACCGCCAGGCTGCGTAAGTATTTTGTCTCATTCCCTTTTTAACCTTATATTCTAACGACGGAATTTCTTTTTTCCTAAACAGCCTCGATTCTCGGCAACGCAAGAAGCTTCATACCGAGAAGCTGGAGGAGGAGAAGAAACAATTTACGCAGATCATCAACGGGTTGGAAGAGGACCTGCGCAATATGCAGGTGCGCGAGACCGAGCTGTTGCGCGAGAAGAACGAGTGGATGGGCACCCAGCAGCAGATCAACCAGTATCTCGAGAATCTCCATATGGAAAAGGACGAGATGATCCGCGTGCACACGCTGGAGACCCTCGAGCTTCGCAAGAAGAACACTGCCCTCATGGAGATGGTCGAGAAGTTGGAGCAGCAGGTGAAGGCCGGCCCCGTGCAGCCCCCGACTGCCGCCCCCCCGAATTCCTTCTCGAACGAGTTCTCGGATCTGGAGGGTCTGAACATGGATGGTGGCTGGGAGGAACTGACCCTTGTCAACAACCTCTCGCTCGATGCTGATCCTATGCCCGCTGCCGCCTCGCAGCAGGCATCCGTCAATGACAAGGTCGCCGCAGCCGCCGACTCCCCCTTCAGCTGGAATGCGTTCTACATGTGTCTGCTCTTCGGGGCCTTCATTGCCTCTCACAACGGCCCTCTCTCCTCCCGCTCCATCCCACAGCTGTCAGAAGAGTACCGCGCCGAATCCGCCAACGTCCTCAAGGCCGTCCTCGCCTCGAGTCCTGCGGAGTTGACCCAGACTTCGTCCAACCCCTCGCTCATGTCCGCCTCTGCCGGTGCCGGCGCCGGCGCTCCTGCCATGCTGCCGACCACCATCAGCGGGGCCGAGATGGCTCAGATGACGGCCGGTGCCGCCGTGTCCAACCTCGACGACCTGCACCACCGACTGGCGATGCCAACCAAGGAGCAGGAGCAGCAGCAACTGTTTGCTCTGACTGCCGAGCAGTACAACTCCCTGACCACATTTGAGAGCGGTGACAATGGTGCCAGTGACTTCAAGCCCCAGCCACCTTCCAATCTGCAGCAAGCCTGGGCCAACATGCGCAGTAATACCGCGCAGTGCCGTCAGCTTGCCAAATCCATCTCGGGCGTCCATTCCCGCTCGCTCATGTGGGATCGCGTTCCCGAAAAGGTCATCCAGGATTTCCGCCGCATGGTGCAGGAGTACGGCCCCGTTTCCGTCAAGGAAGAGGATGGCCCCAGCTTCCGTCAGCCTTAGTAGTCTTCTTCATCCATCCTCTCGCCCCTCCCCCTTTCAGCCACTTACTTCTCCACTGATCTCGCTTTTCGTGTTTGATGGCCGACCATATGGCCCCCACACCCTCTTATCCACCTTTTTCCATACCTTGACTTGACATTCACCCTCTTCGCTTTTCCACCGATATGAAAAATTTTAGCCGACAGCTTTTGTGATATACTTCAGCTCTACAACTTTTTTCTTTCCCTTCATATATACGCCTTTCGCTGGTCCGAAGCTACAAAACGAATATCAATCAATCCACCCCCAGGCCAGCATTTAGCCAAATATAGCTTCAACATGCTAGACGCAACTTTACCATTCTAGTTGCGTCTTGTGACTTACTTTCTTCTTCGTCTTCTTCTTCTTCTTCATCATTCTATTTATTCAGGTACATTGTGTTAATTAGCGATTGTTTACTGTTTTTTCTTCTTAGGATGGGGCAGGTTAGCCGGCGCATTGTTTTTTTTTTTTTTTTTTCTTTTTGGGGGTTTTTTTTCTCTCTCACGACTTGGATCAGGATGATCACATCACGGAAGACAGAACAACTGCAAAGTGTATATTGTTTATTGTTTTTATCTTTTTTTTTCCCCTCTTCATTTCTCTTCGACTTGGCTACTTTCTTGTGGCATGATTCGGTTCAACCGGACTGGATTCAGGTTGAAAACGGACGAGACAGTCTACAGAAAGGCTTTCAGTCTGTTTAGGAGGGTTTGCGGAGCAAGCCATCCATCTTCTTTTTTCTTTTCTTTTTTCTCTTCTGGTCGAATCATTGGTCATGTTTCGTTTTCTTTTCTTTTTCTTATTTTCGCCTTGTATGTTGGACATACTTTTGTTCCGATTCTGACAGGTTCCGTTCCGCCTCTTCCCACGAATTACGACCTCCATGACCAGGCACGCATGACATGATGACATGACACGACAGCCACATGTCTTGGTTACGAGCAGTGTCCGAAGCAACACTGACTGCATCAGCTCACACTCATTTTGAACTCTTTTCATTTGTCCGCTGTCGCTCATTTAAAATAACCCTTTTTTTTTCCCTTTGTCTCGACTCTCCATGAACCTGACGGTTCCCCTTCGATGTACATATTACCTCAGATACTACCACGCTACGCAAGCCATGCTCCAGGCGCACCCTGGCATTTCATATTGAATAACACATAGCATTAGTTTACTAGGCCACAGTCGTAAACACAGTGTTAGAGGAAGACCCGGGTTTTTATTCAAAGTATTATGAAGTCAAAAAGCGTTGAGTTCGTTCGGTGTCATAACATCATGAGAGCATCATGACTCTCGACTCTCAGTTCGTCGGCAAGGGAGGGGGGGGGGGGCTCTGCACTTCCGTCAGTCACCTAGAAGACTCTCATCTAGTTCTGGGAAGGGCATTGATGGTGCGAGTTTTAGTCGTACCGACTATCAACGTTCCATTCCCCAAATCTCCTGGGGCTGTAGCTGTGAAAAGAGATCGGCGCAGCGACGAGCCCGAGCATCTGGGTCTTTCCCAACTGTGGACATCAAGGCAGAGGCAAGCCGATGTGTGAATCGGTTGCCCTATGAGCGTGTCATCGGCAGCCACAAATTGAAGGGTGACTGGGATCAAGGGTCGACGAATCAGCCCATTCGCTGCATTCAGGTCAATAAAGTCATATTGGTAGTTTCGCAAGAGGGTTAGCGGGTCCATTCCGAGTCCGTAACAGTCGTCCCAGAATAAGTCAAGATAGCTCGAGCCTGTGTCATCAAAAACCTCCACACAGAGAGTGATCGTAGAGCCAGGGAGTTGAACTAGAACCTTCATCTGCATCAACATGCATGGTGAGTTCCCAGCACAGATCCAAAAGCCAGGGCAAAGACATTGTACTTACCTTGTGGTGCATCGGCTGGTGAAAATTAAGAGGATTGAAATTCGCCTGAGAGGGTTGATAGAGCGAGAGTGCTGCTAGCTGGGGAACAGGCAAACTAATCTATTCATCCTATTCTCAGCCATCCATACCCGGGGACAAGCAAGGGAGGGGGGGTTCATTCAACATACCCGCTCTCGGTATAGGAAGCTGTGGCCATACTCCTTCTCCCACCTGGCGATCGATTTGTCGAAATCATAGTCTCGCTCTTCCTCTTCGCTGATGAGACCGACCTGAACTCCATTCCACCAGAAGGAGACCTTGCCTGGATGATGCTTCAGCTCTTTAGAACGATATGCTGCCATCACAGCTCGAATATTGACTTGAGACTCGTCATCTTTAAAAATGCGGTGGTTCTCCTTTATGTATCCTTCCAAGAACCGAAGACGATAGTACACGATAGGCTCTAGGCCCAGCGGCTCGGAGAGGGTGATGCTAAAAAGGCATTCATTGGTCAGCTATGAATACTGGATCATAGGAACGAATCTAGAGGATATGAATCTAACACTGGGCCTGGCGGCATTTCTGCTTCCATTTCTGCGAGCCTTTCTCTTGCGCTGTCGGCGACCTGGGGGCGAGAGTCCTTCCACATGTCAATGATATCCTGGATTTGTTGCAGTTGCCATGGCCGGAACCTAGGTTTTTTGTCATCTTTAGTTACAAAGTATATATTGTGCTCACTGGCCAGGGCTCACACTTACTTGACATATGCTGGCGGGTCGATCAGCGCGTTGTCAATCCATAAATCCTTATAGCTGGCAAAGGTTGCATCATCGACCTGGACCGGGATGATGGACTGCGGGTCAACCGGTGTCGACAGCTTCGCGGCAGCCTCTTGAAATGGGAGCATTGTTCGTAATTCGTAAAAAGGTGATTCTGTGGGGTTTAGATTATGGGTTTGTGCTGATGTCTTCAACTAACTTACTGGCTGTAATGATGCAGTGACAGGGACCTGCAATGATCTGCCGGGGGCTAAAGTATGGAAGGAAGGTTAACTGAAGGAATGACCAAAACAGAAGTGCTAGGGTATAGCCCTGGACGGTGACCATGTGACCGTCATGGCACATGCCACACTGTGACACTTCAGCCTTCAGCTTTTAGCCTTTGATACCGACTCACCTTTGATTTCTCCTATTGGAGTGTCTATTCTATTGGCGCCGTGAGGAGGCAGTGCAACTGATAAGAGATACGCGAGTCATGGACTCACAGTGGACTCAACAGTGGACAGCCTTGGGAAGCTGTATATTTCGATTCCAAATTGATCAAGGCTGACTCTATGATGTACAAGGGCCACGTCTTCTCCACGCTGGCAGCAATGGCGAGACTCCTCTTCTGCCGGCTGGAGGGGACTGTTGCGTGTGTCGCCTGGATGCGTCTGCTGCGCCGTTTGTTGGAATACTGCCTTGGAGTGGGAGCCTTGCGTTTGCAATTGTTACTGCGGCGGTTAACCATCCAAAGAGAAAGATGCAGGCTGTCATGCAAGGCTGACTGAAATGCCTTCTATCTGGGTACCATGGCGTATTTATTTGCTAACTCACTTATCTTGACCTAGGCTGCCTATATATAATACTAAACTACACAACAAGGCTTACCAAAACAATAGAAGAAGAAAGGTATCCAAATTCTGACACCATTCCTAGGACTTCTGGATATATACTCTGTTGGATATTGGGACAGGACCAAACGCTTTGCTCGGAATAGCATCAATATGGCTCAACCAAAGTAAGGATACCATCCTTGATGACAACCTTTGGCATCGATTCTTATCACAAGACCTCTAGAATCTGCTACGAGTACGCAAGGCAGGGATCTTGTAGGTTCAGAAACTGCAAATTTCTCCATGTCGCGGACAAGTCGAACAAGCCCAAAGGCAGACCGGCCAAGACCTCGATTGGCGAACGAAAGAGATCGAACCTCGAGACAGACCGTGGCTCCAGCAACGATGTGATGGCTTGGAAACGTCAAGCACCCCAAAGTCAATTCATCCGCCCGTTGGGAGCCGCACTCGGAAGGTTTTTCGCCCAGGGAAGGAGCCTGATCGATGTGGACGATAGCACGTTGCAAGAAGTGGTTCAATGTCTTTCCAAGGAGGGTGGGCTGAAAAGAATCCAGGAACTCATCCAGCGTGACTATCTCCCCATGTCTGATTCTGCAAAGCTGGCTCTCTTCCTGGAACAGGTTCTCCCGTTCGTCGAGATCATCACTGCACCCAAAGTGCTCGCCTCTCTCATCCTTGAACAGTCAGTCGGAACGATCTACAACTGTATATTTGGACTGGCCGGTCGACGGGCGACGCCATTCCTAAACTTTCTAGCAGACGTTGTTCAACGAGAGGCAGATAGTCAGGAGGATGCTGCCGCCCTACATCTAGAATCCTGTCTTCAGGTGTTTACTCAGGTCCTTCAGCTGAACTCGACTGCTTTTATCCATGAGCCTATCATTGCTATCGCGAAGAGATTCCGGGACATCTTCACGATACTCAATGCCTCGGTGGACAGTGGACTTCTCGAAGGATCCCACAATTGTCTCGAACGCCTGCAACGCTACCTTGATATCGGCCTGTCTCTACCGTCCCTCAATAATAGAGGCTCAAGCAAGGGACCTGTCTCCCAAGTTCCAGTCCAGTTTGTCACGCAGAAAGAACCGCCTGGCGGCCGTCACGACAACGACCACCCTGATATCTGCAGGATTCGGATCATGCCTACTTCCGAGGAAATTCTGTCCACGCGCTCCGAATACCTCCCTGTGACAGACCCGCGGGAGTGGCATGTCCAGGGCCTCTCGGGTCTTTTGGATAGGAATTTTCGACTATTGAGAGAAGATTCCGTTGGACAGCTCCGCGATGCAATCCATACCGAGCTCCAACCTCAGGCCCGAAGAGAAAAGAACCAGATGAGGACACACGTCTACTCTAAGGCAAGAGTGCAGGGCTTCGAATTTGACCGCTTGACTGGGCTCCAGATTATCCTTCGGTTTCCCCAGCCAGCAAATCTAAAGGATACAGGGAAAAAGAAACGGCAAGAGTGGTGGGAATTGTCGAAAAGGCTTCAACCCACTGCTTTGGTCTGCCTTGCAGATCGACGAGGATTCGCGATATTTTGCACCATCTCCCAGCCAAAACGACAGCGACAAGGACGAGAGAGCGAGAAAGAGAGGCCCCAAAAGTTTTCTGGCTCGCTTTGGGATGACGCGGCCTTCTCGTTCGTCGTCCTGGAGCTGGTCGAACCAACAGAGGCTAATCGCCAGTACATCTTGGACTGTCACCAACCCAACAACGACTCGCCAACCATGTCTCTGGTGGAATTTCCCGGCATTCTCCTGCCGTCATTCCAGCCGACGCTACAGGCTCTCCAGAATATGCAGAAAGCGGCGGACCTTCCCATGTCGGAGTTTCTTGCTCCTTCTGATTCTCTGTCTGGCTCGATGGATGTGCCCCCGCCTGCATACGCGAATAAGCGCGGGTTCACATTTGACCTACGGTGTCTCATGGATGATGGCTCCAGTCTCGAAGTGAGTCCTTCGCAACCGGCCGACATGGATAGGCTTCGACAACACTCAACTCTCGACGATGCTCAAGCGCAGGCTCTAGTCCACACTCTTCAGCGGCGGATAGGGTTGATTCAAGGTCCACCAGGAACAGGCAAAAGTTACACGGGTGTAGCCCTCATCAAGGTTCTTCTGGCGAACAAGAAAAAAGTGAATCTCGGGCCGATTGTCTGTGTATGCTACACCAATCATGCTCTAGATCAGCTGCTGGAGGACCTGCTAGAAAGCAAAATCACCTCCCAAATAATACGCATCGGCTCCCAGTCAAAGTCAGAGACATTAAAGTCACTTAATCTTCGGGAAGCTTCCCAGAAGGTCCAGAAGACAAGGCTGGAAAAGACTGAGCAATGGCAACTGCATCACGAACTGGAAGAGCATGAGGAGGAATGGGCTTCGCTCCGATTAAACGCAGCGGGCTCTCACTCCGCTGTGAGACACTATCTGAGACGCTTTAATACAAGGCGCTATAAAGAGTTCTTCGAAGAAGATGAGGAGGGGTTTGAGAAAGCCATTGGGAATGATCCTCACAAGATCTTTACATCTTGGTTGAACGGCGGTAAAACCAAGGGAGTAAGTGTCCATTCTTTGGAAGAATTGCACCAGCTCCGCATCGATGAGATGAATGCACCAGAACGTCGGATTCTCTATGATCATTGGGCGGAGGAGATCAGGAAAGCTGCCCATACTCGAACTCACGCAATCTTGGCCTCCCAACAGCAAGCAAAAGCATCCTTGGATCGAGTCCGAAACGAACTGGATCTGCGATGCCTGCGACAAGCCGATGTCATTGGAGTGACAACAACCGGCCTGGCGCGCAATTTGAATATGCTGCGTGGGCTACAATCGAAGGTGCTCTTATGTGAGGAGGCAGGAGAGGTCCTTGAAGCCCACTTGCTCACATCGCTGCTGCCATCCGTTGAGCATTTCATACTAATCGGGGATCACCAGCAGCTCCGGCCGCAGATCCAGAATTATGAGCTTTCTCGTGAGAGCAAGGCTGGCAAGCAGTATTCGTTGGATTGTTCCTTGTTCGAGAGACTTGTCGAGCCTCAAAACGAGATTGGGGTGAAGATCCCGTTTTGCACCCTTGAAACGCAGCGAAGGATGCATCCATCGATCGCGCAACTGGTCCGAGAAACTCTGTATCCTCGACTGCAGGATGCCCCCTCGGTCTCTGAATACCCAGAGGTCATGGGAGTGCGAAGACGGCTCTTTTGGCTTGATCATCGCAAGCCGGAAGGTGGTACTTCGGGTCAAGATCCGACGGCCACTTCCCACTGGAACGACCATGAAATCGAGGTGACTCACGCGCTGGTTAATCATCTTATTCGCCAGGGAACCTACAAAACGGGCGAAATTGCTGTTCTGACACCGTATCTGGGCCAGCTTCATCGCTTGAGGAGAAAACTAGGCGAGTCGTTTGCCATCACCGTCGGGGAGAGAGATCAGGATGCGCTTGACCAGACGGGCTTTACGGATGAGGAGAAACCATTAGCAAGGGCAGTGCCTACGAAATCTACTCTTCTTCAGACCCTGCGGGTGGCAACTATCGACAACTTCCAAGGAGAGGAGGCAAAGGTGGTGGTGATATCACTCGTTCGCAGCAACAGTCAAAATCGGTGCGGCTTTCTCCGGACTCCCAACCGCATCAATGTCCTGCTGTCGCGCGCAAAACATGGAATGTACATCATTGGTAACTCGGAGACGTCACGAGGCGTGGAGATGTGGGCTAAGGTGCTCGATATTCTCGATCGGGATGGCAATTTCGGACAGCGGCTTGAGCTTCAATGTCCCCGCCACCCTGCTACTGTCATCACCGTGGCCGAACCAGAGGACTTTCTCCAGTTCTCTCCCGAGGGAGGCTGCAATTTACAATGCGGTAAGCGCTTGTCATGTGGCCATCCCTGCAAGCAGAAATGCCATGCAGAAATGCTCCATCAATCAGTTCACTGTCTTGAACCCTGCTCGCGGCTGCAAAAGGGATGCTCTCATCCTTGCCCTAAGGTCTGTGGAGATATCTGTCCCACAAAATGCATGACTGTGGTAGTAGATCATGCCCGAGTTCTGCCTTGTGGGCATTCGATGCCGAGCCTTCATTGCTGGCAGGCTCAAGACCTCAGCACTGTCAAATGCCCCGTCCTCGTCAAAAAGAAGGTGCCACACTGCGACCATGAGATTACTATTGCCTGCCACATTGATGTCGCCCAGCCAGACTATGAGTGCAGGCAGAGATGCCGACAATCCCTGCCATGCGGCCATAATTGCAAACGCCGGTGCTCAGAGTGCATTATACGTGAACCAGAAGGAGTTCGTTTCGACCATGGCCAATGCAAACAAAAGTGCGGCCGACAGTATCACACGTGCGCTCATACATGCATCACAGAGTGCCATGGGGAGATACCCTGCCCGCCATGTACAGCCCCGTGTGATGTCCAGTGCGGTCACTCGCGATGCCCCCGGAAATGCTCCCAGCCATGTGCGCCCTGCGCCGTGCCCAAGTGTCTGTCGGAATGCCCCCATAGTGCCTGTTCCATGCCGTGCGCAGCGCCATGCGATCATATACCATGCTCGCGGCGGTGCGAGAAGAACCTCCCCTGCGGTCATCGATGCCCGTCTGTCTGCGGGGAGTTGTGTCCTACTGACCGATTCTGTCAGTTGTGTGCTGCAGACGACATTAAGGAAACCCCAGTTGACTTTATCTTGGGCCAATTGTACAAGGAGGTTGACCTGGATGAAAACCCGTGCATCTTCCCACCGTGCGGTCATTTCCTGACCATGGAAAGTATGGATGCTCAGATGGACCTTGGGAAGCATTACACTCTCGATCAACAGGGGAAGCCGGCCTCCATTGCGTCGGCATCGGAGCCCTTTTCGATTGGAGACATCCGGAACTGCGCTACCTGCCGCGGCTCACTTAGAGGCATCTCACGATATGGCCGGCTGGTGAGGCGTGCGTGGATCGATGAGGCTACCAAAAAGTTCATTTTGTACATCAACCAGCAATACGTCCCGATGGCCCAGGACCTGCCTCGACTACTGACCCGTCTGCAAGAAAATGAGAAGACGATATCAACCAGAGTCTTCCAAGACCAAGCCAATATCCGCATCGAGGGCCCCCGAGACCACCAAGTCAAACTGATGAACAGCCATATACGCAAACACGACAAGGAAAGGTGGAAGGGATTGATCGAACTACGCGGGCGGATCGTGGAATACGCCAGCAAGGTCAAGGAGGAGGAACAGCCGTTCCATCAAGTGTACAGCCTCGTGGAAGATGCACGCCGACGCAAGAGAGGAGCCGGACGGTTCGAGTTTGACGACAACGTGCTCCAGACTAAAGGGTATCTACAAGCTTCTGGGCTATTACTTCGTCTCGACACAGCTCTGCTCGGCGACTTCCTTGCTCTCCACCGACGCGTTCCCGCCGGGCTGAACCAGACAGATCTCCAAGTCAACCTGCAGGCCAACCTGAAGGACAGCGAGGTGCTCATCGAGCTAGCGACACGCTCCCGGCGGGTTCTCCAACAGGTCGAAGGACACCTGTTCCGGGCTCAGCTGTGCGCGCTTGAGATGGAAAACAGGACCCCAAACTCAGAAGCGGATGCCCGTGCAAAGCTCCTTGATCAAGCCAATTCCGCCGTCGACGCCGCCGAGAGACTCTGCGCCTGCCATCCAGGCCAGACCCAGGGCCTCGCCGCCGAGATTGAGGGGACGAGAGCCATGCTACGCGGCGCAACCTTCTACACACCCGTCACCAACGAGGAGCGCATGGCCGTCGTGGCTGCCATGGCCCGCGAGTTCCGGGGCACGGGACACTGGTACTACTGCCAGAACGGCCATCCCTTTACGATCGGAGAGTGCGGCGGCGCGATGCAGCTGTCGAGGTGCCCCGAGTGCGGGGCTCAGGTTGGTGGGGAGCATCATCGGACAGTCGATGGTGTCCGACGGGCAGAGGATTTGGAGGCAGGTCTTCGCGAGCTGAACATTTAGCAGGACAGCCTGGTAGTGTAGTGGTGTGATACTTGACAGCCTGAAGCAGGCTGCGAATGGCCCCGACTGTTCTTACCAGGCATTACGAGGCTTGTTACAAGGAGTAATTGAAGACATAGAACCACTGTTTGCACTAGCTGGAAAGATTAAGGTACATGGCATCATGAAATCAAGAAATAAAAATCAGTCCAATACGACAGTGAGGCGATGTTGGGTGGGAAAACCCTCAGCTCAGCCCTCTCAGGCCCTCTCAGGCCCATGGTAGCCAGTAGTATTCTTCAACTATACAAAAGTATATACTGTCTGCCCAAAGCGACTATCTCTTGCCTATCGGGTAGTCGGACGGTTGCGTTCTAGAACAGAGTATGACGAAGTACGAAAGTACTCTGGGAAAGCCCAACTACTATTACTTCGGATTGTATTTGTCTTTCCAGATCCTGTACAACTTGTATCAGCCAAACATCCTCTCCAAACGGCGTCACGGCGTCACTCCAGCCCTATCAACGCTTGGGTAGAAGCCAAAGGCAAACGGTTAGGTTTAGTGTAAGCGGGGTGGATGGCTCATGGTTCATGCACAGCCATTCGATTGGGTCTGACATGCTTCTTCTGAGACGCGGCTGCAGGCGCCAATGCATCTCATCACAGGCGGCATGGCACTGATTGGAGAGCAAGAAGATAGAAGAAAATGGAAGGGGGGGGAAAAATACAGAGTATGTAGTAGAGAAGAGGAAGAGGAAAAAGTACGCACCAAGAATTCCCGAGGGTTTTGCTTCCGTGCTCCTCAGCCAGTCGATAGTATTTCGCTGCTGTATACTAGAGACAATCAAGATCAGCGAATGCCAGACCCCAAAAAACGCAAGCACGGATGCCTAAGCGTGGACAGATCAAATACATAGATGGATACATACCTTATCCTTCTTTCCGCCAAACCCTTCAAGATAACACCAGGCCGCCTCGTTCATGGCATCAGTGTCACCTAGGTTGGCGGCCGTTTCGTAGTACTGCCTAGCAGCGACAGGGTCTTTTTGCAGGCCCCAGCCATTGCGAAAACAGTTGGCCAGCTCGAAGATAGCGAGGACCAGCTCCCCTTTGGCCGCGCCGCCCTTTTTCATCCCCGAGCGTAGAGCTTCTGATTCGATCGAGGCCGAGTTGGTCGCTGCCGCTTGCAAGTAGACGACGGCTTGCTCTTCGTTCTTGACGCAGCCCCAGCCATGTCTAGAATCCGTTAACCAGGTTTGGAACGAGAAGAGGTTGGGGGAATCAAACACTTACCGCAAGGCAAGCCCGTAGAGCACCTGGCTCAGCGTATTATTCGCGCCATTCGGGTCAGCCAATTGCCCAAACATCTGTGTTGACTTTTCCAACTCTTAAAGAGTCTCAGCATAAGACGGTCTAGCTTCCAGTTTTCCTGCTTGTTCAATGCTCACCTCCATTCTCATGTAGCCGGATCGCCTCTTGTATATTCACCTGGTCTGTTCAGCACCGTTGATAATCGATCGACTTGTTGAACCATGACTTACATCGCCCTGTCGATCAATACATCCACTCCGACTCGAACTCCTCGATCTCGCCCCCCAGTTCTCTCCAGGCGACAATGGAGTCGGCGAGAGCGGCGACGAGAACTGCGGGTTCCCCTGGACGAGCACCGTGGCGCGCTTCTCCCACTGGGCCTCGCGGTCCTGCTTGTCGCCGACATCCGTGTTGATCCGGGGCAGATCCCTCGGCAGATTCACCGAGACGGAGCTGGAATTCCGTGGTGAGCCTCCAGAACCGGCTGCTCGGTCTCGATCTCGGTGCAGAAGGCTGGAGAGCCGGTGTGAGCTGTCTCGCTGGGGACGGGGGGGCGACGCAGACGCTCCTGCTTCTATTCCTGTCGTCACTGCATCCGACGGCGATCTCGACCGGTGGAATAATTTAAATCCTCTTCGCGATGATGAAGACGTCACAGACGACGCTGTTGATGGTCTCTGTTCGGGTTCATGCTGCTGCTGGTGGTCGTAGTCGCCCTCGTATACCGGCGGGGTAATGACTTCCTGTGTCGTAGTGTCGGAACGAACAAATTTGATCTCAGGGACCGGCTGCTGAGGGTAGTCGGGGTATCCTGATGCTCCAGAGGCTTCAGATGAATCGTTGGGTGAGCTCTGATGCTCGCTGCCTCTGCGGAGGAAATCACGGAGCGGCATGGCAGGTCAAGAACCAGTCAGTCTCTTCTTTCTCTTTCGACACGATACACGATTTATCAGATTTCTCGACTCTGATACAATTAGTCCGAGGTCCACCTCGATCAAATGGTGTGGATCTGTCTTATTTATCCCATTCACTGCAGGCAGACTACAGGGTAAGACAATAATAAGCGCTGCCTGTGGCTGTGTCAGATTGGATTCTTTTCCACTCCGCTTGGGTTCCGTGGTTCGTGTAACCAGACGTAGAAGTGTACAGAGTAGAGGATAAGATGAATGTTCATTGAATGGTGATAACTGAAGTGATTCCAGACTACACTGGTATACTGACTACTAAGCTAAAATGACACGAATCGGATGCATCAATCATATTCCTATCTACTTGGTATCCTGGCTGGCGATTTACAAATTACCTGGCTAGAAGCGAACAAAGTCCCGCTGCTGCGAGATCTCCCCGCTATCAGCACCAGCGATGAGTTCCTCGGGTTCGTCGTCGAGCTCGTCCGAGTCGACATCGTCCGAGTCGATCTCGTCGTACTCCTCCTCGCTGGAGAGATCGTCTTCGTCCTCGTCGTTGTCAGGGGAATCTGCCTTGTTAGCAGCGGCCATCTTGCGGATCTGGCCAGCCCGATCCACATGGGGCAAGGGACAGCGCTTCTTATTGCAGCTGCCCGTGTTGGCGTAGTCCGGACACTCGTGGACATGCCGCTGGTCACACTCGGCTCCCTTTTCACAATACCCCAGGGTGGCGAAGTCCCGGCACACGGGCGCCCCAGGCGTCACTCGGACGTGGGCATACCGGCACTCCGGGTTCGAGCAGCGGCCCCTTAGGAAATGCACACAGGCAGGGGACCGGTGGGGTGAAGGCTCATGGGAAAGATCACAGCTAGAACCTGCATTGCATTTACCAGTCTGGAGAAACTCTTTGCAGATTGTGACCTTATTGGGGTCGTGGATGAACGGGCACATGGGTCCTTTGTAGCAGGTTCCTGGAAAGCGTAGAAACGGTTGAATCAGTATCTGGACTTTTATTATTGCAAAAAAAAGAAAAAAAGACGAAGGAGAAACTCCATCAGTAGAAATGAAGTCCCATGATGATGACCAAGAAAAACAGTCTTCCCATCAAGGGCAGTCCTGGTTGGTTTATTAAGGGGGGAGGGGGGGAAGAGCAGGGTACCAGTCGTGCTAAAGCGTTTACACAGCTCGTTGTGTCTCTTGACAGCTGCGGTTTTCCTGTAATAACTTGTAAGCACCTAGAGTAAAACAGCGAACAGGCCGGACCGAAGGAGAGACACCTTTTCGATTTCACCAGGCCCAGGCGATGAAGGTTTCCGTTCTTGCTCCGAACAAATGTCACACCGGCCACTACTACCTTCTTTGGCGTGTTGTTTGCCGTGTTCGGGTCATCTATGAAAGAGGTAAGCGAGCTCTTGCATCTGTTGCGGAAAAGCGCAAAGAGGGTATCCCCACTGGAAACACGAAGCAGTTTGCTTCCTCCTCGCGCAATTTTGAAGGGTATATCGTTGACAAAGATCTGGTGGCCTCCGCCTGTTTGAGTCGCGACAGTTGAGGGCTGACTCGTCACAGAAACAGGAAACTGTCTCCCCCCGGCAGCGCCCTGAGCATATCGCAGTACCTTGGCCTCTTCAAGCTGCGCTCGTTTCTGGGTCTTGAGCCGTCTGCTTTCCTCAATAGCCTTTGTTCTCGCCTGGGTCTCTTGGTCATAGATGGCAGTGTTAATCAGCTGCATGTGGCGGTCGCGTTTCGCAACCCACCCTTGCGACGCGGCCGGCCGTGTCTCGGTATCATTATCGCTGGCAGGCCCTGCAGACGAGGTGGAGCTAGGCGCCGACGCCGACGCAGTGCTGTTGTTTAAGATGAGGGTCCGATGGCGATGGGGGGCAACCGGTCGCCGGGCGTTCGCTCGGCCACGATACGGCGCCCAGCCCGGGTTGTGTTGGCGAGAAGCGTGTCGGGAAACATACTGGTTGGACTCCGCCGGCGCCTGAGACGACTGGTTTTTGTGTCTGTTGATTTGACCTGCGCCAACAGTCTTAGCAGCAGATTCATCGTCATTAGCAGGTGAACCTCGATAGCAACAACTCACCAGCCAACTGACTGATCTTAGCCAGGAGATCTTGATCCTCTGTCATGATAAACTGTAAGTAATCACAAAACAAAGAATACAAGTGAATGAAAGGGTCTATTTTTAATAAGAGTAAGGATGTGGTAAGAGAAGTATCAAGCACTGAGTGTCCCTCAACACGCTTTGGTTCTTACGGTGGCGGTCACGCGTATATCACGTGATATAAAGATTGACTGAGAACTACTGAGAGAAGATTGACTGGCATTTTAATATTAGAGAGAAATCTCCTTTGATGGGAATATTGATGGGCAATGGTCTTATTTGAGGGTATTATCAATATAAAATGACAAAGACCTGACAGTACAACGCCTGGTCCTCCATATATGGAATTTTAATGAGGAAAAAGACAAATAACGCCATGAAGAGCCCCCAGCCCCTGGCCAGTTCTCTTCTCACCGCTGCATCACATTCTCGAATTGCATTTCGTCGTTGTCCGTCCCCATCTCGGGTGCCATGGCATCATCTTCCGATGCGCCGTCGAAGCTATCCAGTGCTGGCGGCAGCTCCTCCTTGACCAGAGCGTTCGTGTAGTTGCTCTCCATATTCTCGGGCTTGAGTTCCCAGGTGTTGGCAAAGTCTCCGGTCTTGACCAGGTGTGCTATCAACTCCAGGGTTTCCTTAAGATAAGCATCCGGCTGGTTGAGCCGTGCTCTGAGCGACTTAAAGGGCCAATACCGATACTCGCGGAAACACTGGTAAAGAAGGTCGACAAGTTCGTTGCGTGGCATACGCGTGCTCTTGTTTTCTTGGGTGCGGGCTTTCGGTTGCTTGGTTTGTTGCTATTGAAGAATTTACGTGAGAGGGTTGCCAAAAAAGAGAAAGAAAGAAAGAAAGAAAGAAACGCAAAAACGAAAGAAGGTAGGCTACTTACCACGAAGGTGGCTCTGTCTCCAGGCAGGGCATGTCTTGATTGGAGTAGCTTTCCAGGGACTCTGTCAATGAACATGGTCTCTCTCTTAGGTTTCAGGGCCTCCAGGGCTCTCTTCTCCGATATGCGCCGGAACTCCTCGTTCTCCACCGGGAGACAATTGAACTCTTCGTTGACTCTTCCTTGGAGAGCAGTTTGTTCTAAGAAAAGAAAAGAAAAAAACCATTAGCTGCGTAGCTCTTCCAATCACAAGGAACCACCAGGAGGTCTTCAATACATACTAGGAATGGTCTTCCGAACATAAGGCTCCCACTTCCTTTTGCGGTCCTTCCTACGCGCATCTCGCTTCATCGATTCGTACAGCGCGGAACGCGCCTCTCCAAAAATCACCATGCGGTTCTCATTGCCGGGCAAATCCCTTTCGGAAAACATAAACGTATTCTGCGTGGCATGGCTTGCGTTTTCTGCCCCGATCGTCTGGCGCTGTAGGATGTAGTCTTTCGGAATCTCTTTGTTGTCGGGACGGTCGGCAAGGCGAAGGCTAACCTACTCAAGTCAGAATGCCAGGCCTCGTAACTTCGCGATATTATAAGAAAAAGGATTATGTAAAAAACGACATACCCGCTTGATATCATTCAACGGCCCCTCGATCCTAATCGTGCCGATCTGGATCTCCTCGTCATCGTCCAGCTTGGACCAGTGTTCCCACAGCGGTCGGGGGATACGCGACAGCCAGACGTCCTTGGCGGCATTCGAGAAATCCAGGTCGCCCGCGTCTTCGTAGATATCATCCTCGAAGCCCGCCATCGCAGCCTCTTTGCTGTCCGGGTCGGGTTTGATGTAGGGCGTCATGCCATCCGGGTCCTGCTTGATCTGGGCGGCCATGGCGGCGAAGACGGGAGAGAAAGACGGCTTGAACAGGCCGAGGGACTATCTGTCGCGCGTACAGACTCGTGAAAACGACCGTGGACAGCGGGTTCTTCGAGGTGGTGCCGCGACGTGGGTTGGGATGAAGATGCGGAGAATGTCTTGTCAGGAAGAAGTTATCCGGAGCTGTCGAGGGGGCGATCGGCATGGGCGGTGGCAATCATGGACAAACATTCACATTTTATATCACAGTATAGATAGAATGTCTATAACTAATTAAAAAGAAGGGATTTATTATGAAGATAATTAAGATAATTATTTAATGGGATGATCCTACTGAATAGAATATTGTAGAATATTATAAGCTAGGTAGTTAATAAATAGGCTACTACCACAACACTGTCCACAGTAGAAAGAAATCCAATAGATTTTAGAAATAATAGAGTAAATATAAAAATTGATCCACTTAAATGAAGAAAGAATTTATACAATTCAGTGTTGACTTGTATCAAAATATAAATATGCCTCTTCAAGCTCTCCACGTCAGAGTGAAGCTGCTATTTATCGATAAGCCACGCCCACCTTCACTTCCACCTTCACTTTCCACCTTCACTTTCCACCTTCACTTCCCTTCCACGTCTACTTGGCCTAGGTACGTGTTGAGGCACTGCTATCGGTATTCTCCTTTTGATAACGATTTCCAGATAGCTTGCATGGCTTCGCAGAAAATTACGGCCGCGTTGGCCACGATCGAATCGAGCGGCAACCAGCAGACCAAACTGCAGCTGTACAACAACCTCCTCTCAGAAATCGTGACAACCTCCTCCGAACATGAGCTCGCGCAGGATCTCATATACTACCTGGATTCGATTCTCAACGAGGAGATCAGCATCGTGGCTGCACGGCCGCTGCTCGACTCGTTCATCCAGGTCCTTCACAAACTCGGCCCCGAGAACAAAGTCAAGGTTGGTCAGCACGCCGTGACGCTGCTGCAGACGCGGTCCACTTCGGTCGAAGAACAGGACGCCCAGATCCGGGAGTTGCTGGCGGATGCCTACGAGCAGCAGGAAGAATACAGTGCGGCGGCACGGACGCTACAGGGGATCCAGCTGGATAGTTCGCAGCGCCTCATCTCCGACGCGGCTCGCGTTCGGCTCTGGATCCGCATCGTGAGACTGTACCTAGAGGAAGACGACACGACGAATGCGGAGACGGTGTTGAATCGGATCAAGAATCTGCCCAGCAAGATCGAGGATGCAGAGCTCAAGCTACACTTCCAACTCTCGCAGGCACGGATCCTCGACGCCCGGCGACGCTTCCTGGACGCGAGCCAGGAGTACTACACGGTCAGTTTGGCCGCGGGGGTCGATGAGAGCGATCGACTGCAGGCCCTGTCGGCGGCGATCCGGTGTGCGGTACTTGCGCCTGCCGGGCCGCAGCGGTCGCGCGCGCTGGCTCGGTTCTACAAGGACGACCGGGCGTCATCGGTGGAGGAGTTTGGGATTCTAGAGAAGATGCATCTCAACCGGCTGCTGACGCCGGCGGAGGTGGCGGCGTTCTCGCAGAAGCTGGCGCCGCACCAGCTGGCGCAGACGGCGGATGGGACGACGGTACTCGACAAGGCGGTGATCGAACACAACCTGGTGGCCGCGAGCCAGCTGTACGAGAACATCACCACCGACTCCCTGGGCCGGATCCTCGGACTGACGGGGAGCGGCGACCTGACCGCGGGCGAAAAGGCCGAGGCCTACGCTGCCCGGATGGTCGAGCAGGGTCGTCTGAAGGGAAGCATCGATCAGATCGACGGGGTGATCTCCTTTGACTCGAGCACCCATGGCCCCGCAACCGCGTACGGACGACACATCCGACAGTGGGATGCGGGAGTGCAGAAGCTGACGGAGGAGGTCGAACGCATCTCGGCGAGTATATCGCGGACCTTTCCAGTATGTTTTTTTTTTTTTTTTTTTTTTTTTTTTTTTTCGAATCTCTCCACGCATACATTGTTTACTGACTCTCCAGGACTTTGCAGAAGCCCAGACGGCCCACTAGAGATACGAGTAGACTCCACGATAGATGAATAACGACACTTGCATCGTACTGCCTTCATTAGTGACATACTAGTATGCGTAGTGAGTACTCCATAGGGAGTAGGATTAACTAGTTAAATCATAGGTAATTATAAGTATCTGTAATATCTCGGGGTAGATCTATGCGATTTTCTCTCGGGCGAGTCGGTCCTTTTCCAATGACCCGAGCCGTGCGCTCGGCCTCGGGAGGAAATACCCCGATAAACAGTGGGCGACAGTGGAATTAGCTGGAATTAGCCATGTAGTAAGGGATGATTGAAGCGATGGTCGATTAGGTATTCCAAGTGGCTTGAAAAATGGTAAATTCACGGGTAATAGGTAGCTGATGAATCAAGCATCGAGTAATATCCTTCATCGTCCACATTTTTTGTATTTAGGCATTTTATCTTTTTCTAGCTGATATATTGCCAGAGGGATAATAATACCTGATACCTGGTAGGTACTTAGTAGTTAGGTACTCCGTAACTAGTAGTTACTACTTAGTAAGGTACTCTGTACAGACTGTACTAAATTTGCGGCAAAATCGAACGGCCAGAGACCAATGGGAGGGAGGCGAATTGTATGACGACAATCCGGGTCTGACATCAGCGGGTCTGGGGTAGACTCTTGGACGACTAGGTAACTGGTAGTTATCACCCCTAGCTGTAGTAGTCGAATATCCTGAATATTACCTGTAAATTAGAGTCATTCAATATGTAAAAGCAAGTAGCGACTGAATGTGTAATGCTGTCGCCGAGGCTCTCGGTTCAGAGTGGCATGACTGTCTGAGGTACTCCGTACACTGTACTAACACAGACACTGTACTAAACCACCTACCGTAAGTTATATGCTGTACTGGCAGTTCCAAGGTTGACAGTGACACCGGCATGTGAACTGCTGTTTGCACTGTTTTTCTGTCGCATGTGACTGGCCATCCCGTGACTTGCCCGTTGGGACTCAAGAGACAAGGAAACTTCGAGGCCGTCCTCTCGTCAACCAGACCGTACAGCAGAGGCATCTTCTCACGGTGAACAGACTCTACACAGCCAAATAACTCCGGATCAAAGCTGGATTTATCTATTCATCGGCGTGGTCTCGCCATCTCGCTCGGCTTTCTCTCCGTCAGCATCCACCGGTACCAGAATACCCCAGTCCACTGTAATAGCTGCGACTAAGACCGAATCCACCAGATCCGCACAGGCACTAAATAGCGTGCCTCGGTCGGGTCAGCAGCCGGAGAGGAGAGTCTTTGGTCTTTCCCCAAATTCCAAGGCGTGGGTTAATAATAAGCCTGTCCCAGTGCTCTGCTTTTTCTTTTCCTCTTAACCATCCTTTCGTTTCCTTCCCTCATTGAGATATATTCTTCTGTCCCTGTTTCATCGCTTACAACCATGTCGACCGCCCCTCGGGTCATTGTCGTCGGTGGTGGATGTGAGCTTTCCCCGCATGTCGATAACACTCGATACAACAATTTACTGACCATCTTCGCTCAGTGTCTGGCCTCAGTGCCGCTCATACTGTCTACCTGAACGGCGGAAATGTTCTCGTTCTCGACAAGCAAGGTACGCCGTGAGCCACTATTGCAAAAAGAAAAAAAAAAAAGACCCCCCCCCGCATGAGGAATGAATGCTGACCTACGGTTTGCCTGTCTGCAGCATTCTTCGGTGGCAACTCCACCAAGGCTACCTCGGGGATCAACGGTGCCCTGACCCGTACACAGGTCGACCTCAACATCCAAGATAGCGTCAAGACGTTTTATGAAGATACCCTTAAGTCTGCCAGAGATAAGGCCCGTCCGGATCTCATCAAGGTCCTCACCTACAAATCCGCCGCCGCCGTCGAGTGGCTGCAGGACCAGTTTAACCTAGACTTGACGCTGGTTTCCCGTCTAGGGTGAGTTTTTTTTTTTTTTCCTTTGCTGTCAGAGGGTTTATCTAACTTCTCAGGGGTCATTCACAGCCTCGCACGCACCGTGGCCACGATGCAAAATTCCCCGGCATGGCCATCACATACGCCCTCATGCAACGGTTAGAGGAGATCGCCGAGGCGGAGCCCAACCGTGTCCAGATCATCAAGAAGGCCAAGGTCACGTCCGTCAAAAAGTCAGGGAACACCGTCACCGGTGTCAACTACGAGTACGACGGCGAGTCGCATTCCGCCGACGGCGTCGTGGTTCTTGCTACGGGCGGCTATGCCGCCGACTTCACCGAGTCCTCGCTGCTGAAGCAGCACCGCCCGGATACCTTCGATCTGTCTAGTACCAATGGTACCCACGCCACGGGAGATGGCCAGAAGATGTTGATGGCCATCGGCGCCAATGGTATCGATATGGACAAGGTCCAGGTTCACCCGACAGGTCTGGTGGACCCCAAGGATCCTACAGCAAAGTTCAAGTTCCTTGCTGCGGAAGGTGAGCTCTGACTCTCATAAAGAAAACATTATTTTCCGGTCCTGTTACTCAATTCAAATAGCTCTTCGCGGCGAGGGTGGCCTCCTCCTGAATTCCGATGGCCAGCGGTTTTCGGACGAACTGGGCCATCGGGACTACGTCTCCGGTCAGATGTGGAAGGAGAAGGAGAAGGGCAAGTGGCCCATCCGCCTGGTGCTGAACAGCAAGGCCTCAAACGTGCTCGACTTCCACACGCGCCACTACTCGGGCCGCGGACTGATGAAGAAGATCACGGGTAAGGAGTTGGCGCAGGAAATCGGCTGTGGCGCCGCGGCGCTGCAGAAGACCTTTGACGAGTACAACGCCATCGCGGCCGGCAAGCAGAAGGACCCCTGGGGCAAGAAGTTCTTCCATAACCTGCCCCTCAGCATCGACGACACCTTCCACGTTGCCCTGATGGAGCCCGTGCTACATTTCACCATGGGCGGCATCGAGATCAACGATCGATCAGAGGTCCTCAACGCCGACCACAAGCCCTTTGACGGCCTGTACGCCTGCGGTGAGCTGGCCGGCGGCGTCCACGGTGCCAACCGGCTCGGTGGTTCCTCGCTTCTCGGTTGCGTCGTCTACGGCCGCGTGGCCGGTGACAGCGCGAGCGAGTATCTCTTCAAGAAGATCCTCGCCGGCGGCGCCTCCTCTGCCAGCCAGCGTCTAGGCCAGATTTCCCTACACATTGACCCGTCTACGCCCGGTAAGATTTCCGTCGAATGGACGGGCGCTGCCGGACCCCAAGGACCACAACAACAGCAGCAGCAGTTTGTCTCTGCTACCCCCGCCGACTCGACAGCCCCAGCCACTAGTAGCAGCACAGCTTCGACGAAAGAACCGGCTGCCTTTGAGATCCCCGAGACCGAGTTCTCGATGGAAGAGGTCTCCAAGCACAACAAGAAGGACGACCTGTGGATTGTCGTCAAGGGGGTTGTTCTGGATGTCACCAACTGGCTGGACGAGCACCCTGGTGGTGCCAACGCCTTGTTCAACTTCATGGGACGGGATGCTACAGAGGGTAAGTCATTTAATTTGATTATTCTTCCCGAATATTTTTTTTTTACTAACGATATAGAATTTGCAATGTTACATGACGACGAGGTGATTCCCAAATATGCCTCGCAGATTGTCATTGGACGAGTCAAGGGGCAGACACCCAGTTTGGAGCTTTAACTGTATCATAAGTCATAATTAAATCTTTATATCAAATTACTCTTTACTTTGGTCTCCGTTATACAGAAATATCGATTTCTTGGCGCTCCGCTTGTATATACATTCTTTTTTCCCCTATCTGTTATAGTTTCGCCCGCATATACCCTAGGATAGACTGTACCCTTTTCACTGCCGGGGTATCATTATTATGAGGACGGTCTGTCAATTCAGCCGCGGCATTCTCCAAGACAGGCCGAAGATACCCCCACACAGCATCGTGGTAGCCCTCCTGCACGCCGATCCAGTCCTGTGCGCCCGGTAGATTGTCCAGAACACGATCACGGAGGGAGAGATCTTGACTATCTGTTGGGTCTGGGTCTATTGAGTCGATGCCTGGGATCAAGCTTATCGAGCTGATAGAGCTTAGATCCTGCAGGCTTGTTTGTGCTCCTCCCTCGGACAAACGGAACGATTGTATGATTTGCATTTCCATCTCGGAGAGGGGTGGCGGGGGTTGGAGGTCCTCCATGGGTTCATAGTCGTGAACGGAGTGGTATTCTTGTGAAGAGAGGAGGGAGAGTACCTCTTCGCCATCATTTCCTTTCCATTGTGGTAAATGTGCTTTCTGTCCTGGTAGATAGTCTTTCTGTTCTCCCTGCTCTAGTATGATAGGACTATTTTCAAACTCCTCGATAAAACCATTTTCAACCTCTCCAATGGCGGTCTCTGTAGAGCGGAATCTAGTGGAATGTGGATTCGGATGCTCTCTAGAATGTGACGGTCCAGATATCTCCGGCCTTGGCCTTGATCCCGAAGAACCCTCTGTCTTGCTGGATAGTATAGAGGCTAGATCTGGGACAGATGAAGAAGAAGAAGAAGAAGAAGAGTAGAATGCGTCTCTGGCTAGACGGGCGGCGGAGCTCTGGATGCGGTCTGCAAGGGAGGAGGAGGATTCATTGTCCTCGTGCGAGGAGTGCTCTTTGCTTCCTTTGTCTGAGGGTTGTTTTTCTGGGGTTTTGCCTTTGTCTGGCATTGTAGTTTAGTAGAGAATACAGAGGGATGAGAAATGGCAAGATAGGTAGTAAGTGAAGTACCCTGTAGTTAGTTATGTCGTACTATGCATGTGATTGATGCCTGAGGCTACAGCGACCGAGGGATATGAGTTCTATGCCATAGAATTAGTAGAGGAACTTATAGGTACAAGTAGTACCTATTAGTTAATTAACTATTAATATACCTATAATATCTATTATCTATACTTGTTTATTAATATGATTCTAGTTACTGACAGTTGGGAGCAATATATTTGACAACTACAGACAATAAACAACTACAGACAGTAGACAGTAGACAGCTATAGACAGTAGACAGTAAACAGCTAGACTGGACAGCTACATAGCTAATCACTAAATACTACCACTCTTATAAGTATCGTTGATGTCACGGCCGCAGTCAGCCATGCTTTGGGCAGTTCCGTTCGTTTTCTGCCAGGCCAACTCGGATCCTCCCCACCAAAACCGCCTCACCTCCAACCACACCGATCCAAGGGCCAATCTCCCCTCCTCACTCTCCTCCCGCCAACCCGACCGACGACAGACAGATAGAAAGACACGCCCGCAACCTCTTCCATCCACCCTGAAATCTCCCCCCCCCCTCTCCTCCCGCTCCTGTCTGTCGCCCGTCACCACTTCTCTCCTGGCTTCTCCCCCTCCCCAGGATAATTTCCTCGCTGCCCCTCCCCAACCCGGCCCAGGCTGTCAATCATTTGTCCCCTCCAGCCTGTCCTGACGTCGCGTCTACTGGGACGAAAAGCAAACCCCTCCTCCATCAACCCGACTCATCATCTCCCTCTGGTCGACGGTCTCGCCGCCTCAGTCGATTGATTCTCCTCCTCCGAAGAGGAAGAAAGCTGCTTGCTGCTAGCTTTTTTTCCCCTCTCGTGACTGCCATTCTCGCTCGCCTTTTTTTTTTTCGCCCACCCTCGCAGAACTAAAGATAAGAAAAGAAAAGAAACCCGAAAAAATAACAGGAAGAAATATTTAAGAGCGAAAAAATAACCAAGAACCGAAAAGAAAGACTTCTGGTCCGGAAGTGCTGTTCTTTTTGCCGTCTACCCTCGACGTTTTCCCCCCGGTCGGTTCTGCTACACTCTCGTCCAGATATCCTCACAGGTGCCCAGTACGGGTCATACGTGAAAGATGGTCGACAGGGATCCAGGTACACCCACCTGGAAGTTCACACAGTAAGTTGGAGCTTGTTGATGACTGTTCGATTTCACCCATACCCCGCTACTGCTACAACACCCCGTCATGATATCACTCCTTCTTTTTTAATTAACTAATCTCAAATCTTGAATATAACAATCATGTACTAATTAATTAGATGCTTTGGCGATAAAGGAGATGTGGAAGATATCACAGAAGGTGAATCTCCTCTGGGTTGCCTTTCGATGGAGCCAAGCTAATGGTTGTCATTTCAGCGGATATCATTTCGACTGTCGAGTTCGACCACACTGGTAATTATCTTGCAACGGGAGACAAGGGAGGCAGAGTGGTGTTGTTTGAGAGAAATGAGACGGTACGTC